TGCAATAATCTTGGACGCGACGTTTAACCCCATATCAACTCACTTCCAAATTTTTAGGGGGCACGGGTGGCCCATTCGTCTAAGGGGCCGCGATTCGCTGTGCAGAGTTGCGTCTCTTGGGCACGCCAGAAACCTATGATTGTGGGTTCGAATCCCGATTCGCCCCGATCATGTTTCTAGATTTGTCAGCACCATACCCGTGCTCGTGGGTTTCACCGAAGTGGTAAACGTCTGGGACCTGCATCACTTCGAGCTTTCCTTCCACATTAAGCTCACACGCCGTGATACAACTGGAATACTGTTAAAAGTGGCGTTAAACCCAAGTCACTCACTCACTCCAAATATATTGTTGAGGTGAGATGAAATGGGGTTTAACGTCGCGTCCAAGATGTTTGCGCTTACATAGCGACGTGCATGTCGACAGCGCAATGTAACTCTCTCAGAAATATCGATGTCGATATCGAACTGGAAAAAGGCTCGCTGAACGCGACAAGTGAATCAATGTCGATATGTAAAGTAGTTTGACTTGACAGCAAGAATGAGTTTAGTTTTACGCCGCCTTGAACAATATTTATATGAACAATTACACGACAGTTAGATGACGGCTTGACGTCTTCATAAACCATGCTTGCCGTAAAAGGCAAAAAGGTAAAATATGTTCATTTCAGACACTAGATGGTTAATACTGACCCGTGAAGATCCGGGGTAGAGTAGGTCTTCAGCAAACCATACTTGCCGTAAAAGGCGACTATGCTTGCCGTAAAAGACGACTAACGGGATCAGGTGGTTAGGCTCACTGACTTGGTTGTTGCATGTCATCGTATCCCACTTGCGTGGATCCATGCTCATGATGTCAATCACTTGATTGTCTGGTCCAGACTCGATTATATACGGACCGCCGTCATATAGATGGCTATTGCTGAGTGCGGCGTTAAACAACAAACAAACAAAACCTGACGCAATACAGAAGGAAAAGAAGTCGGGGCGGTTAAATGTACCAAATAGCTTGTCACAAAACAAAATGTACGGCAAAGGTAAGCGTTTTGTATACACGGGACGATTCTACAGCATATAAAGACTCACTCAAAGGAGGCACCAATTCCTATAAACTGTGGAAACCCAGTGGCGTTCTTTGCGACATCCCCACGGCCACAGTTGGTCCACCAGGCGTAGTTCTTGATTCCCAGGTGCGGGATTGCTGGAGACTCGCCTGGTGGACACAGAACCAACAACATCGACTACACATGCAACATCGCCACCGATGAAAAACAAAGCCATTGCGAAAACAGAAGAAATGCACGCCCTCTTTTTCAACTAAGATACCCAACACTCATAACGGTGCTTGGTGCTTAAAGAATCAACTCGTCTCTGAAAATCTGGATTCGAATCCCAAAATGGGCTCAATGTTGTGTCACATTAAGGAAAGTAGTCTTTCTCTAATATTTGTTATAAGGGTACGGACCCGTGAAGATCTGGGGTAGATTAGGTCTTCAGCAACCCATGCTTGTCTCCCCGTGAAGATCCTGGGTAGAAGAGGTCTTCAGCAACCCATGCTTTCTGTAGAAGGCGATTATGCTTGTCGTAAGAGGCGACAAACGGGAACGGGTGGTCAGGCTCGATGACTTGGTTGATGCATGTCATCGTATCCCAACTGCGTAGATCGATGCTCATGATGTCTATCAGTGGATGGTCTGGTACAGACACGACTATTTACAGACTGCCGTCATATATAGCTGGAATATTGCTGAGTGCGGCGGTAAACAACAGACAAATAAACAAATATAAGCGTACGAAAGGCTAACGGTGCCACTTTCTCGTTATTTCAATGACAATAGAAGTAACGAGAAAATATTCGAAATTACGAAAAATAAACGAATTAACGAGAAAAATCTGGAAATGTTGCGAAAATATTATATTAATTAAAATAATGAGAACAATATCTCGATTTAAAGAAATTCATTTATGGTAACAAAGTGGCACCAATGTTTTCGAATAAAGGCAAGCGGATTCATGCAGTAAGTAATTCCTGGAGGAACCAGGTATTTTGTTTGGATCGTTTGAGCGAAGTCTCCGAAGACTCACCTTGACCGCTGGCCAGTTGGACTTGTATCTCCTGCAAGGTCATACGACTGACGAGGTCATCCACCCTAGCATCCCACCCCAGGTTGGTGTTCTGGTACGGCAGCGCGCCATGAGCAACGTGCACGGCTGCAACACACACGACGACGACGACGAGTGAAGCCATCATGGTGACACAGTGAAATTCGTGAAACGGTTCTTTTATAGGCGCCAGATATCAGAATGCTGTGGGCTAAAACAATTTTTGAGTCAGGCTAAATATAATGTTGTCTATCGTAATGACGTCTTATCAAATCCTTGGCCTGAATCAACCGTGAAATAAAAATTATGCTGAGTCAGAAATCAACTTTAACATTGTTATCATAGTAAAGTTCGGACGGTTTGGTGTGTTTGTTTGTTGTTTAACGCCTCCCTCGGTAATTATCGTAAGAGGCGACTAACGGGATCGGGTGGTCAGGCTCGCTGACTTGGTTGATGCATATCATCGATCCCAAATGCGTCATCACTGGATTGTCTGGTCCAGACTCGATTATGTACATACCGCCGTCATATAGCTGGAATATTTCTGAGTGCGGCGTTAAACAAACAAACAAACAAACAAAGAAAGAAAGAAAGAAAGTTGTATTCCACACAGTCTAGTGATTGACATCATGAGCATCGATCTACGCAATTGGGATACAATGACAAGCACTGACCAAGTCAGCGAGCCTGGGCTGCTGAGCACACAATCTAACCCGGATAGTCACGCGTCCGGACGATTTTGAAAGTTAAGATTAATGAACATGGTTGTGACTTAAATCTTTTAGAATACGGGGCGGTCGGGTAGCCTAGTGGTTAAAGCGTTCGCTCGTCACGCCCAAGACCCGGGTTCGATTCCCGACATGGGTAAAATGTGTGAAGCCCATTTCTGGTGTCCCCGCAGTGATATTACTAGAATATAGCTAAAACCGACGCAAAACCATACTCAGTCACTCACTCACTTTCAGAATACTATCTGGGGTGTTTAACAAATTCATAGTCTAACAATACAACTATTTGGTAGACGTTGGCGCGGACGAGTGGGGCTTGAAGGCAGGGGGCCTCCCGAAGAAGAAGAAGATGTTTATTTCTCATGAATCTCATGAGACAAAAATAATATACACAGTAATGAAACAATAGTTAGTGGAGCATACGCAGTCCTCATATTACATACTGGGCTTGTCGTAAGAGAAGAGTGAGTGAGTGAGTATGGTTTTACGCCGCTTTTAGCAATATTCCAGCAATATCACGGCGGGGGACACCAGAAATGGGCTTCACACATTGTACCCATGTCGGGAATCGAACCCGGGTCTTCGGCGTGACGAGCGAACGCTTTAACCACTAGGCTACCCGACCGCCCCCGTAAGAGAAGAGGCTCATAAGAACAAGTCATAAGTGAAACCCATTTATCTGTATTTGGATATCTACACTAATATAATGGGACATATTTATTTACTAAATGGTCCAATTCATGGCATTCTAGTATCAAATGAAATTCATCACCAATTTTGATGTTAAAGAAAGAGCAAAGCCACTCTTCACTTCTGAGGGGCGGTCGGGTAGCCTAGTGGTTAAAGCGTTCGCTCGTCATGCCGATGACCCGGGTTCGATTCCCGACATGGGTACAATGTGTGAAGCCCATTTCTGGTGTCCCCCGCCGTGATATTGCTGGAATATTGCTAAAAGCGGCGTAAAACCATACTCACTCACTCACTCACTTCACTTCTGAGGTTATACCATCTACCAGTTTCTACCATCTACCAGTTTCTACCATCTACCAGTTTCAATTGGGAGTCTGTGTTTGGTGGTTCTGGTTTTATTAAGCCAAATGCGTAAATTATGAGTGAGTGAGTGAGTTACAGTTTAACGTCACCTCGGCATTATTTCGGCCATTTCGTGACGAGCGTAAATTATGAGGTAAATACAATAAATAGTCTTCTATAAACTAGCGGAGAGTAGTTGGATGGGTGAGTGTGTTCGGCATCTTGACCCAGAATTATTTATGTTATTTAGGCCTCTGATTCTTTGAAAAACAGTTTGTCCTTTGTACACGTTGGGCATCTTGAATGTGTTGTGAAGAATTTGTTTTTGTTGATCAGAGGTATTGAATGGTGGTTCCCGAGAGAATCTGTAGAAAAACAAATAAGGCGACCTACACGGAGGACGAGAAAACAAGCTTGTTGATGTCATGGACAAATTGAGAAGTACAATCTAAACTTACAATATAATCGAGTTTTAATTAAATGTAAAGACTATGGATGTTTGTTTCATCGTTCAACAAACAATATCAAAGGAGATTTATCGAATCAAAACTTTTTAAAACATGTTAAATATTCATACAGAATACATATTTGAAGATTCCGGGGTAGAATAGGTCTTCAGCAACCCATGCTTGCCGTAAAAGGTGACTATGCTTGTCGTAAAAGGCGACTAAATGGATCGGGTGGTCAGGCTCACTGACTTGGTTGATGCATGTCATCGATCCCAATTGCGTGGATCGATGCTCATGATATCAATCACTGGATTGTCTGGTCCAGACTCGATTATTTACAGACTGCGCCATATAGCTGGAATATTGCTGAGTGCGGCGTTAAACAACAAACCAAACCAGACCAAACCAAAACATATTTTTAAAAGAAAGTTATAATCAATTTGCCGCGGTTTTAACATGGATACCCAACTCAGACACAGTATGCCGACTCCGAGCCGACCAGTCCTTGCTGTATCCCCTTAATGCCGAGCGCCAGGCAGGGTAACAAAAAGTACCATCTGTTAACGTCTTTTGTAATGAAGCGGCCAGGGGTTCTTACCACCGACCTTCCTCTCTCCGGACAGACGCTCTATCCACAACATCAGGCGATCATATGCATCTGTGAGGTTAAAGTGCATAACAAGAATCGGTGTAACGAGATATACTGTTTATTATACAAAGACATGTTTATCTACAGAACCAATTCCACGGCAGATCCAGCCTAGTATTTACCAAGAATCTTTGTTCCGGTTATGGTAAACTGTCCGCTTAAAACATTGGAACTCATGGCCTTCTTCTGATGGGGCTGCTGGCCTCCCACATAGAGGTTCATCTTGCCTGCAACAAACATCAACATGTGTATTAGCTTGTTTGTTTGTTGTTTAACGCCGCACTCAGAAATATTCCAGCTATATGACGGTCTGGAATATAATATAATCGAGTCTGGACCAGACAATCCAGTGACTGACATCGTGAGCATCGATCCCCGCAATTGGGATACGATGACATGCATCAGCCAAGTCAGCGAGCCTGACCACCCGATGCCGTTAGTCGCTTCTTACGACAAGCATAGTCACCTTTTACGACAACCATAGTCACCTTTTACGACAAGCATAGTCGCCACTTACGGCAAGTATGGTTTGCTGAAGACCCACTCTACCCCAGATCTTCACAGGTCAGTATTAACCATCTAGTGTCTGAAATGAACATATTTTACAGAAAAAATAGTTGTTTGATTATCGTTATTAAGAAGTCTAGACTTGCAAAATATTATAGACCTGCATGGACTGAATGACAGACGACATATGTACCAGCGACAAGGGACACCATAGAGATGTAGAATATCGAGACTTAATTCGGATGCTACATCGTCGTTGTGAAATAGCAAATACTTTATTACCATAGTAAGGGTAGCCTATTCTCTAATTGATCGCCCGAAATAAACTGACTGGCAAAAGAAATTATGCATTTGAAAACTGGATTTGACCAAACTGTTACAAACTTTATCAAAGCGTCCCCCTGTGTGACACGTAATCCTAGCATAATCGATGTAATTATCATCAACCAGTGTTTTTAAGCCAACTCATTGCTGAGTATTTTTTAATATTCGCTAGTATTGCGCACAACCACCAGTAGCTAAAGTGATGACGTAAATCCTGCTGGGGTATCATGCAGGAAACAGAGGTACTGTAAGTCCCCATGATCCCCAGCGAGGTGGCCTAGCTTTGGTTACTGGTGGCCTATAGCCCGTGTTTTAAAACTGTAATATTGTTATGCTCAAATGTGTTTCATAAATTGTTTCTAAATATATTATTCTCAAATATGTTTCACAACTTGTTTTTGAATAAAAAATTGCATTACTAACTAAATTGTAAATATATTAACTTGGTCTCGTCGCTATGTGGCTGAAATAATGCCGATGCGACGTTAAATTTTAACCCACTCACTTACTAGCCTGAAAACAGTCGCCGAAACACTGAAAAAAGTCCAAATTGCAACGATGATACCGCATCAAATACATCACAATTAAATTGACCATTTCTTCAATTTTAGCCACCATCAAACATGGGTGCATACTTTATTTTGCCCGACAGTGTATTGACTGATAGAGAGACCTATAGCTGTTAGTGGATCGATGATCTTCACCAGCCACTTTGGTTGATCAATAATTGGAGAGCTGTGTACAGGGACAGATTACAAAGAATTGTCATGCAGTCGTGACACCGAAACGGTATAGATCCAAGACTAAAATGCGTTTGGCTAGAGTGAGTGAGTGACTTTGATTTAACGCCATCTGTTCTACCTGGACCACCTGGACCACCCATGTGGCCAGAAAGATTGAGTGAGTGAGTGAGTTGGGTTTAACGCCGCTTTTAACAGTATTCCAATTGTTTCACGGCGTGTCAGCTTAATGTGGGAGGAAAGCCCGAAGTGATGCAGGTCTCAGACGTTTACCACTTCGGTGAAACCTACAAGCACGGGTATGGTGCTGACAAACCTAGAAACATAATCGGGCTGAACCGGGATTCGAACCCACAATAATAGGTTTCTGACAGCGAATTCCGGTGCCTTAGACGACTGGGCCACCCGTGCCCCCTGGCCAGAAAGAACAGGGTGTATACATTATTATATTTTTCCTACAAGCAGGTTACCAAATAATACAGGAAAATATAAACTGTCAATACGAGAGAATAACCACTCGAGATTATCCGCCGGCCAAAAAAGCGATGAAAATTATATGAAGGGACCACTGAAAATCAGTGATGACACCAGGTGTTCGCGAAAAGGGTAAGCATGCCCTATCCTACCGGTAGCATCCGACATTCACACAATTTGCAATATATGCATATATGCCTAGCGCCGCACAGCAGTGCTCCTACCATGCGACGGCGGCCTGAAAATAAAACCAGACAATCAAGTGATCGATGAACCAGAAAACCCAGTTACACACCAGTTAACGATATGTTAATATTGAATTACGTCTGCTCTGTACAAATGCGGAGATTCTGCTGCTTATAAGTAAACAAAAAGGTTTTAGAAATATTTCATTTTTGAACACAGAAGGGGGTTTGTTTTGTTTTGTTTTGTTTTGTTTCAACACAGACAAATACTACTGCTCTTATGATGAAACGCGGGGACTTCAGTCCACCAGTAGAAAAATCGAATCAGTTAAAGTTAATTTAAATTGTCGATGCCAGAGAATAACCAGTCTAGATTATCCAGCTCATCTGGACGGCGCCATTCATTGCAAATTGTGTGGTAAACATCGAGTCTGGACCAGACAATCCAGTGATTGGCATCACGAGCTACGCAATTGGGGTACGATGTCAGGCATCGACTAAGTCAGCGAGCATTAGCCACCCGATCCTGTTAGTCCCCTTTTACGACAGACAAAAGTTGCTGAAGACCAATTCTAACCCGTATGTTGACGGGGTTGAATCATGAATTAATAGTGAGTGAGTGGGTTACAATTTAACGTCGCATCGGCATTATTTCAGCCATATAGCGACGAGACCAAGTTAATATATTTACAATTGAGTCATTTATACAAAGTTATATTTAAAAAAACACATAAATTAATAGCAATGTACCTCATTATCCGATGGACGTCCTAAAATGTACTCGTCCTGAATTATGTGTTGTCAGATTACCATGGTACGCACTAAAATGTTTCATTGTAGAGTAAACTACGGTTATAACGAACACGCTTATAACGAACTGACCTATATAACGAACTTATTTTTTAGTCCCGGCCATTTGTTGTATATATGCTGTATATATGCTTATAACGAACTACGGTTATAACGAACTAAAATAAGTGGCCCCTTTGAGTTCGTTATAACCGTAGTTTACTGTATAGGCAGAATAACAATGTTACACATTTTAAACAACATGTGAGGGTCCGAGCATTAGATATAATCTGTTCCCGAAAAAGCTGAAAAGGAAAATTAACAACGAGACTAAATCGTGTTGTCAGATTACCAGGGTACGCACTAATATGTTTCAATGTTTTAGTAGAATAACAGTGTCACACATTTCAAACAATATGTAAGGGTCCGAGGATTTAATGTAATATATCTTCCCGAAAAAGCTAAAACAATTACCAACGAAACTAAATCTTTCCTATTCTCAAGTATTTTCTGGGAATTGTTTTTCTCGATAAAATCCCAGCCCCTCCCAGAATATCCAAGGTGCCTTAACACACACCTGGTAGAACAAACATCAACATGTGTATCAGTGACTGGGGATAGAGGCTTTCTGACATGGCGATTAAGACCATCGAGACTTAAGTCCAACCTCAATATCTCCTTGGCTCGCTTTTCGCTTAGTAAAAGGCGATTATAATTGTCGTCAGAGGCAACTAACAGGATCGGGTGGTCCCTTAATACACACCTGGTAGTACCTTCCACGCATCCTTGTCATCCCACACAGCCAGGTTCTTGTGACTGATTGTAAACTTGAAGGTTGTGTGCTGCCCTTGTTGGACGTACACTCTCCCGAAGGCAACCAGTTTGTACTTCGGCATGTTCAGGGAGCTGTCCGTCCAGGACACATATACCTGGATGATCTGAAAAGCCAACAAACCAAACTTTACAAATACCCAACTCATGATGTTCACTACCATGTTATACCAACCGATCGCCGTTTTGATGGTCAATATAAATACATAGATACGATAAGATAACAGTGAGTGAGTATGGTTTCACGACGCTTTAAGCAATATATCAGCAATGTCACGGCGGGAGACAGCAGAAATTGGCTTCACACATTGTACCCATGTCGGGAATCGAACCCGGGTCATGTGGGAAAAAATCCTTCAGCGTGACGAGAGAACGCTTTAACCACTAGGCAACACCACCGCCCCTGATAAGATAAGATACGATAAGAAAGTATTATCTGTTACTGGCCCCCAGGGGAAATATCGCTGTCATTTTATGAAACACTGTCAACAAGTACCCGGTCAGTAATTGGAACACACTTATTAAGTTAGACTCTATGGTGATTCCTGGTAAGAATTGGTCTCCAACAACCTATGCCTGTCGTACGAAGCGACTTCCATGATCGGGTGGTCGGGTGTGGACCTTTGCCCATAATATAAATCATTAGATTGTCTGGTCTAGACTTAAAAGCTTTCATCATACGAACTTCCGGGCAAAAGAAAGTATACATTTGATAATTGGATTTGAACAATATATTATAAATGTTATCAAAACGTTACTAGGCTGAAAACAGTCACCGAAACACTGCAAATAAAAAAGCTCAAACTACAACTTTGATATCCGTGTCAAATACTTCATCGTCAAAGAACCATTTCTTGTTTGTTTCATGTTTAGCTACCATCAAACAAAAGAGTATACTTTCTTTTGTCCGGCAGTTTAGCTTGAGTGCGGCGTAAACAAGACAGAAAGAAAGAAAGAGATCATCAAGGGATGAGATGCTAGCATGATATCTAAATGTAGATCTGACTCTGATAGACAATGAGAATCAGGTTTAGCGATGAGTAAGGAATATATTTTATATTGTTTTATATTGTTTTTAAACTGAGATACTGAAGCGGTTTCTCTCAAAGTAGAATCTAGTATATTCCAGGCGGAGACTGTGGAAGGTAAATTTATTTATTTTTAAATAATTCATTTCGGCAATTAGACTCATAGTATTCGATGGTGTTACGTGTTTCATAATGTGGACAATCCAAGGTTTTTACAGGTACCATATAACATAGATAATGTTGCGTTGTCCCACTTTTCATTCTATAAAACATGCATAATTTGTGAAAGTGCCGTCTTTCTACCAAGGAGGATAGACGCAATGTGAATCAGGTTCACTCATGAGTGAGGGATATGTTTCTTAACTCTGAAGGCAGCACTGTTGCAGTAGTATATGTCTCTAAACTCTGAAGGTAGCACCATTGCAGTAATATATGTTTCTTAAAGCTGAAGGCAGCGCTATTGCTGTCGTGTATGTTCCTTACCTCCGAAGGCAGCACTATTGCAGTAATATATGTTTCTTAACTCTGAAGGCAGCACTGTTGCAGTAGTATATGTCTCTTAACTCTGAAGGTAGCACCATTGCAGTAATATAGGTTTCTTAAAGCTGAAGGCAGCGCTATTGCAGTCGTGTATGTTCCTTAACTCCGAAGGCAGCACTATTGCAGTACTATATGTTTCTTAAAGCTGAAGGCAGCACTGTTGCAGTAATATATGTTTCTTAACTCTAAAGGCAGCACTGTTGCAGTAGTATACATTTGTATGTCTCTTAACTCTGAAGGTAGCACCATTGCAGTAATATAGGTTTCTTAAAGCTGAAGGCAGCGCTATTGCAGCACTATATGTTTCTTAACGCTGAAAGCAGCAATATTGCAGTAGTATATGCTTCTTAACCCTGAAAGCAGCGCTATTGCAGTAATATATGTTTCTTAAAACTGAAGGCAGTGCTATTGCAGTAATATATGTTTCCTAACGCTGAAAGCAGCAATATTGCAGTAATATATGTTTCTTAAAACTGAAGGCAGCACTATTGCTGTATTGTATTTTTCTTAACGCTGCAGCAGGATTGCAGTAATATAGGTTTCTTAACGCTGAAGGCAGCGGTATTGTAGTACTATATGTTTCTTAACGCTGAAGACAGCACTATTGCAGTACTATATGTTTCTTAACTCTGAAGGCAGCACTGTTGCAGTAGTATATGTTTCTTAATGCTGAAGGCAGCACTATTGCAGTAATATATGTTTCTTAACGCTAAAGGCAGCACTATTGCTGTATTGTATTTTTCTTAACGCTGCAGCAGGATTGCAGTAAAAATAGGTTTCTTAACGCTGAAGGCAGCGGTATTGCAGTACTATATGTTTCTTAACGCTGAAGACAGCACTATTGCAGTAATATATGTTTCTTAACTCTGAAGGCAGCACTGTTGCAGTACTATATGTTTCTTAAAGCTGAAGGCAGCACTATTGCAGTAATATATGTTTCTTAAAGCTGAAAGCAGCACTATTGCAGTAATATATGTTTCTTAACGCTGAAGGCAGCGCTATTGCAGTAGTATATGTTTCCTAACGCTGAAAGCAGCAATATTGCAGTAATATATGTTTCTTAAAACTGAAGGCAGTGCTATTGCAGTATTATATGTTTCCTAACGCTGAAGGCAGCACTATTGCTGTATTGTATTTTTCTGAACGCTGCAGCAGGATTGCAGTGATGTCTCGATGGCCTGTACATTATCGAGGCTGGACAAAGAAGACAGTATAGCAATGAAACGTTAATAAATCATAATGATTATTTCCTTTTGAACTTCGTCAAAGCGTCTATACAGACCTCATCAGCGTTGTAATTTCCGGTGTTGCTGACGACGACCTGGCCCTTGAGGTCACTTCCGGCGTTGATGTTGTGGTTGTATTGAAGACCCGAGTAATGCCAGGTGGTGTAGGAGAGCCCGTAGCCGAAAGGATACAACGGGTCGCCCTTGAAGTACCAGTAAGTACGTCTGTCCATCGAGTAGTCCGTCATAGGTGGGATCTGTCAACATCAAGACGATACGAGTCTTGATTAGTGGATACAATGGGTCGCCCTTGAAGTACCAGTAAGTACGTCTGTCCATCGAGTAGTCCGTCATTGGTGGGATCTGGCAACGCAAGAGCGATACGAGTCTTGATTAGTGGACACAATGGGTCGCCCTTGAAGTACCAGTAAGTACGTCTGTCCATCGAGTAGTCAGTCATTATTGGGATCTGGCAACGGCAAGTCGACACGACTCTTCTGAATGATGAACGATAGTGAGATGTCCCTTATGCCAACATACAATACCATGTCAGTATTCAAGAAGATCCTTGTGAGGGGCGGCGCTTAATATCTTTTCTCCAATTTGAACTGCCGTGAATGGTTTTCTCAACCATTCGCTTAGGACTGACATTATACATTTCATACATGGTGCACCTCCTATATACTCTAGCGGAATTGATTGCAATTGGATAACATTGAAGTTCAAGGTCACTAGGGTATGAAGAAGGTCATTTGTGTGATTTAGGTGTCACAAAGCTTTTCGATAACATAAGATAACATGAATATTTGAATTTAGTATCCATGACCTCATGGGCTTGATCTCGTTCGGAGGAAATTTGGGATGAACTTCACACAATGAAAGACTATGAGTCAGACTGTATTAACAGAAGTATCCAGTAACTTTACATTTGACACACCAAAGATGCTTTCAATTTCAAGTTTCCTGGAAGCTCATGGCAGAGAATGAAGGTCAAGGTCAAGGGACAAGAAATAATCATTTCTTCTTTTTGAGGATATTTATAGTTGAAGGATTTTCTGTTTCAAAGCATTGAGCATATGTTTTCCAAAACCGGAAGCGGTGTCATTAAACCGGAAGTGATTATAATTTCGTTGTTAAGGTACTTTAAGGCATAGGTGTATTCTTTACTTGTAAAATTGTTTTTGTACTAACGTGATGTCCCTTAGTTTGCTCTTCTCCACAGGGGAGGCGTTTAGCATACAAAGCCTTGCGGCTCACTAGCCGGTCTACTATCCCTAGATTTATCAATATAATGGTTATTGAGGATGATGGCAGAGGCAGACACAAAACAGAAACGAAAAGGGGAGGCAATTGGATGCCGGATATTATTTCGGTTTCGAAGTTCTGGTTAGAGAACTTTCGGAAAAGGTTGGAATTTGATTGCTTCTGTTTTTGTGTGTACTGCTAACATCTCTCTCGTTGAACCCCCTAAGTGATAGTCGTGGTATGATACTGACAAACAATGGATAATAACCAGGGCGAATCTGAAATTCCAACCCATGTTCATAAGATCTAGCATGCCCAAGACGTGTAATTAAAAGCGTGAACACCCTTATCCATGATCATAAAGTCCATTGTTCTCTTCCAACTATACATGAGCATGTGTTTATGACTCACTATCAAATAGTAATGAAACCGATGTTCGCGAAAAAAGAAAAGCGTATCCGGCCCCACAGGTGGCACTCATCACAAACACATGCAAAGACAAGTCAAGTGTTCACCTGAACAATCACGGAAACATACGGTACAAATAGTCAAAATAGGAATTTCCATCGGATATCAAGTGCATGTCCACAATTTCTCTTCCATTAAGCTCAGTGTTCCTGATCAAACAATGTTTGTGTCAAAGTCATATGGAATCTTCATAAAAATAGCATGCCTGATTGCACTCGAAATTGTAGACACCAAAGGCTTGAGATACCGGATTTCAGTTTATCTTTAAGACAGGAATTTGGTAGTAAGTTTATGGAATCCAGTGCCAAAAGCTTGTGTTGTCTTCGGATTTCAGAGTCGAGCTTAACCGTTATAGTACAGGATGCGTGGTTTCGATAGATTTCTTCCTGTTTAACACAGGCAGTTTAACATGCATTAAGTGTCCCACCTGACTGTCACTGGCTGGCACAGTGTACGGCATTTTTGCAGAGGGCACGGAGTGAGGACCATCGTTTGTCAGAACCTTCTGGATTGCCTCCCCTGCTTTTTGATGGGGTATGAAGCAATCAAGTATCGCGGTCACGTGGGGGTTCGCCTCGGCCCACGCGACTTGTAGTGGTCCGCCATTAAACAGAAGAAGGATGATTGGAGTTGCCGCAGCTCGTTTACCCACAATTCCTGGTCCACCTTGGACTGAAATTCGAAATGGAGGAGTGAGTGTGAGTGAGTGAGTTTGATTTTCCGCCGCGTTTAGCAATATTCCAGTGATATCACTGCGGGGGACACCAGAAATGGGCTTCACACATTGTACCCATGTCGGGAATCGAACCAGGGTCTTCGGTGTGACGAGCGAACGCTTTAACCACTAGGGTACCCGACCGCCCCTCGAAATGGAGGATCTAAAATGAGACATCATCACACATGATATCTGGATTATGTTGTATTTTCGTCATACACCTTCAACTCCGGTCAACATCCTCAAGTATCCAGCGTATTGTTATATATCAAATCCATTATGATATATACACACTGGTCCCATACGGCACCTAAGTTTCTTCGCGGAAGTGACGTCACAACTTCCATCTCCGTCACTGATGAGCTTGAACTCATCAGCTAATCACAATGATTCTTCTTAACGAGAGTTCGGCATAGATCTACATTCAAAATAGAGGGGACGGTGGGGTAGCCTAGTGGTTAAAGCGTTCGCTCGTCACGCCGAAGACCCGGGATCGATTCCCTACATGGGTACACTGTGTGAAGCCCATGTCCTGTGTCTCCCGCCGAGATGTTGCTGGAATATAAAAGCGGCGTAAAACCATATTCCCTCATATTTCATTTGAAGTTATCTCCCTTCCTCTGATGCTTGAGCCAATGAAAACAAACCCGAGTCCAATTATACCCGATCAGTTATCGGGGACTCGAGTATCCGTCACAGCTCAAAATAGCGATCTTGTTCGAGCGAACCCCCTTATATTTTCAAATATACTATTCTACAAAGAATCAGAATGAATCATTAGCTGAAAAAGATGTTTCTTGAGTATTAGATAAGTGTGGGGCAATCCTTATGGTTGCAGGTGAACTCAGTTGTTTCTGAGATGGTACATAATAACACGAGGTGAGTTCTTGTGATATCGTTACTGCAGCCAATATCGTGTAATTTGTTTAGGTGGCTAATTGTAGTATGGAGTCATATGAACTGGACCAAAAACGAACGGGTTGCGGGTACATCGGACTGGAGATTTGCTACACAGAATGATCGAGGAGGAAGCTTGGGGTTCTGTCCTAGATTATGGCTGACGGGTTACTGAGTACATTCAGGGCCAGACTGTTTCCGAAGCCTGTTTTGCGTTGTTCGTACCATGATTGACGACCGTCTTCAGAAGGTCCAGTTGATGTCCTGGGAGACCGACACTGTGGCGGTCGTGACCCTCCCGCTCAATAGTCTGTCCTGAAATAATACAGTTCACATATCGTTAAGATAAACGTCTATGGTCACATCACTTGCAGATAAGATACCAAGTAAGCAATGTCTGTTTGAACTTGTTCGTTTGTTGCTGGGGGACATGGAAGGCCCAGTCACTTAAGGCGCTTCTTTCCTTGGACACGCCAGAAACCTATGATCGTGGGTTCGAATCCCGGTCCGGCCAGATTGTGTTTCTAGGTTTGTCAGCACCATACCCGTGCTCGTGGGTTTCACCAAAGTGGTAAACGTCTGAGACCCGTATCATGTCGGGCATTCCACACTCTTCAAGCTGACACGCTTTGATATAACTGGAATAATGTTCAAGGGGCTTTAGACCCAACTCACTCGTTTGTTGCTTAACGGTAAACTCAGCAATACCCCAGCTATACAAAAGCTGCTTGTAAATAATTCCGTCACTAATATTATGACCAGGTCTACCACCAGGTCTGTTCAGACAAGGAATCCACGCGGGTGTGTTCCAACAAGTATCAGTATTCATAATAAGGTAGAAGGAGTAGTATAAGGTGTAAGGTGCGGCAATTCCCTGCGCAAAGTTGCGTCCTTTGGGAATGACAGACATCTATGATCTGATCGACATGTTTCTAGTGACTGAGTATGATTTTACGCCGCTTTTAGCAATATTCCAGCATTATCACCAGAAATGGGCTTCACTAATTGTACCCATGTCGGGAATCGATCCCGGGTCTTCGGCGTGACGAGCGAATGCTTTAACCACTGGGCTACCCGACCGGCCCCGACATGTTTCTAGGTTCTGGTAAGCATCACTTCGGCTTTCAACATGACATCGTCGCATCGAGATATAACAGAAATACTGTTCAAAGTGGCGTTAAACCAAATGCGCCAACTGACGATAAAGTGTATATACTTATTGGCCAAATCAATCGACATAGCATGTTGAAATTTTAACTTACCATCTTGACATTTTAAGAAAACATGACCCTGTAAGGCTTCCGTAATAAACCTTCGAATTTACTGCACAAAAGTTGCACGTGCTAATGCGTGACTAGCGGGGTATCGCTATACGTCTTGTCCCAGTCAGTCTATAACTTACCTCCTCCAAGACACACAAATATTGCATCGACGCCACTAACAGCACTGATGACATCGTGGTTGTTGAGGTGGTTACAGTTCACGTCGTTGCAGCCATCTTTAACGTTCACATGATTGGCCAGGTTTTTCAAGCCATCGAGAGCGCTGTCCACAAGATGACTGTCAGTCCCAGATGCATAATCCCCTTTTAGGTCGTTCTTGTTGTCTGACATCGGACCGACCACCTAGTGAGACATTCAGGTGATTTGTGACAAGGGAGCAACACCAAGAAGAAGCTTTACATTTCAATGTGTGTTGTTTAATGCCGCACTCGGCAATACGCCAGCTGTACGACGGTGGTCTGTAAAAAGTCTATTCTGGACTAGACAATTCAGTAATTTTAAATATTTTATGGGGAAGGTCGGGTAGCCTAGTGGTTAAAGCGTTCGCTCGTCACGCCGAAGACCCGGGTTCGGTTCCCGACATGGGTACAATTTGTGAAGCCCATTTCTGGTGTCCCCGTCGTGATATTGCTGGAATATTGCTAAAGGCGGCGTAAAACCATACTCACTCACTTAAATATATTATGAGCAACGTTTGTTTGTTTGTTTGTTGTTTAACGCCGCACTATATTCCACCTATATGACGACGGTCTGTAAATAATCGACTATGGACGAGACAATCCAGTGATTGGTATCATGGGCAACGATCCAAGCTGTCAGTTAGAGCTGAGCCTGACCACCCGACCTGACAATTCGCCTCTTACGACCAGCATACCGGAATTCTGCCCCGGAGGGCAGTCGGGTGGCCTGGTGGTTAATGCGTTCGCTCATCACGCCGAAGACCCTGGTTCGATTCCCGACATGGGTACAATGTGTGAAACCCATTTCTGGTGTCCCCCGCCGTGATATTGCTGGAATATTGCTAAAGGCGGCGTAAAATCAAACTCACTCACTCACTCTGACCCGGATTCCCAACGGGTTCCCAAGTTAGTCGTCCTTGACTGGCATGAATAGCATGTCGAGGGGGACAAGAATTTTAAACGTGGCTATTATTAGCACTATTACATGTACTTGCAAGACAACCACAGAGATATCATTTGTCTTATTCAAACCATGGGTAACCTAACTTCCGGGAATAACGGAAGTAGACCTATGTTTGATGGTGGCTAGAAATGAAACAAACAAGGTATGTTTATTCCATGGTGCTGTATTTGATACGGGTTGCACAGTTGTGTTTTGGACGTTAAGTTTGCGACTGTTTTCAGCCTGGTAACGTAATGATAACGTTTTTTTGGTCTTTTTTATCAAATCCAATTCTCAAGTGTATACTTTCTTTTGCCCGGCAGTTTACGATGACCACAAGGTACGACACTGCGTCGCCATTTTCATCATGTATGTGATGTTGATGATGTTGATGATGATGACAACGATGATGATGACGATGTGACTAAGCATGTATTACACAAAATACTCACAGCAATTTTATTCAGTTTGTGTTTGATGGGAAGATAGTTGTTCTCGTTCTTTAGCAGGACAAAGCTCTTCATGGCGGCCTCGAGAGCAAGAGCGATGTGGTCTTTGTTCAGCACATCTTTGTGTACATCCAGATTGTTATAGGGGTTCATGGTGGGCGGGTCGAACTCTCCTAGTCTCATTCGGGTGTAGATCAAAGGCTTCATCTGGTCCCGGACAAAATTCTCAGATATTTTCCCTTGTTTGACTGCATCCGCTGCAACATTAATGTTAGAAGATGTAAGGGTGCGAACAACGCTTCTTTGGGTTCTTGTCTGCCACTTCACAGCGTCTTTTGTTTGTTTGTTTAACGCTGACTCAGCAATATCCAAGCTATGTGAGGGTTTGTTTAGTTAATAGGCTCAGACCAGACAATCCAGTGACTGACATCACGAGTATCATGTTTTGTTTGTTTGTTGTCTAACGCCGCACTTAGCAATATTCCAGCTATGTGACGGCTGCTGGAAATAATCGAGCCAGACCAGACAATTCTGGGTTGATGCATGTCATGCGTAGATCGGTGTTCGTGTCAATCACTGGATGGTCTGGTCCAGACTCAATTATTTACGCGATGCCGTCATATAGCTGGACTATTGATGAGTTAATAAACAAACAAACAAACAAACAAACAGAATGTGGTAACTGAACATTCTTTCTCTTTTCAGATTTTGTTCACTGTTGTGTTTTTATTTTTGTTTAAGGCAGCACTTATCAATATTCCAGCTATATGACGGCGTCCTGTAAAATAATCGCGTCTGGACCAAACAAAGAACAATGGCATAATACACAACTGCTGCGGGGTATCTCAGACATCTTTTGTTTGAAATCAACAAATTTGACAATGTGACAATAGTGCGACAATGGTGCGACAATAGTTTGTTTTTTAGTTGTTTAACGCCGTACTCAGCAATATTCAAACTATATGACGGCGGTCTGTAAATAATCGAGTCTAGACTAGACAATCCAGTGATTGATGTTATGAGCAATGATCTACGCAATTAGGACACGATGACAAGCTATCAACCAAGTCAGCGAGCCTGACCACCCGATGCATTGAGTCGCCTCTTGCGACCAGCATAGGTTGCTGGGGACGAACTCTTGCCCGGAATGTCCCCATGGGTTCCCCACTGTGTCCCCGCTGGAGACGAAAAATGGACTGCTTGAAACCAGTATGTTTTGTATTGTAGTGGGCCAGTATGTTTTGTATTGTAGTGGGCCAGTATGTTTTGTATTGTAGTGGGCCAGTATGTTTTGTATTGTAGTGGGCCAGTATGTTTTGTATTGTAGTGGGCCAGTATGTTTTGTATTGTAGTGGGCCAGTATGTTTTGTATTGTAGTGGGCCAGTATGTTTTGTTTTATAGTGGGTCAGTATGATTTGTTTTTTATTAGACCAGTATGAATTGTATTGTGGTGGAGGAGTATGTTGTGTCTTATAATTGACCAGTATGATTTGAATTATGGTGGAGCAGTATGTTTTGCATCATAGTGAAGCGATATGTTGTGTATCATAATGAAGCGGTATGTTTTGTATCATAATAAAGCGGTATGTTTTGTAATATACTATCATAATGAAGCGGTACGTTTTGTATCATAATGAAGCGGTATGTTTTGTATTATAGTGAAGCGGTATGTTTGGCATCATAGTGAAGCGGTATGTTTAGCATCATAGTGAAGCGGTATATTTTGTATCATAGTGAAGCGGTATGTTTTGTATAATAGTGAGGCGGTATGTTTGGCATCATAGTGAAGCAGTATGTTTTGTATCATAGTGAAGCGGTATGCTTTGTATCATAGTGAAGCGGTATGTTTTGTATCATAGTGAAGCGGTATGTTTTTTATCATAGTGGTATGTTTTGCATCAGGTTGTATTTTACACGGACAGTGTTGCGTACCCACCACATACCTAACGTGAGATACGCTCTGTCCTGGCTTCCCTCGACTTCAATGTTACAGCCAGCCTTGAGACAGGCGACAGCAGCCTCCATTTTCGTCTTGAAGTAGTGGCGTCGTTTGATCATAAACATGACTTCGCCAGCGTCAGCTATTATATAACCCTTGAAGTTCCACTCCCCTCGGAGGATGTCAGTCAGGATCTCCTTGTTGGCACACGCTGGGACGCCGTCAACGCTGCAGGGAATATACTCATGGACAAAAGTCACACAACAGTAAGGTTGAAATGTTATCTTACGCCCAGCAAAGGCTACTGGGTTCCTATTCTACGCGAAATTTCAACGGGAGTTGAGAAAACGACAGGCGCTAGTCCAAACTAACCTGATAAAACATTTATGATTTTCTTCTTGTTGCCTTGGAAACTCTAAAAATAAAATAAGCGCCGGTTAATTATTTTGCCAGGTGTCAAAATATGTTCTCAATATACACTCTTCATAAAGGTGAGGTGAGGTGAAATTGGGTTTAACTTCGCGTCCAAGATTATTGCACTTATATAGCGACGTGCATGCACGTGGGTGTGTAGCTGCTTGTACTAGTCCGGACTGATGCCGATTTATAGTGCTAGCTCACTGAGATATCATGCCACAGTTTAACACGGATACCCCACTCAGACACAGTATACTGACTCCGAGCCAACCAGTCCTTGATTTAGCCCTTAATGCCGAGCGCCAGACATGGTAACAACAAGTACCATCTTTTAACGTCTTTTGGTATGACGCGGCCGGGGATCGAACCCCGGACCTTCCGTTCTCCGGGCGGACGCTCTACCACTAGACCACGGAGGCGGTCTCTTCAAAAAGAAGAAACGCACAATGTAGTTCATTGGAACCTGCGTACACAAAAAAATCCGGTATATAAACTGGATATATGTTTTGGAAAATGTTGGTGGCAAACAGTGCGTCAAAACGCAGTCAAGTTATGGCATTCGTAACTCGTGGTAGTGGCTATAAAAAGGCAAACATAAGCCAATAATTTGTCATTCAATTGTCAACATTTGAAAATGCCGAAGACTCAGCGCTGCCGATCAGAACATCGCCATAGTACGTATCCAAAGAGGGGATTCGCAGTCTTCCGGCCGACCAAGAGTTACCACCCCTGCACGGGATCTCTACATTCGACTGTTCCACCTACGTCATCGCAATGCCAGAGCTACGGAGACTGCAGAACGCATCCCTGGTTTGAGCAGCATATCGGACCAGACTGTCACGAACCATCTTCGCGAGGCTGGAATCCGACCCAGAAGACCATTTATCGTCCCTGTTTTGCTATAGATTCATCGACAGCGACGCTTGCGTTGGTGCCATACCTAACGGCCTTGAAATTTGAGAAACTGGAGACGTTTAGCGATGTATCACGAATCAAGATTTCTTCTTCATCGGCGAGATGGAAGACAACGTGTTTATCGTCGTCGAAATGAGCGTTTTGCCCGACATTGTGTACGTGAAATCGACACTTTCGGTGGCGGTAGTGTCATGGTGTGGAGGGCCATATCCTACACCACGAGACTTGGTTGTGGTTCAGGGGAATATGCCAGCAAGTCGCTACATGAATCAAATTCTTCAACCTCACCTTCTTCCAATAATTTACCGCCAGAGGGAGCTGTTTCAACAGGACAACGCTCCACCGCACACAGCTGGTGTCACGGTAGACTACCCTCATAATTCCAACCGTCAACGACTTGCCCTGGCCGTCGAGATCTCCAGGTCTCAACCCAATCGAACATCTCTGGAATGAACTCGATCGACGTGTGCGTCAACGTCAGAACACGCCGCAAACACTCCCACAACTGGCCAATACGTTACAAGCAGAATGGCGCAGAATTCCGCAGGACAGAATTCGTACTCTTATCCAGTCAGTGCCGAGGAGATGCAGAACTGTGATTGCTCCCCGGGGCGGTCACACGAGATACTGAGTTCAGCGCATACTTGTGGCCTTATGTGACATGACAATGAACAGTTTTCAATGCCTTTGTACAACGATAACATGTGACTATCGAGCTCCATAATTTTCATATTTGTAAATAAATTAAATATATCGACTTTATTAGGTACAATAAATTTACTAAAAATCTACCTGTGCGTTTCATTTTTTTAAGAGTGTATATACAGTTTATGTTCCAAGTCAGATACTTGAGATGATATTCACGTAAAAAGGTATCATCTTAGCTTATGTCGTAAAAGCAACTTTGACGTCATCTTCCATTTTTCCCCACAGTACAATGTTATGACGTCACATTGCAGCCAACGCGTACTTACAGGTTATAGGAACAGATGAGACTGTAGGCTCCGGCCTCGACACATCTCCTGAACGGTGGGAGAAAATACGTCCTCAAGTCACGTGTGCTTACCTGGTTCATGATAAATTAGAAATACTTTTGATAATTACAACCATATGAAAAAAAACAACATTATTGCAGCTTTAAAAAAACAAAACCAGCTATTGCATTCACGGGGGTATAACACCATGAATTTGGAAAATGTTCGATTGTCACTGGACAATCTGAGGTTTTAAAATGACAATAACCACCTCTGATTGAAACAGATGACTTAACGGCTGCATCACCGCGAAAGCGAATATTTTTAGAAAATGACATCTTTCTCTATCAACGTCGGATGGATTTTGAAATAATGGTATGCGTATAACAATATACAGAGTTGCAATTACTGCAATATTCAACAACGCATTTTCGAAAGGATGTCACATTACCAGATAGCGAACGGTTTGGACGGAGGCATTTTGAAACATCCAATACATAAGTCTTACTTTGGGGTCAAAGTCATGTCTATTGACTGGCCAGTCTTCTGGGCCCCCGGATATGACGTAGTGCTTGCACCCGGAACTGGTCCTCAGGTAGCGGGTATCGTTTCCGTGAAGGCCCTTGACGTGGATGTAGCCGAGTTCACCGACGTGGTACGGGTCCTCCCCGAAAGTCTCCTGAATAAAGTGACAGTGCGTGAATGTTGTTTTACGTCCCTAGTAGGAGATATGAGTACAATTTGAAGCAGGCACCAAGAGATAAGGCACTTATTAAGTTGATATACTGGAAAGAATGGTTTATTACCGAAAATACCGGGAACGTTCATGCAGAATTTGATGTATGCTCCCAAAAATAAGGTACCGTCCATTTGATAATTTGATACTAGTGAGTGAGTGAGTTGGGTATAACGCCGCTTTTAACACTATTCCAGTTATATCGCGGCGTGTCAGCTTAATGTGAGAGGAAAGCCCGAAGTGATGCAGGTCTCAGACGTTTACCACTTCGGTGAAACCCAAGAGCTCGGGTATGGTGCTGACAAACCTACAAACATAATCGGGGCGAACCGGCATTCGAACCCACAATCATAGGTTTCTGGCGTGCCCAAGGGACGCAACTCTGCACAGCGAATCGCGGCGCCTTGGAGACTGGGCCACCCGTGCCCCCAATTTCTTTTTCTTTTTTTCTTTTTTTTTTAATACTAAGGAAAGAATAATTTGTTACCGAAAATACCGGAAACGTTCACGCATTATTACGGATTTCTTAAAAGTGACAACATTCCGAAAGCACAGATTTTCTTATTTACCTGCCCTCTTCCCCAACGAGGATCTCTAAATGTGTCGACATTCGGGCTGAAACAGCTGATGGCCTTGTGTATCCCCAGACGTTCGTGACGCGCCATGTAGTAGTTAAAGTAGGCCCGCACTTCCGTACTGGTCACTACGGCCATCCGGTACACAAGGTCCGCACTGAAGACGAGGTCACGTGATGTTGGGAATAAAATAAATTAAATATGAAATAAATATATAATGTCAACGCCAGAGAATAACCTCTCTCGATAATCCAACGAAACAGATTCCGGAACTGAAATACATATTTGAATGTCAGATTGGAAATAACCCCGAACAATTATTGTACTGTGTAAAGAATTAGAAAGAATAGAACGAAAGAATTTCGACGTCGTAAGATGAACATGAACAAATACAACAAATATCGACCAAACTGTACTTCGAAGGAAACAGAACATAAAAAGGGACAAAACCCTTTCCATGTTCATAAGAAATCTCTGCTAAAAGCAGAATCGATTGTACGATTCCGACTATGTCATGAAATAGTGATTATACCAGGTGCTCGTGTATCCTGCCCCACCGGAGGCACCCGTCACAAACACATGCGAAGGCAGGGCAATTGGTCACTTGAAACAACACGGAAACATATGGTATAGGGAATTGTATCGGACATCATTTTGGTCACTGATGACCCAGCCTCTTACTAACAGTCAGTGCTGGCCTTGAGACACATTATCTATGCGTGTATCTTTTTGACAAAGAGATGGTTGAACAAGGTCACAGAGTAGGGTTTAAATGGGAGTGTGTACTGGATTTCCAGATGGTGCACACACTGGTAAATTATCATTGCTGGCCTTGGGAAATATTATTGGACGGCGCAAGGCACCGTGCCTTATTCATTTTTGGTTTGAGAATGAGTAATAGTTGGAAACATGAAACAGAACGTTTCAAAGAATTTAATCTTTGTCTCACATATTTATAATGATATGCGTACATACGAACTGTAAATCATTACACTTAACATGTTAATGTTTATGCAGGCGCTAGGAGGCCACTCCATCTCTATCCGACCTATGTCCCAAACAGCATTTCACTGCGGTGAAACGTTGACCCATTTTCGTGTGGCGAGGTCTACCTGTCGAGGGGGAAGGGGACAGGCCTATAGCACATCGCTATGCGGGCAACGTTAATCCAGTTTCCGTGTAGCGAGATATTAGCACTTTTGGAAAGTGTGAATAATTGATGTGTCAGGCTACAGGAGTAAACATTTTACCATTAGAGAGGTAACTCGAATAAAAATAGCACACGCCCCACAACGATCTACTTCATCATAAAATAATATTCAAAAAATGTAGCTATTACTTGAATTTATTCATTTGAAAAAATGTTAATAACTTTACTACTGTAAATATATAAATATATCATGTATGATTGTGTCAACTCAATACCCCTTGTCCCTTGAAAACAATAACAAATGTTTCAGAAAGTCATACTCGTGAAAACATGCTACTAGTTTTATTTTCATAATTATTGTTTGATTTCTACTTGTCACATAAATATTTGAACTGAAATGTGCCTTATTCTCATTCCTGATTCTGAAGATACTAGATGGAAAGCACAACTTGTTTAAACTTCTGGGTTTAATATGTGCACTTTACGACGGTATAGGTATTTGCATCAATAGGGAGGTGTACGACAGAATTTCTTTGCGCCGTGTTGATCCTTAGGATTAAAATTATCTTATCAATGCTGTTATCTGTTTGACCAAGAATTAGTGGAACAAGGCCATGAATTGTATATTTGGGAGTGTATACTGGAGTTCCAGATGGTGCACGAACTGGCGAAATGTCAGGTATAGAAAGATATAGTAACTGGTTTGAACTGATAATGTCCTTAATCTGGGTCAGTATCATTACATGTTCGAGAGAGAGAGAGAGAGAGAGAGAGAGAGAGAGAGAGAGAGAGAGAGAGAGAGAGAGAGAGAAGGGGGGAGAGAGTCATAATATTGTCGCACAATTGTCATTATATTGTCACACTTTTGTCACACTATTATCGCACTATTGTCACACAGTTGCCACACTATTGTCACACAGTTGCCACACTATTGTCACGCTGTTGTCACGCTACTGTCACCCTATTGTCACACTATTGTCGCACTATTGTCACACTTTTGTCACACTATTATCGCACTATTGTCGCACAGTTGTACCACTATTGCCACAATATTGTCCGATATTGTCACGCTATTGTCACGCTATTGTCACACTATTGTCACACTATTGTCGCACTATTGTCACACTTTTGTCACACTATTGTCGCACAGTTGTCACACTATTGCCACACTATTGTCACACTATTGTCACGCTATTGTCACGCTATTGTCACACTATTGTCACACTATTGTCGCACTATTGTCACACTTTTGTCACACTATTATCGCACTATTGTCGCACAGTTGTCACACTATTGTCACGCTGTTGTCACGCTATTGTCACGCTATTGTCACACTATTGTCACGCTATTGTCACACTATTGTCACACTATTGTCACACTATTGTCACACTTTTATCACACTATTATCGCACTATTGTCGCACAGTTGTAACACTATTGCCACAATATTGTCACGCTATTGTCACGCTATTGTCACACTTTTGTCACACTATTATCGCACTATTGTCGCACAGTTGTCACACTATTGTCAGACTATTATCGCACTATTGTCACATTATTGTATTGCTATTGTCTCATTGTCAAATTCTGTGATTTCAAAGAAAAGATGTCTGAGATACCCTTCAGCAATTGTGTATTATGCCATTTTTTTTAAAGTTAAAAATCAAATCATATTTTTAGAATTAAAATCATGTAAAAGTTTTCTTTGAGTGCTGACAAAGCGCCAGTACAGTTCGTTCTTCAGTATATAATATCGCTGACTTAAGATATTTTCAGTTGCAAATCAAACATGAAGTGGGAGGAAACTCTGAGGAGAAGCTGGCCTTAAGGCGTTTTCCACTTCAGTGATGCCCACGAGAACAGTGGTGCCCACGAGAACAGTGATGTCCACGAGATCAGAGATGCCCACCAGAACAGTTGTGCCCACGAGAACAGTGATGCCAACGAGAACAGTGATGCCCACCAGAACAGTTGTGCCCACGAGAACAGTGATGCCCACCAGAACAGTTGTGCCCACGAGAACAGTGATGCCAACGAGAACAGTGATGTCCACGAGAACAGTGATGCCCACCAGAACAGTTGCGCCCACGAGAACAGTGATGCCAACGAGAACAGTGATGTCCACGAGAACAGTGATGCCCACGAGAACAGTGATGCCAACGAGAACAGTGATGCCCACGAGAACAGTGATGCCCACCAGAACAGTTGTGCCCACGAGAACAGTGATGCCCACGAGATGCCCACGAGAACAGTGATGCCCACCAGAACAGTGATGCCCACGAGAACAGTGATGCCCACCAGAACAGTTGTGCCCACGAGAACAGTGATGCCCACCAGAACAGTTGTGCCCACGAGAACAGTGATGCCCACCAGAACAGTTGTGCCCACGAGAACAGTGATGCCCACCAGAACAGTTGTGCCACCGAGAACAGTGATGCCCACGAGAACAGTTGTGCCCACGAGAACAGTGATGCCCACCAGAACAGTGATGCCAACGAGAACAGTGATGCCCACGAGAACAGTGATGCCCACGAGAACAGTTGTGCCCACGAGAACAGTGATGCCCACGAGAACAGTTGTGCCCACGAGAACAGTGATGCCCACCAGAACAGTGATGCCAACGAGAACAGTGATGCCCACGAGAACAGTGATGCCCACGAGAACAGTTGTGCCCACGAGAACAGTGATGCCCACGAGAACAGTTGTGCCCACGAGAACAGTGATGCCCACGAGAACAGTGATGCCCGCGAAAACAGTTGTGCCCACGAGAACAGTTGTGCCCACGAGAACAGTGATGCCCACGAGAACAGTGATGCCCACGAGAACAGTTGTGCCCACGAGAACAGTGATGCCCACGAGAACAGTTGTGCCCACGAGAACAGTGATGCCCACGAGAACAGTGATGCCAACGAGAACAGTGATGCCCACGAGAACAGTTGTGCCCACGAGAACAGTGATGCCCACGAGAACAGGGATGCCCACGAGAACAGTGATGCCCACGAGAACAGTGATGCAAACGAGAACAGGGATGTCAACGAGAACAGGGATGACCACGAGAACAGGGATGCCCACGAGAACAGTGATGCCCACGAGAACAGTGATGCCCACGAGAACGGAGCATATGGTGCTGACAAACCTAGCGCGAACTGGCATTCGGACCCTAGGCCATATGTTTAGGGCAGGCTAAAGGTACGCGATTCTTCCCCAAAATAAGTAGGGGTGGATGAATGTGGCGATTAGTTTCAGTCTGTTAGCATTTACTCATGTTAGGAGAAGCAAAGGTAAGCCTTCTTATGTACGGGTCAATTCAAGGTATATAAAACTCACTCAAAGAAGGCACCATAGTTACTCATGTTAGGAGCAGCAAAGGTAAATGGATTTATGTACGGGTCAATTCAAGGTATATAAAGACTCACTGAAAGAAGGCACCATAGTTACTCATGTTAGGAGCAGCAAAGGTAAATGGATTTATGTAAGGGTCAATTCTAGGGCATAAAAAGACTCACTCAAAGAAGGCACCATAGTTACTCATGTTAGGAGCAGCAAAGGTAAATGGATTTATGTAAGGGTCAATTCTAGGGCATAAAAAGACTCACTCAAAGAAGGCACCATAGTTACTCATGTTAGGAGCAGCAAAGGTAAATGGATTTATGTAAGGGTCAATTCAAGGTATATAAAGACTCACTGAAAGAAGGCACCATAGTTACTCATGTTAGGAGCAGCAAAGGTAAATGGATTTATGTAAGGGTCAATTCTAGGGCATAAAAAGACTCACTCAAAGGAAGCACCAATTCCTATAAACTGTGGAAACCCCGTGGCGTTCCTTGTGACATCCCCGCGGCCACAATTGCTCCACCAGGCGTAGTTCGTGAGCCCCAGACGCTTTATTGGCGGAGACTCGTCTGGTGGACACAGAACCAACAGCGTCAACTACACATGCAACATCGCCATCAACGAAAAACAAAGTCATTGTGGAAACAGATATAACTGCATGCCCCTTTTTTATATTAGATACCCAACACTCATAACGGGGATATTGGGAAGCTTGGCAGTTAAAGAGTCGACTCATCTCTGAAAACCTGATTTCGGATACCAAATTGGGTACAAAGTAGAGTCATATGAAAGTTCGCATAAAGAAAAATAATTTTTCTCTATTTTTGTTGCCACTTTTTCATCAATATATTTTTCTTGTTATTTTAATAAATAAATTTATTTTCTCGAAATTTCGACTTTCTTTCGTTAATTCAATTTTTTCTCTCCAAATTTCGAGTTTTTAGAACAAAATTGAATTAGCGAGAAAATAATCGAAATTACGAAGGACAAGCGGGTTCACCCTGGGACCGTGTATTTTGTTTGGACCGTTTGAACAAAGTCTCCGAAGACTCACCTTGACCGCTGGCCAGTTGGACTTGTATCTCCTGCAAGGTCATACGACTGACGAGGTCATCCACCCTAGCATCCCACCCCAGGTTGGTGTTCTGGTACGGCAGCGCGCCATGAGCAACATGCACGACTGCAACACACACAACGACCACGAGTGAAACTGTCATGGTGAAATAGTGAAATTCCTGAAACAGTTTCTTTTATAGGCGCCGGATAATAGATAGATATCTATTTTGGTGTCAGGCGAATGTTCTTTGTCGTATTCACGGTCATGTCTAATCTTTGACCTGAATGAAAAAAAGGAAATCAGAATACATGAGTAGGAAATCAGCTATAACATTGTTCACATATTATTGTTCCCACGATTTTGTTTGTTTATTTGTTGTCAGAAATATTCAAGCTATATGACGGCGGTCTGTAAACAATCGAGTCTAAACCAGACAATCCAGTGATTGGCAACATGAGCTCGATCCACGCAATTGTGATGTAAAGACTTCAGATGTTTGTTCTAGTTTCTATCGTTCCACTTACCCCGTTCTGTCGTGACGAAATCCTCCCAGTGAACTTGTATCCTCCTTTTTTTTGGTTGAATCTTCATTGATGGAAGTTAAGGGACGTTCAGACCAAGGGTCCCATGCTTGCCGTAAAAGGTGATTATGCTTGTCGTAAAAGGCGACTAACGGGATCGGGTGGTCAGACTCGCTGACTTGGTTGATGCATGTCATCGATCCCAATTGCATGGATCGATGCTCCTGATATCAATCAATGGATTGTCTGGTCCAGAGTCGATTATTTACAGACCGCCGTCATATAGCTGGAATATTGCAGAGTGCGGCGTTCAACAACAAACCAACCAACCAACCAACCCTAGGGTCATCATCACCAAGGCTTGTTCTCCCAGCCTTAAACATAGCTGCCAAACGTTTAACTGTGGAATAGCTTAGGCACTTATCCCCATACACTTGTAACATGCGGTCATGGATTTCTTGGGATACATTTCATGAATACTTTTCTCTAAAGTCAAATACTTGAAGACTGCTCTGTACTCGTTCTTTCCCATTCCTTGTCCATTTGGACCCCAACACGTTCAACTGGCTGTCACTAATATACCAACGGCGAAGAGACAAATACACTTGCAATGGCCCATAGTTGAAAGTAAGACAGGCTTAACACTTTTGGACCAGCCCTCGTATATTGAAATAGCCTATAACAAGTGTTGACAGTGTTGTTTAACTGTTGGGCATGGTTGAGAATAATCACAACAAAGAATCATCCAGCTATTATTACCAGTTATGTAATAACCATACTGTGGCAAATATTGTGGTTTTTTGCTTAACCAAGTTCCTGAATATATGAAATAAGTAAGATAATAAACTTCGGTGAGTGAGTGAGTGAGTTGGGTTTAACGCCGCTTTTAACATTATTACAGTTATATCACGGCGTGTCAGCTTAATGTGGGAGGAAAGCCTGAAGTGATGCAAGTCTCAGACGTTTACCACTTCGGTGAAACCCACGAGCACGGGTATGGTGCTGACAAACCTAGAAACATAATTGGGGCGAACCGGGATTCGAACCCACAATCATAGGTTTCTGGCGTGTCCAGGGGACGCAACTCTGCACAGCGAATCGCGGCGCCTTAGACGACTGGGCCACCCGTGCCCCCTTAATAAACTTCGGAGAAACGGAAACTACACAGCTCAGTTGATTTTATCACATGTTTATTTTCAATAGATGATCTTGAGTTAACCATATTATATCCTAGAAATAAACTGTACCAGTGCTTAGTCAGCACTCAAAGAATACTTCCAGATGGTTACATTTTTTTAAACATATTAATTTGATTTAAAACTTTTTAAAATTAAACAAAATAAACCCGCATTATATAGTATTCTGTGAAAATCAATAAATTTGCTTTTTTATGTTATGGTTAAATAGACTTCATCAAATTTAAGTTCTTTATTTTTCAATTACTTAAAAGACGAAGAAGGTATAGTTTCTTTTGTCCCTCAGTGTATATTTCCATTTAGTGGCCATTAGCTTTGGGAGTGATCGTCATATTTAATTTTCCAATTCAAATGTGTAAAGAGGTAATTGCAATTCTAAAGAGGTAATATGTTTGATTATATTTAATCAAAATAGTTAAATTGCAATTATCCTTTTGTGCGAATTTATACTTAATAGGCTCAGGTGGTAAGCTGACATTTAACCATCTTGAAGCAAAAGCGTATAAGATATATACATGTATGCTGGATCCGTCCGCTGAATACAGATTAACGGACGGCTCGTGGTCAGTGTTTCGTAAAGCATTTTCATTCATTTTGATTACTTGTTTGTTGTTTAACGCCGCAGTCAGCATTGTTCAAGTTGTATGGAAGTTAGTGAGTGAGTGAGTGAGTTGGGGGACCTGCACGGGTGTGGTGCATGGGCACAACGTGTGTCGACTGGTTAGAGATGGACCGTCGCTGTCAAAGCCTCTATAGAAATGTCCAACAGTTCCAAGATGAGACACGCTGAACAAACCCTCCGTACAACGACATCGAAAACTTTAATTGTACGAACTGAACAAACACGTGTTGATCGAATTTATTAGAAGTGGTATTATATGTACGTTACAAACATTTACCTGACATATTGCTACTTTGCATTTTTACCCACTCTGTCAAAGCCACTGTTAACAGTGTTTCAGCGTGTCAGCTTGATATATAAGAAAAGCCCGAAGTGATGCAGGTCTCAGACATTTACCCACGAGTACAGGTATGATGCTGACAGGCCTAGACGTAGTCAGAGCAAATCTGGGATTCGAAACCTCAATCATAAATGCCAGGCGTGCCTAAGGGACGCAACTCTGCGCAGTGAATCGCAGCGCCTTGAATGACTGGGCCAACTGTGCCCCTATATTCCCCTGTGAAGGTGTTATGAGGGAGTGAGAGGGTGAGTAGGGTTTAACGCCGCTTTTAACAGTATTCCAGTTATATCACGGCGTGTCAGCTTAATGTGGGAGGAAAGCCCGAAGTGGTGCAGGTCTCAGACGTTTACCACTTCGGTGAAACCCACGAGCACGGGTATGGTGCTGACAAACCTACAAACATAATCGGGGCGAACCGACATTCGAACCCACAATCAAAGGTTTCTGGCGTGCCCAAGGGACGCAACTCTGCACAGCGAATCGCGGCGACTTAGACGACTGGGCCACCCGTGCCCCCGAAGGTGTTATGAAGTCAGAGCATGACCAACATAGAGCATACTGAAACATAGGATTCTCTGGCTATTGAAATGTACTAATGACCTACACGCCTTCTTCACGCCGCCTCCGTGGTCCAGTGGTAGAGCATCCGCCAGGAGAGCGGAAGGACCGGGGTTCCATCTCCGGCCGCGTCATACCAAAAGACGTCAAAGGACGCTACCTGATGTTTTTGTGTGTGTCTGGCGCTTGATATTAAGTGGCTTAAATAAGGACTAGTCGGGTCGGAGTCAGTATACTGTATCTGAGTGGGGTATTCTTGTTAAACTGCGGCATGGTATGTTAGTGGGCTAGCACTATAAATCGGCATGCATCAGCCTGGACTAGTACAAGCAGCCACGCACGCACGCACGCACGCACGCACGCACGCACGCACACACACATGCACGTCTCTATATAAGTGCAATAATCTTGGACGCGACGTAAACCCCATTTTCACCTCAGCTCACCCGGGGAATGGATTTCATAAGATCTTCCATCTTCGTCCACGTGAGTATGGTTTTTTGCCACCTTTAGCAATATTCCAGCAATATCAGAAATGCCCTCGTGACCAAGTAGGTGAACGTCTTCGGCGAGATAAGAAAACACGACACTTCTCAATGGATATGAACTTCTTTTATTTCTTTTAACGACAATTCAGAGGTACTTCTTGTGGAAAGAGTTTTGTACCTTATATTTGTGGATGCTGTGCAGTGTAAACGATGCTTGTTTGATACCCTACAACGTACGTAATAAGTGCGGACTAAGAAATATCTAAGACTAAAAAATATATTGTCAACCATAAATTTGATGTCGCTATAATCATCATTTTCTTCCACAATCAAGTTCCGGTTCCATCGGCTATGCACGATATTTTGTCCCGCAGGTTAAGATTCTATAAATAGAATAGTGAGTGAGTATGGTTTTACGCCGCTTTTAGCAATATTCCAGCAATATCACGGCGGGGAACACCAGAAATGGGCTTCACACATTGTACCCATGTCGGTAATCGAACCCGGGTCTTCGGCGTGACGAGCGAACGCTTAAACCACTAGTCTACCCGACCGCGCCTATAAATAGTTTAAGTATTGTTAAGTTTACATAGAACGTCTGATGCACAGGATGCTAAATATGGCAGCTGACAGAGTAGCAGGTATCAACAGGCAGGTATCTCCCTGGTTGCGTCCAGCTCCATTGACGGGGCATCTGGGCGTCCCTCTCTCCCCCTCCCCCTCCCCCTCCTCCTCCCCCGTGTACTCCCAGTTCCCACACCGGGGGAAGTGTTTGGGGGGTCGGGGCATCTGGTTCAGTTCCCCCACCTGCACGATGAGGCCCATCCCGATTGCCTTGTGGAAGTCGATGTGGCAGTGCAGCAGCCAGAAGCCTGCACACAGAACATTGATCATCGTGAGTGAGTGAGTTAGGTTTAACGCCGCTTTTAACATTATTCCAGTTATATCACGGCGTGTCAGCTTAATGTGGGAGGAAAGCCCGAAGTGATGCAGGTCCCAGACGTTTACCACTTCGGTGAAACCCACGAGCACGGGTATGGTGCTGACAAACCTAGAAACATAATCAGGGCGAACCGGGATTCGAACCCACATTCATAGGTTTCTGGCGTGCCCAAGGGAGGCAACTCTGCACGGCGAATCGCGGCGCCTTAGACGACTGGGCCACCCGTGCCCCCTCGAACATCGTGAGTGAATGATTGTTGTTTGTGGTTTGTTGCCGTACTCAGTAATATTCCATCTAGATAACGGACTGTAAATAATCAAGTCTGCACCAGACAATCCAGTGAGTGACGTTATGAGCATCGATCCACGCAATTGGGATACGATGACATGCATCAATCAGGTCAGCGAGCCTGACCACCCGATCACGTTAGTCACCTCCTACGGCTAGCACAGCCGCCTTTTACGGCAAGCATGGGTTGCTGAAGACCTATTTTACCCCGGATCTTCAAGGGCCCAAAATGACTCGGTAACCGTCCTAGAACTAACCGAGTAAATCCACCTGCTATCTGCTACCACTGGCTGTACTGGCGACTTCATAACAAGTCTCCGCTTTGTCCAACAGTTCCAAGATGAGACACGCTGGACAAACCCTCCGACGTACATTTGGGATACGATGACATGCATTGATCAAATCAGCGAGCCTGACCACCCGATCCCATTAGTCGCCTCTTACGGCAAGCATAGTCACATTTACGGCAAGCATAGTCGCCTCTTACGGCAAGCATTGGCTGCTGAAGATGAATTCTAACCGGGATCTTCAAGGGTGTAAGTGAATAATTTCTTTTAGAATTGTACGCTGATTTTAGCAATACAACTGCAAGAGGCATATATAATGATATAATAGTCCATTTGTACAGAGCGTGTCCATGCTGGATCTCATTGTCATGGATCAGTGTGCACTTGCTTTTCATTCTCAGGGGGAAACAACCCAGGCTGAAGGCGCTGGAAGGTTAACAGTCGCATATACATTTTATCCAACCGGTACCCATTCACTGCTGGGCGAACACAGGCACATGTTCAACAAGTATCTTGCCCAAGGTGACACCACACGTGCTACATGTTCTTCAGTTTGGGGCAAGACCGAAGCCCAAAAAACTCTCAGGGGTCAAAGCTGCCAAACACGGTCATCCATCCAAGGACTCTCTGCGATCAACGTTGCTTAACTTCACCTGACGCTTTCGACTCTCAGTTATACCACCATCTTCCCTAAGCAAGGGAGTTAACTGACTGGAAACTGGAAACGGATGATCTTGTAACCTACCCGGGTTATAGTCATATACACTGATGATCTTGCATCCTACCCGGGTTATCAGCGTGAAACCTGATGATCTTGCAACCTACCCAGGTTATCAACATGAAACCTGATGATCTTGCAACCTACCCGGGTTATCAGCGTGAAACCTGATGATTGTGTAGCCGCCATCAGCAACAGTGACAGTGTCTTTAGCTACAGGTGTTTCTAGATTCCTTTCTATCAGGCCAGCTTCGTCCATCTGCTTGATCTCCCGTAAAGATGTAGACTTGTTGAGCTGGGAAATAGAGACTTAAATCACCAGGAGAGCATCGCAATTGGGAACCTCTCCTTTAGAAGCGTGGTTAACTGATAACACGGCTTATGGGCTATTGAGTGAGTGAGTAGGTGCGTGAGTGTGTAAATGGGCGAGTGAGTGTGGGTGGGTGTGGGTGGGTCTGGTGGGGCGTTGGGCAGCCTGGTGGTTAAAGCGTTCTCTCATCACGCTACTGCCCGGTTTCGATTTCACACAACGCGTGAAGCCCATTTGTGGTTCCCCCGCTGTGGTATAACTGGAATATTTAAAAAAAATGGGTGGCCCAGTCGTCTAAGGCGCCGCTGTGCAGAGTTGCGTCCCTTAGGCACGTCAGAAACCTATGATTGTGGGTTCGAATCCCGGTTCGCCCCAATTATGTTTCTAGGTTTGTCAGCACCATACCCGTGCTCGTGGGTTTCACCGAAGTGGTAAACGTCTGAGACCTGCATTACTTCGGGCTTTCCTCCCACATTAAGCTGACACGCCGTGATATAACTGGAATACTGTTAAAAGCGGCGTTAAACCCATCTCACTCACTCACTACAGATAACAGAATGGATATGATCAGCGACAATGACCTCACCTTGTCCATAGCGACCACCCGGAAGTGGTGGCCATGTAGATGCATCGGGTGGTTGGCGTTGAAGGTGACGCCCTCGTCAATGAGCACCATCTCCACGGTGTCGTCTAGGTCGACCTTGATGACGTGGATACACTCACAGTACTCCCGGCGGCAGTTCCTGGTGTCGTGCGGACCACAGAACATGTCCTGTGGGGAAAAGGTGTCTTATCTTGTATGTTCGCATATCTACATGCATACGGGCGGAGGGTAGCCTAGTGGTTAAAGCGTTCGCTCATCACGCTGAAGACCCGGGCTCCATTCCCCACATGAGTACAATATCAGAAGCCCATTTCGGATGTCCCCCGTCGTGATATTGCCGGAATATTGCTAAAAAAAGCGGCGTAAGACCATACTCACTCACTCTACATGCATAACCTTGTTTATCATATAATGGGAAGGTTTCTCGGCATGGTGAAACCAACGGATAAAAACGGTATCCGTCGGGTGCATTTATGGCTATGCACAGATATGCAAATAAAAAAGGTCAGGTAGGCACTACTTTCAGCGCTCACAAACAAGTATGGAGAGACAGACAGTTTCCACTGATGTCATCATATCTCACCAAGCTGTTTTGGTAGAGAATTAGTTAATACTTTATAATGCTCGGCTAGGAGTCAGTATACTGTGTCTGAGTGGGGTATTCTTGTTAAACTGCGGCATGGTTTCTCAGTGAGCTAGCACTATAAATCGGCATCAGTCCGGACTTGTACAAGCAGCCACACACACACGTGCATGCACGTCGCTATATAAGTGCAATAATCTACGACGTGACGTAAAACCCCATTTCACCTCACCGTCAGTACACTGACACATATTACTAGGTCAGATACCTTTTACTGCTGCTTGTTTCACCCGCTGTATTGCCTTTTTTGTGATTGAAAACCTAATCCTGCTTGTTTCAATTTAATTTGTTAATTATTCATTGATCTTGTGCTGTCATTTATTGATTTTACAATCAAGAAATCTACGACCCGATTTCTGGGTTTGGCTTTGCGTGTCAATTTTGAAGTCAAATCGTTACAAAATTATGAGCTGTAATCTAGAAACTCAGTGGCCATACTTGCACCCGATCACCCATCCAACTACTCTCCGCGCGACGTTTCTCAACTTCACGTGATACCTGACCTGTTCATCATTGTACACGGGACCATTTGCCACCAGTTGATGTTTGTTATTCTCACCTTGGGTATATCTCCGTACTGTGACAGAAGCGGGGACGGTGGTTGAATGTTGGTGATGTGATTCAACTGTGGCACATAGAGTTTCATATGCCGGCTGACGGCAGTCAAGGGGTATAACTCTTCGTGATTGAACTTATAGTTGTCTAACTTGTTGAAGTCCATTGCAACGTAGAACTTCTTATCGGGCACCTGTTTCATGTGGAGGGGGTCTGCCAGGGTGGTGTTCAGCAACGACACGGGGGTCCGGCCAGGGCCGCCCTTCTCGTTCCAGGGGTTCAACAGCTTAAAGATGGACAGCCGTTATATTAGTGTTACACATAGTACAGGAGGCGGTTGGGTGTCCAAGTGGTAAAGTGTTCGCTCGTATTGCCGAAGTCCCGGGTTCGCTTCCCCACATGGGTACAATGTGTGAAGCCCATTTCTGGTGTCCCTTGCAGGGGTATGGCTGAAATATTGCTAAAAGCGGCGTAAAATCAAACTCACTCACTCATTCACATATCGCACAGCACATCCAACCGTAGCATATTAGGCACACAATATGATTACAACTTATGGAAATCATTACTTTAAATACCACGCGAAAAAGACACAAGATCATGTAAAAGATCTTTGAATTGTGATCATACTAAACACGAAATCCCGAGAGGATTCCGGGTTTGAATTGGTACCTAAAAGGCGAATTAATGGACCGAGTTGGTACATGTCTTGTATCCCAATTGCGAGGATCGATGCTCATGATGTCAGTCACTGTTTTTTTCTTGTCTAGGCTCGATTATTTACTGGCCACTGTCATATAACTGGAATCTTACTGAGTACGGCTTGAAACAACAAACAAACAAACAAACAAACAAAAAAAGACACTTTCGCTTGATCTAGTCAATGTTAAGGTGGGGCGGTTAAAGGCTTCGGTTCAATTCCTTACATGGTATAATGTGTGAAGCCATTTCCGGTGTCCTCCGCCGTGGCAGAGCAAAATGCAAAAAGCGGTGTAAAACCCAACTCACTCACTCACTCACTCACTCACTCACTCACTCGTCCATGTTACACGTGTCATGACCAGTGTGCTAACCTTCCCGTTTCTCCGCCCACTGTCGTAGTCAGTAGGTCCACTTGGCTGGGTCTCCGTGGCGTTCTCATACCTCAAGATGGCCACCTGTTTCGTTGACTTCGCACCACAAAGCCCCAGTCCTCGAGTTCGAATCCAGTAGTTACCGACACCCTTATCAGCGTCCAGTATGAAGTCAAACCTAGCAACATAGACACAAACTGATAAAACGTCAAAAGACGTTTTTTTCTGTAAAACAAGTGGTAGCTGCTGTAGATAGTGAATGAGTGAGTTAGTTGGGGTTAGGGTCGTTTTTTTAACAGTATTTCAGTTATATAACGGCGTGTCAGATTGACGTGGAACGTAATACCCAATAATGCACGTCTTAGACGTTTACAACTTTGGTGAAGCCCACAAGCACGGGTATGGTGCCGACAAACCTAGAAACATAATCAGGGCGAACGGGGAGTCGAAACGATCATTGAACTCTCGCGCGCCCAAGGGACGCAACTCTGCAAAGCCAATTGCGGCGACTTAACCGACAGGGCTACCTTTGACCCCAGATATGACGATCAACACGGACACGAGGATAAGTTTATAAGGACCAGCAATAGAGACAACATTAAACATAAGAGTTGCTCACCATTACATATTTGGAATAGGTCTTCAGCAACCCATGCTTGCCGTAAAGGCGACTGTGCTTGTCGTAAAAGGCGACTAACGGGATCGGGTGGTCAGGCTCGCTGACTTGGTTGATGCATGTCATCGATCCCAATTGCGTGGATCGATGTTCATGATATCAATCACTGGATTGTCTGGTCCAGACTCGATTATTTACAGACCGCCGTCATATAGCTGTAATATTGCTGAGTGCGGCGTTAAACAACCAACCAACCAACCAACCAACATATTTAGATGACCCACATGCAAGGAGGAATTAGGAGGTTGGGTAGCCTAGTGGTTAAAGATTTCGCTCGTCACGCCAAAGGCCAGGATTCGATTCCAAACATGAGTACAATGCGTGAACATAAGAGTTGCTCACCATTACATATTTAGATGACCCACATGCAATGAGGAATTGGGCGGTGGGGTAGCCCAGTGGATAAGGCGTTCGCTCGGCTCGCCTTAAGCCCGGGTTCGATTCCCAACAGGTGTACAATGCGTGAAGCCTATTTCTGGTGTCCCCCGCCGTGATATTGCTGGAATACTGCTAAAAGCGGCATCAAACCATACTCACTCATCACTCATCACTCAGTGAGGAGTAAGTGCTTATCGGTCTCGGTTTTAAGCCTTGGCGACAATAATTCACGGGAGACCTATAATCCGTTATTCCGAGTGGCGAGTAGGTTATTCTGTATATAACTCGTGGTCTGTGTATGTCCTGATCTCAGATGGAGACATCAGCTTATAATTATATTGTTGGAACTACGTCACATTAAATTGGCATGACGTCATAAACAATTAATTACGTCACGTATTATTGGCGACAATGAGTCCGTATGGTGTCACGTTGCTATCGGCCTCTTCTCGAACCATCAAAATAATTATTAATATATTGTTCAGTGAAAATGATTAATATTATAAAGTTTCGCGTTCGGCTCAGCCCTCACAAATTGAACTAGGTTGCCATTTTAATATTCCTTGCGAATTTAGAAAATGTAAAGTTAAATAATATTTTTGTTTTGTTAATTTGTCAATCATATAGCCATTTTAGGCAAAATAATATCATACCAAATATTATAGCATTCAAAAGACTCAATACATGCAATAAAACAGGAAACTATTTCTGAAATGTTACTATTTTGAGAACACAAAAACTCCAGCTTTGATAGCACAAACTTATAATTTACGTTAAAATGGCTATTGTTGCATCTTGTATTTTGTACCTGATAATATTTTACGTAATTTGAATATGAAAATAATCGTATATTTTGAACACTATCCCAGAGACTTTTAACAGTACTGGAGCAGTAATTTTTTAAAATTACATAAAGGTGTCTGTCGCCTCAAAGAAACAAAAAATCATGCGCAATGTCTTGCCAACGAAAGACAAGAAGTCGTCTTAACACTCTAGGTCAAATCTCCCAGTATTCAAATCCAAGAGTCAAGGGTACCTTTCTCCTGCGAACACGTTAAAGGAGCTGACAACGATGGGGTCGTGTGGTACCCCATCGGTGGCGATCATGATGATGTCGTGGTGGTCAACAGAGACCTGGATGGGGCAGCTCATGATGCCGTTGCTGATGACCCGGAAGCGGTACCTCCGGTCCTTCTGGACGTTGAACACAGCGAGAGGGGTGTGGGTGGTCTGGTTGGTGTTTGGAATCGGAAACTCACGGAACGTTCCACGGCCTGGACACACAGAAACAGAGAACTCGTTCCTAACATCTCCTTGATAACCGATCTCTCAAAATATTTCATATTGTTTTTATTGATCTATATTGATATGCATGAATACAAATATTTTCAGAAGCTAAGAAAAATGGGTTCAACGAAACTTTATAGTGTATGGATGGTGTATAAGAGTCGTCTGACAAGAACCAAACACAAATATCAAAAAGATGAATTAATTTTATAAAAATGCGATTGATGCTTTTTTTAAATTTTGTCACTTCAAATTAAAAATAACGTTATTTGATGTAAATTCTAGCTGCTCTCTCGCTCTGTGCAGTAATTTTGTCCTCAATTTGAAACTGTCAGCGACGTAAACAGTAAACTACGGTTATAACGAACTCAAATGGACCACTAATTTTTGTTCGTTATAACCGTAGTTCGTAATAAGCATATATACAACATCCATAAACCAAATGGCCGGGACCAAAAATTAAAGTTCGTAATATCCGTCAGTTCGTTATAAGCGTGTTCGTTATAAACGTATTTTACTGTATATAGTCACCATTGATGAGCATAGACGCCGGTTTGTTGTCATAGCCTGCGTGATGGTGGCCGGCGAATCTGTTGATCGTCAACTCCACCAGCCAGTCGTGTACTATCATGGTGTGTTCTGGAAGGTCATGGTCAAACAGGTGCGAGGCTGGATCACGTGACAGAGGTTCCCGGATGACCAGTGCCCCGAACAGCCCGTCAGAGCGGTGCGTGCCAGCGTGGCCGTGCCAGAAGTGAGTGCCCCGGTTACCTCCCTTGAACCTTCGGTGGAAGAAGAATGCATTTAAGTACATATTTATGTCAGGCCTAGATCCAAAGGGAAGATTAATCGTTGCAATATCATTGTAAAATGAACACTGAACGAGACAACGAATAGGCACATTGTGGGTGTCCCGTGTGCAAGCTCTTCTTAAGAGGCACGGGCGCCCCAGTCGTTTATATCGCCGCAATTCGCTGTGCGGAGTTGTGTCCCTTGGGCACGTCAGAAACCGACGATTGTAGGTTCGTTTCCCGGTTCGCCCCGATTATGTTTCTATGTTTGTCAGCACCATTCCCGTGCTCGTGGGTTTCACCGAAGTGGTAAACGTCTGAGACCTGCATCACTTCGGATTTCCTCCCACATTGAGCTGACACGCCGTGATATAACTTGAATACTGTTAAAGTGGCGTTAAACCCAACTCACTCACTCACTCAAAAGTAAAAGACCCTACTACATTTAGTCTCTAACAAAACTTTATGTTATTTGTTAACAGTACAATTTGAAACGCAAACCGGAACTCTTTGTAGTCTGTAATTTTAGTTAAAAGCGGCATTAAATCCAACTCACTCACTCACTCACTGTCATTATAATGTGTGAGTCGCGTGTGCGTGATGCGCCTGGGATATGTTCTCTGCAGTTGTAGCACAGACATCAAGTTCTTTGCAAAGATCTTTACAATGCATGTACAAGACTCTTTAGTATTTCATGTGGCCCAAGACGAGTATTTGATCTGAAGCTAGCACGTTTTGAAAACATGCTGACGGGGATTTCTAGAAATCTGGACCCCTGAACAAGAATACATGTGTTTATCAGTTTCTTAGCTATTCTCGCCAAAGGTTTATCTATGTTTACTGTAACATGTACATAGAAAATGGTAATATAATGTGACAACAACATTATAAATAATATTATAAAATATAAAATAAAGTTTTTAAGGATAATACAAATATTTAAAATTTAATTGTTAATTTCATGCCGTTTTCTAATGTATCGCCTCGCCCAGAAAGCTGCAACATTGCTCACTCACTCACTCACTCACTCACTCACTCACTCACTCATGTGTCCGCACATCATACGATACGGGTTCGAGCCCCGATGGCAACAAAATTGTACAGAATTTACTTGACTGTTGAAAATAAAAAATAGTTCTGTCAATTTCAAGCGTTCATAAGTTGAAATGTGTGTTCAAGATAATGTAAGCATGAATAACTACAACCTGGCCACGAGTAAGGATCTTTAAACCAAACACTGACGCCATTAGATGTGTTTCGATAGTGATTCATATACACATGCTCATGATTTTGTCGGAATCGTAAATCGACAATGACTTTTGTCGCTTTTATTTTATTTTATATGAAAAAAAAATGTAAGGGACATTCTTGCCATCTCGCATTCTTGAGTTTTCGACTCTCGCGTTCTCGCGATCTTGCATTCTCGCACTTTGGGCATATTTAGCCCCCTTCCAAAGGTCGAGAACGCGAGAATACGAGATTGCGAGAATGGCATTTACAATATTCCATAGTTTTAATTATAATGGAGCACTAGGTTTCTCAGAACGCACTTGTACTGGAAGGTGGAGTGAGGTGTGATGGGGCACTGGGTAATCATGCTGACGCCGTCGTGATGCTGGGAACCCTTCTGGAGGACGCCGTGCCAGTGGATGGTCGTTCCTTCCGATCCCTCCAGCTTGTTGTGGACGTTGACGATGATCATGTCGTTGTGACACACCTATAAATGAGAAACAGGGCCCCACGTTAACATACGTAATTCAGTACGTATAACTGTAATACAGTGGCTGTAGGTCCGTGAAGATCGGGGGTAGAATAGGTCTTCAGTAACCCACGCTTTTATCAAAAAGCTTGAAAATAATGAAAATTAGTGTATTGATTGATGCAAAAGGCAAATTCCTTGATTTGTTTGCAATTCTGCAGTTAGTTACATTTTCTGCAAATCACAGATTCCATCTGGGACTGAGATTTAATACTTCTTGTCCAGCACACAAATTGTTGTTGCTGCTGTTTGTTGTTGTTTAACGCCGCACTCAGCAATATTCCAGCTACATGAAGGCGGTCCGTAAATAATCTAATCTGGGCCAGACAATCCAGTGATTGACATCATGAGCATCGATCCACGCAACTGGAATACGATGACATCCATCAACCAAGTCAGCGAGCCTGACTACCCGATTCCGTTAGTCGCCGCTTACGACAAGCATAGTCGCCTTTTACGGCAAGCATGGGTTGCTGAAGACCTATGCTACCCCGGATCTTCACGGGTCAACTCAAATATGTAATCGTGTCGTACTTGTATAGCAGGTCCTGGTAGCATCCTGTTGGCTGTGATGATGCCCCTCCCCACGCCGTCGGCAGCCACACAGTGCGGCCTGAAGCAGTCGGTGATGTTGTACGGGCAGTCGTAGCAGGCTTTGGACAGGACGTAGTAGTATTCTACTGTGAAGTTGTAGACGCAGGTCATAGGGGGCGCTCCCTCCACACACTCACGAATACAAGGGTGATTTGCATAATCTGAAATAAATAAATTGCAAGTGATTCCATGGCATTTGATTGGCTAACCGAACACTTTGTTGCGCTTATGTATCCATAACCCTCTCAGAAATAGGCCACGCCCACTAGCGGACTATTGATTCTGATTGGCTGATAACAGAGTGGGCGGGACTTGTGCATAATAATTAACGGATACAGATTGACGGACAGACAGACATATTATTCATTATGGCTTCAAACCATGTGTAGCATAGATACAGATTCAAATATTTGAATTAAAATAAATAGGCCATTCGCTGTGCATAGTTGCGTCCCTTGGGCACGCCAGAAACCTAAGATTGTGGGTTCGAATCCCGGTTCGCCCCGATTATGTTCATTATCTCACGATCATGTTATGCAATTTCAACTTAGTATTCTGAAAGCTAAAGAAAAAAATTAAAACCAAATGACTCAAAAAGGCTCCTGTATATAATTCTAACTGTAGATGGAGTAATGTACTTCATCTATGAAGACAAGCCTGTTTCTATACTTTTATGCCAAACTGTTACGACATGAGAAAAAAGAGACCTTCCGACTCCACGCCCTGCTACATACTCTCCCATCAACAGAAGGCACGTCCTGGGGCGCACACTAGGGTCCAGAGGCTCATTTTGCTCAGATTTAATATGAACGCGCTCAGCCCTGCGTTGGGCGCCAATGTTGCGTCCGTAAAATTCCCGAGTCCTGTGATAGGATTCGAAACACGGACATTCTGGTCTGATGCCGGACGCCTTATCCACATGACCAAACAGGTTAACCCCGTCAACAGCTGACGTCACGTCCTGCTACACTGACAAGGTAAGGGTGTCATCTGTGGGACGACTCCACGTCCTGCTGCACTGACAAGGTAAGGATGTCTTCTGTGAGACGACTCCACACCCTGCTGCACTGACAAGGTAAGGGTGTCATCTGTGGGACGACTCCACGTCCTGCTGCACTGACAAGGTAAGGGTGTCATCTGTGGGACGACTCCACACCCTGCTGCACTGACAAGGTAAGGGTGTCATCTGTGGGACGACTCCACGTCCTGCTGCACTGACAAGGTAAGGATGTCATCTGTGGGACGACTCCACGTCCTGCTGCACTGACAAGGTAAGGATGTCTTCTGTGAGACGACTCCATGGCCACGTCCTGCTGCACTGACAAGGTAAGGATGTCATCTGTGGTACGACTCCATGGTCACGCCCTGCTGCACTGACAAGGTAAGGATGTCATCTGTGGGACGACTCCATGGCCACGTCCTGCTACACTGACAAAGTAAGGATGTCATCTGTGGGACGACTCCGCGCCCTGCTGCACTGACAAGGTAGGGATGTCATCTGTGGGACGACTCCACGCCCTACTGCACTGACAAGGTAAGGATGTCTTCTGTGGGACGACTCCACGTCCTGCTGCACTGACAAGGTAAGGATGTCTTCTGTGGGACGACTCCACGTCCTGCTGCACTGACAAGGTAAGGATGTCTTCTGTGAGACGACTCCATGGCCACGTCCTGCTGCACTGACAAGGTAAGGATGTCATCTGTGGTACGACTCCATGGTCACGCCTTGCTACACTGACAAGGTAAGGATGTCATCTGTGGGACGACTCCATGGCCACGTCCTGCTACACTGACAAGGTAAGGATGTCTTTTGTGGGACGACTCCATGGCCACGCCCTGCTACACTGACAAGGTAAGGATGTCATCTGTGGGACGACTCCATGGCCACGTCCTGCTGCACTGACAAGGTAGGGATGTCATCTGTGGTACGACTCCATAGTCACGCCCTGCTACACTGACAAGGTAAGGATGTCATCTGTGGGACGACTCCATGGCCACGTCCTGCTACACTGACAAGGTAAGGATGTCATCTGTGGGACGACTCCATGGTCACGCCCTGCTACACTGACAAGGTAAGGATGTCATCTGTGGTACGACTCCATGGTCACGCCCTGCTACACTGACAAGGTAAGGATGTCATCTGTGGGACGACTCCATGGCCACGCCCTGCTACACTGACAAGGTAAGGATGTCATCTGTGGGACGACTCCATGGCCACGTCCTGCTGCACTGACAAGGTAGGGATGTCATCTGTGGTACGACTCCATGGTCACGCCCTGCTGCACTGACAAGGTAAGGATGTCATCTGTGGTACGACTCCATGGTCACGCCCTGCTACACTGACAAGGTAAGGATGTCATCTGTGGGACGACTCCATGGCCACGTCCTGCTACACTGACAAGGTAAGGATGTCATCTGTGGTACGACTCCATGGTCACGCCCTGCTACACTGACAAGGTAAGGATGTCATCTGTGGGACGACTCCATGGCCACGCCCTGCTACACTGACAAGGTAAGGATGTCATCTGTGGGACGACTCCATGGCCACGTCCTGCTGCACTGACAAGGTAGGGATGTCATCTGTGGTACGACTCCATGGTCACGCCCTGCTGCACTGACAAGGTAAGGATGTCATCTGTGGGACGACTCCACGTCCTGCTGCACTGACAAGGTAGGGATGTCATCTGTGGGGCGACCCCACACCCTGCTGCACTGACGTGTGATACCTCACAGCTGAATTTATCATATGTTTTACTTCAAATGAAAATATCTTAAGTTAGCAATGTTATATCCAAAAACTGAATTGTACTGGCGCTTTGTCAGCACTCAAAGAATACTTTTAAAAATGAAACTTCTTTTGGCATAATACACAACTGCGGATGGGTACTTTCGACGTGTTCTATTGAAATAATTAAATTTGCTTTTTTCTACACAGTTTACATTTCAAACATGGTAGGGGTCACGAGGTGAGAAATTCACATCTTACCCCAGTCTTCATTGAACCAATTTATTTTTACACACAACTACCCAGCCACAAGTTCCTTTTTGCAAACTGTAGCAGGAATAAGTGATGGTTAAAAAGACATACACATAACAACAGTTCTTTCAATTTTCAATTACACATATACATAAAAAACATGGTATACTTTATTTTTCCCCTCATCTATACATGTATATTTATTTGGACCTGTGTTTGGTGAATCATCGTTCACAATTTGGCGTGCTTCAGTCCAGTGAGTCCTGATTATTGATTTCGACCATCAGGTTTGAGTACCTACTTAGCATCGTAATGGACACATCAAAATAAGTCATTATATTTCGGAGGTATATCTGCGTCACAAAGAACTTCCGACGGGTCATTTAACCCTAGTTATCCCGTGATCATTTCAAACCCAGGCTTTAATATGAAATACAGCCAGCCCAGGGCCTAGATTTTCGAACCGATCGTAGCTATAAAATTATCATAAAGTTGTCGTAAGGAAATCGTAGGCTTTCGTAACCCATTTTCGAAACTATCGTGGCCCTAAGATATCTTAACTTTGTCGTAAATCTAAGACAGCCTATACCTGTCGTAAGTTTTATCTTCATCTAAGATGGCGGTATACTTTGCCAAAGATATCTAGCCAAACAATAAGTCTGCCTAAAGTTAAAACATTGAATTTCATTTTGTTAAACTGTGTGATTCAAATTGACAAATCGAAAACACGAAGAAGGCATCAATGATTTCACGTCAGAAATGTTCTTGTTCGGGTAGTCATGGCATCTTTTATCATAAGAACAAAACGTCTATAGTACATGTAGGACATATGTAGGATTGTACAGAATTTTATTCAAATAGTTGCGTGTTAAACAATGTGCTCATGAATTCTGTGTCACTTGTCCATGTTGTTAACGTTGTTATTGTCAGCGGCTGGGAAACACCCCGTTGTTACAATCTCTAACAAATGATTTCTCTGTCAGATTTACGACAGCTATCGTATCTTTGTGCGATCTGCGACAGGTTTACGATAGTTTCGAAAATGTATCTTATCTTAAACTTAAGATAACTTATCTTTGAACGTAAGTTGTTAAGATTAATCGTAGCTAAGATCGTTTCGAAAATCTAGACCCAGGGTCTAACCATCGGACAAGGGTAGGACGGAGAACAAAATGATGACGTCATTGAGAACAATATGATGACGTCATGTAGAACAATATGATGGCGTCTTTGGAGGTTCACATGGCACATATTCAGCTGAGGAAACTTTTTTTTTTGTAAACAAATAAAAAGAGCGTCCCCTTCATCTTGAGTGATGAAGCCAGCCATGTACCCTTCTACAACAAGCAACAATCAGTTCAGTGCAATGAAAATGGTTGACTGCACACTTCGTTGAGGAGTATGGACAACCACCCATGTATGTATAATCGGTCCTGGTTGAGTTAGCATCCAACATAGCGCATCATATCATCCAGGAGAAACGCATCACTCGCATCGGAGTCACTAGACTTGTGTTATATCGGCAAGCTTAACTCACCTGACTTGCTGACATTTCTTTATCCTCAAGTGAGTGACTGAGTTTGGTTTGACCCCTTTTTACTTTATTTTTTGTTGGTGTTGTTGTTGTTGTTGTTGTTGTTGTTGTTGTTTAACGCCGCGCTCAGCAATATTCCAGCTATATGACGGCGGTCTGTAAATAATCGAGTCTGGATCAGTCAATCTAGTGATCGACATCATCAGCATCGATTTGCGCAATTGGGATACAATGACATGCATCAACCAAGCCAGCGAGCCTGACCAAATCTTTCGCGGAATCACAGAATTTGTCTGGGACTGAGATGTCCAGCACACAAATACGTTGTTGTTGTTGTTGTTGTTGTTGTTGTTTGTTGTTGTAAGTAACGCCCACTCAGCAAAATTCCAGCCACATGAGGGTCTGTAAATAATCGAGGTCTGGACCAGACAACCTAGTGATTGACGTCGTAAGAAGTCGATCTACGCAATTGGAATACGATGACATGCATCAACCAAGTAAGCGAGCCTGACCACCCGATCCCGTTAGTCGCCTCTTACGATAAAAATAGTCGCCCTTTACGTCAAGCATGGGTTGCTGAAGACCTATCCTAACCATATCTTCACGGATCTCAACCTGAGGTGCAAGGTCACATAATAGTCTTTCCAACCTTGTGAATATAACAACGACATCAACTGAAAACATCGGACTATGTACAAAAATTCTCACCTCGTTAAGCTATAGTTCACATGTATTAGCACGTTTAATTTGAGAATAAAATACACTGCCGGGCAAGAGAAAGTATACACTTGAATAATGAGTTTGACCAAAAACATACACACATTATCAAAACGTTATTATGATGAAAACAGTCGCCGAAACACTGCAAACTCAAGGTACAAAACACAACTATGAAATCCCTATCAGATTATCCGGCAGTTTGTGTCATAACCCCAAAATAACCCGTTTGACATGAATTTACTGTCAACACATCAAGTGAATCCATGGCATTTGATTGGCTAACTAAGCTATTTTTGGTGTTTATGTTTCCATAACACCCCGAAAATATGCCACGCCCACTAGCGTCCAGCCTGATTGGCTGCTAATAGAGTGGGCGGGGCTTGTGTTGCACTGAACGATGTCAGTGATTTTGCATTGTTCTCTACACTTTCTTGTGTGATAATGGTTAAATAAGCAGTTTGTGATTTATTTTGAACTTATTTAGTTATAACAAATTAATTCAATATTTTTTTTATATTGATGGAGTAACATCGTAAAAACCGATGTCAGCGCAATATTGAAGTTAAATAGTGAAATAGTCAGGTGAAATAAGAATTGAGAAGCCAATGTCATCGATATATATACTCAACCTTTTTCAAAATGCGCACACAAATCCCTAAACTGTATATCATATACCTAATTAAACCAAAACTTGTTAAGGCTTGTACAACTCACATGATCAATGACTGAACCAAATGGTGCCCTCTATTCCTTAAATGTACTTTTCAATTGGTGAGGTGAAATTGGGTTTAACGTCGCGTCCAAGATTATTGCACTTATATAGCGACGTGCATGTACGTGTGTGTGTGGCTGCTTGTTCTAGTCCGGACTGATGCCAACTTTTATAGTGCCAGCCAACTGAGATACCATGCCGCAGTTTAACATGAATACCCCACTCAGACACAGTATACTGACTCCGAGCCGACCAGTCCTTGTTTTAGCCCTTTAGTGCCGAGCGGTAGCAACAAGTACCATCTTTAAACGTCTTTTGGTATGACGCGGCCGGGATCGAACCCCGGACCTTCAGCTCTCCGGGCGGACGCTCTACCACTAGACCACGGAGGCGGTATATACAGAAGAGAGTCGTGGACATGATCTTTTGTTGAAGAATAAAATCAGTTCATTTCTTACTTAAATTTAAGACACGTCCACAATTTGCCAGCCGTTGCCCGTATCTTTACCAATTCCACAACTACGAACAAGGACCGCCTCCGTGGTCTAGTGGTATAGCGTCCGCACGGAAAACGGAAGGTCCGGGGTCGATCCCCGGCCGCGTCATACCAAAAGATTTTAAAAGATGGTACTTGTTGTTACCCTGCCTGGCGCTCGGTATTAAGGGGCTAAAACAAGGACTGGTCGGCTCGGAGTCAGTATACTGTGTCTGAGTTGGGTATTCATGTTAAACTGCGGCATGGTATCTCAGTGAGCTAGCACTATAAATCGGCATCAGTCTGGACTAGTACAAGCAGCCACACACACACACACACGTGCATGCACGTCGCTATAAAAGTGCAATAATCTTGGACGCGATTTCACCTCAACTCACCTCACAACTACGAACAAGCGAAACACAGGGATGAATAATCGTAAACCACTCACCAGATAACTCATATTCTCCTGCAGTAACACAAACGGCAGCCAATACCAGGAACAAACTCGCAATCATCTTGGACACGTGGTATTTTTGTTCACCGCCAGGACGTATTTCATGGATCTCTGAGCGGACTCGTCCCGTCGAAGCCAAGCGGAGATCTGAACTCTCACCGAATGTCCTGAACACTAGGATCGTGTGGCCAGAGACCAGTCATGTGTTCGGCCTCCCCAACAGAAGGACAGTAACGCGGACATTATTCTTAATTCTTTTCATTTCAGTTGACGAGGTGATACTAATGGTCGGTCATAACTTCTAGCTTTCTGAGAGGTACTTGACCTCCAACCTCTCCATAATGGAGTTTGTTTGTTTGGTAATCAACGCCGCACTCAACAATATTTCATCCCCACGACGGCGGTTTGTAAATAATCGAATCGGACCAGACACTCCAGTGATTGACATCATGAGCATCCATCCGTACAATTCGGTTACGATGACATGCAATCAACCAAGTTGGTTCACAGTTGGTTATGCGTGGATTGTTGCGCATGATGTAAATCCCTGGATTGTGTGGGTATAGAAACAATATCCTATCGTATTGTACCTATCCCCTGTTTGTATATCCAGTATCTATTTCCTTTCTTTATACCTTTATATTGTTCGCATACCATGCTGTTTGTTTGTTTGTTGTTTAACGCCGCACTCAGCAATATTCCACCTATGTGATGGCGGTCTGTAAATAAACGAGTATTGGATCAGACAATCCAGTGATTGATATCATGAGCATCGATCCGGTCAGCAAGCCTGACCACCCGATCCCGTTTGTCGCCTCTTACAACAAGCATAGTCGCCGGTTGCGGCCTATTCTACCCCGGAACTTCACGGGTGATCCATACCCTGTATCTGTACCCTATATCTGTACCCTGTATCTGTACCCTGTATCTATACCTTGTATCTTTACCCTGTGTCTGTACCCTGTATCTGTACCCTGTATCTGTACCCTGTATTAGTACCCTGTATCTGTACCCTGTGTCCTTCCCATCATCAACTTTCGTGTAAACCTAGATCGACATATTGATTGTTATCTGCGTGAATTACACTCAGCACATTAATTCCTGCCCAACATCAATACCCAAACTCCTGATAGAGAGGCATCTGCATTAAATCGAGCTTGACAATTGAAAGGGGTTACACAGTGACTCAGGGCAAGACACTTTATTACCCGTCCTTGCGCTGGACAGATACACAGGTGGTAGCCCATGACGAGTTGGACGAAAACTGGACAGGTATTTGATCCCATCATATCCCCAGAAAGAAAGGACGCCTGAACTATATAGGTATATAATGTATTCTTATTGCTTCGATGAGTAATCGGAGGGTTTTACGGTTTAGGTGGATAAATATGTCAAGTCGGACTATGTGATACTTTGAGTATAGCACTGTCCCCATAATAATAAATAACAGCGACGGAACATTTCTATAAGCACAGGAAATACAGGAAACTACGGTTATAACGAACACGCTTATAACGAACTGACGGATATAACGAACTTACTTTTTTGGTGCCGACTATTTGCTGTAGTTATGCTGTATATATGCTTATAACGAACTACGGTTATAACGAACTAAAATTAGGTGTCCCTTTGAGTTCGTTGTAACCGTAGTGTACTGTATATGTACTAAAGCCAGTGCCCGTGAAGATCCGGGTTAGAATAGGTCTTCAGCAACCCATGCAACCAATGCTTGTCGCAAGAGGCGACGACAGGATCGGGTTGTCAGGCTCGCTGATTTGGTTGATACCCGTATCCCAATTACGTAGATCGTTGCATATGATGTCAAGTACTAGTCTGGTCCAGACTCGATTATTTACAGACCGCCGTCATACAGCGGGAGTATTGCAGAGTGAGGCGTTAAACAACAAACAAACAAACAAACAAACAAACAAAACAAAAAGCAGAGTCCCCTATACGATTCCGGCTCTATCATGAACATGTGTTTATGAATCATTATTAAATCATTATGAGACTAGGTGTCCCCCTCCGAGGTCTAGTGGATAGAGCATTTGCCCGGAAAGCGGTTCGATTCCCTGGGCACGTCATACCCGACCAACATATATACTCACACTGGGCATTTGACCGGATAAGTACAAGCAGCCACACACACACACACACACACACGCACGCACACACACACACACACACACACACACACACGCACACACACACACGCACACGCACGCACACACACCGCACACGCACGCACACACACACACCGCACACGCACACACACACACACACACACGTACATGCACATAACTGTATAAGTGGGATAATCTTGAACAGGGAAGTTAACCATTGTCCCTGACCTATTATGAACTGAGTTGTGTGCGTCCGAGTATGTTAAACTGGATTTTCAAAACTGATGCATGGGTACTCACAGACGGACGTAAATATGGTTATTTTCATTAACAAATTAAAACATACGGTTTTATAGCGCTAGCCCACTGAGATACCATGCCGCAGGTTAACATGGATATGCCACTCAAAAACAGTATGCTGAATTCGAGCAGACCATTCTTTGTTTTATCCCCTTAATGCCGAGCGTCAGGCACGGTAACAACAAGTACCATCTTTTAACGCCTTTTGTAATGAAGCGGTCAGGGGATCGAACCACCGACCGTCCTCTCTCCGGACAGACGCTCTATCCACTACACCACCACGCGATCATATGCATCTGTAAGGTTAAAGTGCATAACAAAAATCGACGTAACGAGATATTCTGTTTATTAAACAAAGACAAGTTTCTCTACAGAACCAATTCCATGTCAGCTCCATCCTAGAATTTACCAAGGACCTTGGTTCCGGTTATGGTAAACTGTCCGCTTAAAACATTGGAACTCATGGCCTTCTTCTGATGGGGCTGCTGGCCTCCCACATAGAGGTTCATCTTTCCTGCAATATATTACGGATGTTAAATGACTGTCTGCTAACCTCAACATCTGTTTTACATGGTCCACAATCACTTGATTGCCTGGTTGATTTTCAAGCCGCCGTCGCATGGTAGGGTCACTCCTGTGCGGTGTCAAACAAGGTGCGAAGAGGTGAAATGGGGTTTAACGTGCATGTACGTGTGTGTGTTTGTGTGGCTGCTTGTACTAGTCCGGACTGATGCCGATTTATAGTGCAGCGACGTGAACTGCCAACACTTCGACAGCCACAGTGTCGTCACTGCCCTTAATGGTGTCGACGCAATATTTGTTTGTCTAGGAGGGGGTAAGTTACACAATCTGACTGACAGTGACATCAAGTACCGTGTACCATGTGTATTGTAAAATATGATTAGTGAGTCTCATGGTCCCTAAACCATATTATTTTCACTTCCGACCAGGTGAGGTGAGGTGATATTGGGTTTAACGTCGCGTCCAAGATTATTGCACTTATATGGCGACGTGCATGCACGTGTATGTGTATGTGGCTGCCTGTAGTCCGGACTGATGCCGATTTATAGTGCTAGCTCACTGAGATACAATGCCGCAGTTTAACATGAGTTCCCCACTCAGACACAGTATACTGACTCCAAGCCAACCAGTTCTTGTTTTAGCCCCTTAATGCCGAGCGCCAGACAGGGTAACAACAAGTACCATCTATTAACGTCTTTTGGTATGACGCGGTCGGGGATCGAATCCCGGACCTTCCGCTCTCCGGGCGGACGCTCTACCACTAGACCACGGAGGCAACAGATACTCTTGTATGCACGTTTTGTGAGTGCCGATATCTACAGGCTGGGCAGGATATGATGATCTATTTCGTGAACACCTGGTGTCATCACTGATTTTCAGTGATCCATTCATATCATTTGCACCGCTATTTTGCCTTTTACGCCCTTTTTATCTGTTCCTGGATAATCCAGACTGGTTATTCTCTGGCTTTACGTTTTATCTTTATCTGGCGTAATCGATGCATGCATTTGTCTCGTCTGTGGCCATTTTGACCACCCAACGGCCTTTGTAGACTAATGCCTCACCCAATTGACACAAATTATTTTAGTCTTTGATAGGTATTTAGATTTTGGTTTGGTTTGGTTTGTTGTTAAAGGCCGCACTCAGACAGCCTGGACCAGACAATCCAGTGATTGACATCATGAGCATCGATCCACGCATTTGGGATACGATGTCAAGCCTGACCACCCGATCCCGTTAGTCGCCTCTTACGACAAGCGAAGTCGCCTGTTGCGGCACGCATGGGTTGCTTCACGGGTGATCCATACTACATTGTATGTATCTGTACCCTGAATATGTACCCTGAATATGTACCCTGTATCTGTACCCTGTTTCTGTACCTTGTATCTGTACCCTGTGCCCTTCCAATCATCAACCTTCGTGTAAACCTAGATCGACATATTGATTGTTATTGTTTATGGCAAGCATGGGTTGCTGAAGACCTATTCTACCCCGGATCTTCACGGATCTTGATAGGCATTTAGAAGTTGAAGGAACATGAATACACGTACAGGACACGTTTGTGGGATAACAACTTCTTTTATTCTTTGTACGGCGTTTTAGAGCTGCTTCTTACTCCGTTATCAGGTTAAAGCTCAGTAAGTAATTTGTTTGTTTTTAAAACTACTTACAAAACATTCACCTGATGAAGGAGCAAGAAGTAGCTCTGAAACGTCGTACAAAGAATAAAAAAGTGTCATGTATTCACAAACGATTTAATTTTGTCACTCAATTGTCGATGTAAAACATATAAGGAAAGTGTGGAGTTTTACTTCCTGGTTAAGCCCACCTGGTAGAACCTTCCATCCATCCTTGTCATCCCACACAGCCACGTTCTTGTGGCTGATTGTAAACTTAAAGGTTGCATGCGCTCCTTGTCTGACGTGCTCTCTCCCGAAGGCAACCAGCTTGTACTTCGGCATGTTCAGGGAGCTGTCCGTCCAAGACACATATACCTGGACGATCTGAAACAGTTGCATGTTGTTTTATGCCATATCGCGTCAGGCAGCATCCTCGATTATCCAGGGTGTTATTTCTCATATGTTATGATAACACCCTCGACCCATTCGCTACAATAGTTACGTTTTGAATCCGAGCCAAATTTAGTTGCCTCGGACAACAAGCCTGTTCTAACCCAAACATAGCGGTGACTGATAGCCTGAGCAACGATCCACATATCAGCCAGATCCCAGATTGTTACTGACGATTCTCATTTTAATCGTTTCACACAATAGTGAGTGAGTGAGTATGGGTTCACGCCGCTCCAAGCAATATTCTATCAATATCACGTGGGTTCTCTCACAACAGTGCACTGGGGACCTACCTGCTTTGTTTGTTTGTTGTTTAACGCCGTTCTCAGCAATATTCCAGCTACATGACGGCAGTCTGTACATAATCGAGTCTGGACAAGACGATCCAGTGATTCATTCTTTCTACACTTGTGGCAAGGTATAGGTGATTAACTTTGGTACGTTCCATTGTAAGCACATTTCAGTTGGTCTCATACATTGGCGGGCGGAAGAAAGTATGCACCCTTGTTTGATGGGGACAAAATGAAAACAACAAGAAATGCTTATTCGATGGTGATGTATGTGGTTTGGATATTAAGAATGTAACGTTTCGGATGCTGTTTTCAGCCGAGTAACGTTTTAAAACGTTTGTAATTTTATGTTGGAATTCAATTTTCAAGTGTAAACGTTCTCTGGCCGGAAGTTGACATCGTCCACATGTCTCTACTGACCTCTTCAGCGTCAAAATGACCGGTGTTGCTGACGACGACCTGGCCCTTGAGGTCACTTCCGGCGTTGATGTTGTGGTTGTACTGAAGACCCGAGTAATGCCAGGTGGTGTAGGAGAGCCCGTAGCCGAAAGGATACAATGGGTCGCCCTTGAAGTACCAGTAAGTACGTCTGTCCATCGAGTAGTCCGTCATTGGTGGGATCTGTCAACGTGAGAGCGATACGAGTCTTGATTAGTGGACACAATGGGTCGCCCTTGAAGTACCAGTAAGTACGTCTGTCCATCGAGTAGTCAGTCATTGGTGGGATCTGGCAACGTAAGAGCGATACGAGTCTTGATTAGTGGACACAATGGGTCGCCCTTGAAGTACCAGTTAGTACGTCTGTCCATCGAGTAGTCAGTCATTGGTGGGATCTGGCAACGTAAGAGCGATACGAGTCTTGATTAGTGGACACAATGGGTCGCCCTTGAAGTACCAGTAAGTACGTCTGTCCATCGTGTAGTCAGTGATTGGTGGGATCTGGCAACGTAAGAGCGATACGAGTCTTGATTAGTGGACACAATGGGTCGCCCTTGAAGTACCAGTAAGTACGTCTGTCCATCGAGTAGTCAGTCATTGGTGGGATCTGGCAACGTAAGAGCGATACGAGTCTTGATTAGTGGACACAATGGGTCGCCCTTGAAGTACCAGTAAGTACGTCTGTCCATCGAGTAGTCCGTCATTGGTGGGATCTGTCAACGTGAGAGCGATACGAGTCTTGATTAGTGGACACAATTGGTCGCCCTTGAAGTACCAGTAAGTACGTCTGTCCATCGTGTAGTCAGTCATTGGAGGAATCTGGAAGTCGTTGACAAAATTACATACCCTTTGAGTAAGAACGTGAATATAAAGTTTGCCAATTGACTGGAACAAATAACTTGCCTTTGCAAGTGTTTGTGATGGGTGCCACCGGTGGGGCAGGATACGCTCACCTTTTCTCGAACACCTGGTATCATTACTTTTGGATAGTGATTCATAAACACAACCTCATGATATAGCCGGAATCGTACAATCGACAATGAATGTTGTCGCTTTTGTTTTATTTTATATGAAATACTGTAAGGGACATTCTGGCCATCTCGCATTCTCGAGTTCTCGACCTTTATATGATCATGGAAAGGGTTTTGTAGCTTTAATAATTGGCAATATATTGAAGGGGCAAAACAACGTCATTCACCATTTCTAAATTCACTTGGAGAGCTACTTAAACATATATAAATACAATAAAGAGATGACAGCATGATACCCCTGATAATATATTGATCATAACAAATCATTGTCTTGATATCTTATTAATCAACGCAAATTGGTAAGGAGGTTTGGGAGAAACCCAAAAGATCGTGCAACACGTGGTATATGAGCTACAGTGAGCATACAGTAAACTACGGTTATAACGAACTCAAAGGGACTACAAATTTTAGTTCGTTATAACCGTAGTTCGTTATAAGCATATATACAGCATAACTACAGCAAATGGTCGGGACCAAAAAAGTAGGTTCGTTATATCCGTCAGTTCGTTATAAGCGTGTTCGTTATAACCGTAGTTTACTGTATGTGATTTTACAACGCATATACCCATCGTCCGTTCTATGCACACGTGTACACGTCGTGACATTGCCCTTCAAACACCAAGCCGTGACCACCCAGCGTTCGTATGCCGACTTTATTCAGTCTCAGCTGTTAGTGCACATAGCCCATGATTATCAGTCAAAACAAGAAGATGCTAAGAGGCAATGTCTCACTTTCACCAGGACGTACAGTAAACTACGGTTATAACGAACTCAAAGGGACTACTAATTTTAGTTCGGTATAACCGTAGTTCGTTATAAGCATTATATACAGCATAACTACAGGAAATAGTCGGGACAAAAAAAGTAAGTTCGTTATATCCGTCAGTTCGTTATAAGCGTGTTCGTTATAACCGTAGTTTACTGTATGTGATTTTACAACGCATATACCCATCGTCCGTTCTATGCACACGTGTACACGTCGTGACATTGCCCTTCAAACACCAAGCCGTGACCACCCAGCGTTCGTATGCCGACTTTATTCAGTCTCAGCTGTTAGTGCACATAGCCCATGATTATCAGTCAAAACAAGAAGATGCTAAGAGGCAATGTCTCACTTTCACCAGGACGTACAGTAAACTACGGTTATAACGAACTCAAAGGGACTACTAATTTTAGTTCGGTATAACCGTAGTTCGTTATAAGCATTATATACAGCATAACTACAGGAAATAGTCGGGACAAAAAAAGTAAGTTCGTTATATCCGTCAGTTCGTTATAAGCGTGTTCGTTATAACCGTAGTTTACTGTATGTGATTTTACAACGCATATACCCATCGTCCGTTCTATGCACACGTGTACACGTCGTGACATTGCCCTTCAAACACCAAGCCGTGACCACCCAGCGTTCGTATGCCGACTTTATTCAGTCTCAGCTGTTAGTGCACATAGCCCATGATTATCAGTCAAAACAAGAAGATGCTAAGAGGCAATGTCTCACTTTCACCAGGACGTACAGTAAACTACGGTTATAACGAACTCAAAGGGACTACTAATTTTAGTTCGGTATAACCGTAGTTCGTTATAAGCATTATATACAGCATAACTACAGGAAATAGTCGGGACAAAAAAAGTAAGTTCGTTATATCCGTCAGTTTGATATAAGCGTGTTCGTTATAACCGTAGTTTACTGTATGTGATTTTACAACGCATATACCCATCGTCCGTTCTATGCACACGTGTACACGTCGTGACATTGCCCTTCAAACACCAAGCCGTGACCACCCAGCGTTCGTATGCCGACTTTATTCAGTCTCAGCTGTTAGTGCACATAGCCCATGATTATCAGTCAAAACAAGAAGATGCTAAGAGGCAATGTCTCACTTTCACCAGGACGTACAGTAAACTACGGTTATAACGAACTCAAAGGGACTACTAATTGTAGTTCCTTATAACCGTAGTTCGTTATAAGCATACATACAGCATAACTACAGCAAATAGTCAGGACCCAAAAAGTTAGTTCGTTATATCCGACAGTTTGATATAAGCGTGTTCGTTACAACCGTAGTTTACTGTAATTACACATTCTAGAAAAAGGCAGAAAATAGGCATGAGGCCCCAAAGCATATTCTCATTGCGCGACTCTAACCAGGATTGTTTCACATAACATGGCCCACCTGACTGTCGCTGGCTGGCACGGTGTAGGGTAATTTAGCAGAGGGCACGGAGTTCGCACCATCGTGAGTCAGAACCTTCTGGATTGCCTCCCCTGTTTTTTGATGGGGTAGGAAACACTCAAGTATCGCGGTCACGTGAGGATTCGCCTCGGCAACCGAGACTTCGAGTGGCCCACCATCAAACAGAAGCAGCACGATTGGAGTTGCTGCAGCGCGTTTACCAATGATGCTCGGCCCCCCTTGCACTGAAACAGGAAACGAAATAGAACCAGAGTGAGTGAGTGAGTGAGTGAGTGAGTGAGTGGGTGGGTGGGTGGGTGGGTGAGTGAGTGAGTGAGTGAGTGACACCTTTTTAATCTTGCTTACGGAATCGCTGACTGTAAAATTGTTTGAATCAGAATTGGTTCTTTTTTTATCCCGCCGATAAACTTATTGCATATTGCACCAAAACGTATTTTCTGAACAGGGGCTCATTAAAGTATTCAAACATATTAAACATGGGAGTCAAAAAGAAGTTTGTTGTTGTTGCTTAAATTGACAGAATGCGTAGATGCACAACAGTGTTCCCGTTTGATTCGTCAGGTTTCCATTGCTCAAAGCGACAGCTGTGTGGCAGACTCTCCTCTCAAATTAAACAATTTTTATATTTTAATACCAGCCGACCTTTAGTGGAGCAGAAAACTAAAACAAACTGAATTGGTTTTATTTCCAACTACTGACAGGTATTTTCCAGTAAAATATCCACAAAGAAAGTGAAAAAGTGTGGTCTAATATTTCACCGAACACTTGCCGGTTTTTTGCCACCCCCGCCTTGATTTCACTTGAACAATGTACATACGAGATGGGTATGCTGCTGGAAAAGCTAGAAACATAACTGGGTCGAAGCGGGATTCGAACCCACAATCAGAACTGGCTAAACACAGATCACTATTCATGGCGATTATTGCTTATAACGACTTAGTTATAGATCATCTTAATGTGCGATTTCTTCTAATTTGGCAGCTGTTCGACGTTGTTCGTACCATGATTGACGACCGTTTTCAGAAGGTCAAGTTGATGTCCTGGGAGACCGACACTGTGGCGGTCGTGACCCTCCCGCTCTAGAGTCTGGCCTGAAATAATACAGTTCAGGTAAGATGGACAAAGGCTTAGTCTCTGGAAACATATAATTCTGATTGAAACAAACGACTACGTGTAAATTAACTCTTTGAATGGCATTCACCTGATGAAGGAGTAAGCATATACTCCGAAACGTTGTGTTTCGTCATAATAAAGAAGTTGAAATGCATAAATTATCTTCCTTACATTAAGGAGACCGAGTAAGGTGGTGATTCAACCTGAACTGGGGGAGGATCTAGACTTGCTTCATTACAGGAAGTCCAGGGCCCACTTGCACAAAACGATCATAGCGCTAAGACTATTGTAAGCCTATGTTATAGTATGGGAGTTACGATCATCTTAGCGCTAAGATCGCTTTGTGCAAGTGGGCCCTGGTCGGAAGAGAAAACTCCTAGTGGTAGAGCGTCCACCCGGAGAGCGGAAGGTCCGGGGTTCGATCCCCGGCCGCGTCATACCACAAAATGTTAAAAGATGGTACTTGTTGTTACCCTGGCTGGCGCTCGGCATAAAGGGGCTAAAACAAGGACTGGTCGGCTCGGAGTCAGTATACTGTGTCTGAGTGGGGTATTCATGTTAAACTGTGGCATGGTATCTCAGTGAGCTAGCACCATAAATCGGCATCAGTCCGAACTAGTATAAGTAGCCACACACGCTATATAAGTGCAATAATCTTGGACGCGACGTTAAACCCCATTTCACCTCACCTCACTACAGATACCACCCCTCCATGAAGAACCGGGTTAGAAATGGTCTTTTATGTTTTCATAAAATGTTTATTTTCTACGTTTATATTTAAATATTTAAACTGAACTGTGCGGTATTCTCATTACTAACTGAAGGTACCGCGTTACATGCAATAATTACACTTTGTTTTATCTTCTGGGTTACACATGTGCGCCTTATGACAGTATAGGTACTTGAATCAATAGGTAATTATGCTACAAAATGTCTTTGTGTCGTGTTGTATTTCTGGATCAAGGTTATCTTGTGATTAATTGTGGCCTAACAGGAATTTGGTTGCCAAGATAAGGGACGACCTAGGCGAAAATGTAGAACAATAGTAACAAAGATTGTATCAAGTCTCACCTTGGGGTCATATTTGTGTCTGTTCACCGGCCAGTCTTCAGGGCCTCCAGACAGGATGTAGTGCTTGCACCCGGAACTAGTCCTCACATAGCGGGGGTCCTTTCCGTGGAGGCCCTTCACGTGGATGTAGCCGAGCTCCCCGGCGTGGAATGGGTCCTCCCCGAAAGTCTCCTGGAATTAGTGTGTTGATGAGTGAGAGAGTGAATGTTGTTTTACGTCACTATCGTATCGAGACGGACAGTGTATCATCGTGGTGAAAAGCAAGAGCGAAAGTCTGTACCAGAGAATGATGATACTGGCTCCGAGGTCAGTGTCCGAAATATCTGCCTGCCCGTGGCTAGTAAATTTTCTGTCGGGTTGCACGAAATTTTCCTCCTACCTGTCTGGCAGACCATTTTGAGACTACTTACGTATTCAGTTTTATTCAGTTTTATTATAGTCATCATCCGGTGTGTTTGTCCGTCCGTTCGTATTTCGTTTCCGGAGCTTAACTTGAAAACCGTGAAAGATTTTTCATTTAAACTTGGTACGTGTATTAGCCAAGGGCGGAACTGAGTGAGTGAGTGAGTGAGTGAGTGAGTGAGTGAGTATGGTTTTACGCCGCTTTTAGCAATATTCCAGCAATATCACGGCGGGGGACTCCAGAAATGGGCTTCACACATTGTACCCATGTCGGGAATCGAACCCGGGTTTTCGGCGTGACGAGCGAACGCTTTAACCACTAGGCTACCCGACCGGGCCTCAGGGGCGGAAGTGGTGACATTTGCTATTGTGGGGGCCGGGGGTATTTTCCATCATCTGATGACTCTTGTTATTCTCAAGTAGTTGTTTGCATTGTTTCAACTTTTTCAAGATTTATAAGGTCTGAATGCGGGCAGGTGACTTTGAAGATAGGCAGGCAACACACATGGGTCACCTGCTCTCCGGTCTTGATGGGTTTTGAAATTATTTCAGTGTTACTTCAAACACTGACCAAGGTAAAAAAAATGTGACCGTTAAGAAACGGCTTACGTGTGGTTCAGCGGACTAAACCTAACAGGATCAACTCGGGATTTTCAGAGTCACCAAACTTATGAGCCATGCGACCCGACTGGTCTGTTGGACAGATGACCTTGACGTCATCCTCCCTTGCGAAGAGGTCAGAGCTTTACTGTTCATAGAGGCATTAACTTCAACAAGTGAGTGAGTGAGTGAGTGAGTGAGTGAGTGAGTGAGTGAGTGAGTGAGTGCCCTCACGGATCGGGTGGTCAGGCTCGGTGACCTGGCGTAGATCGTTACTCATGATATCAATCACAGGATTGTCTGATCGAGTATTTACAGGTCGTCGTCACATAGCTGTAATATTGCTGAGTGCGGCATTAAACAACAAATAAACACTCAGTTATGTGAGTAAATCCTGCTTCCTCCCAATTTGACTGACATGGGTTATCTTCCCTTTGATCGCAGAACAAATTGGTACTGTTTTTTATTTCAAGATAAGATCTGTAACAAAGCCACGAAATTCATGCGTGTCCGACTGGCGCGCCTCGAGTGCTGACCTTATCTGTGTCATATGTTACACGTAGGTTCTTAACCAAGGTCATCAAATAACTTGTGGCGGCATGACTTTGTTTTGTGTGTTTGTTGTTTAAAGCTACACTCGGCAATAGTCCATCTATACACCGGGAGACCCGTGAAGATCCGGGGTGGAATAGGTCTTCAGCAACCCATGCTTGCCGTAAAAGGCGACTAACGGGATCGGGTGGTCAGGCTCGCTGACTTGTTTGATGCATGTCATCATATCCCGATTGCGTGCCTCGATGCTCATGATGTCAATTATCGGGTTGTCTGGTCCAGAGTCTATTATTTACAGACCGCGGTCATTTAGCTATTATCTTGCTGAGTGCGGCGTTAAATAACAAACAAACAAGTAAATAAATCTAAACACCTGAAATTAATTTTTCGACCATATTCGTCTAACAACATTGTATCGCATCCAGTCTGAAATATGATGGGAGCATAAATGCCATCAGGATGAAGCTCTTGGCTTACGAAAACACAGATAAAGAACGCAATGTTCAATACTTTAATAGAGTGAATGTTAATTTTATATCGATATTTCCGTAAGGGACATTTATCGAATTTAGATGACTTGTACATGTGTAGAAATGTGTTTTTATCGATCTACGGCCAGGCGTGTGTTTGGCAAAAAGCGTAGCATAAAAAATCGACCGAGATGTCGATTGTAAACACACCGGCAAAATGGTGAGTTAAACTCCTTCTACTTATATATCGTAGATATTTATAGAATAACCCACGAGGTACGAGTGATTACGGAAAATATGTCACGAGTGAAATTAATGTTTTAAGTTTAGCGAGGAACTTAAAACATTAATTTCACTCGTGACATATTTTCCGTAATCACTCATACCTCGTGGGTTATTCTATAATTGTAGCACGTGAAACATGTGAATGAAAGCCCTGGATTTGTGAATGAACTCAAAGAGAGAAAACTAGTCCCGTCGTCCAATGGAAATTGATATTTGTTTAAATGACCAATCAGCTTCGAGAATCACTAATTGCACACTGTGCAAATATCAAAAAGTTATTACACTGCATATTTGAGCCCATATGGGTAATAAATATTTTTTATTTACTGACCACTAATAGATATTTTTAGAAAACTTCCCACAGCGTGGGGGTATGATGGTATCAGCCAACCAAGTTGCCGGGTCTGACCATCCGACATTTTTTATCAGTCATTTTTCTACATGCATAGGTGTGAAGCCAATTTCTGGTGTCCCCCGCCGTGATGTTACTGGAATATTGCTAAAAGCGTCGTAAAATCACACTCACTCACTACGTGCATTGGTTGCTGAGGACATATTCTAAGCAGCCATCATATAACTGGAATATGGCTGAATGTGGCGTTAAACAACAAACAAATAAAATCTAACATCGAGGGTAATTGCTATAATAGTACTCAGGCAGGTCAAGTTTCTTCACGTATCGACCTTGCGCGCGCCCTATGCCGTTTATAATGTTATAAATATGTTTAACATGAAGCGTACACGTACAGTCTACAAAAATCTACATCAATAGACCGGATTCGCCATATATCTGCCACAAAGGGGATTATAATTATAATGGTGTTACTACTGCGAATATATGCTGAACAGCACAAGAAACCTCACATTTTCAAACATGTGGTCAGGCATATTCTGTTGGGGAAATAAGACTTTCTGAATCGTATCAAATGAGGTACGACCAAAATTATTCGCTCAAACGCAACGTCAAAAACGTCTGTTATGTTTGTTTGTTTGTTTGTTTGTTTGTTTGTTTGTTGTTTAACGCCACACTCAACCAAGGCAGCGAGCCTGACCACCCGCACCCGCCAATCTATGATATCTAACCATGTCCTTGTCAAGAATGAAAACGCATACCAGTCCTCTGCCAATCTATCATCTCTAAACATGTCCTTATTAAGAGTAAACATGCATACCAGTCCTCTGCCAATCTATCATCTCTAAACATGTCCTCATTAAGAGTAAACATGCATACCAGTCCTCTGCCAATCTATCATCTCTAAACATGTCCTCATTAAGAGTAAACATGCATACCAGTCCTCTGCCAATCTATCATCTCTAAACATGTCCTCATTAAGAGTAAACATGCATACCAGTCCTCTGCCAATCTATCATCTCTAAACACGTCCTTATTAAGAGTAAACATGCATACCAGTCCTCTGCCAATCTATCATCTCTAAACATGTCCTCATTAAGAGTAAACATGCATACCAGTCCTCTGCCAATCTATCATCTCTAAACATGTCCTCATTAAGAGTAAACACGCATACCAGTCCTCTGCCAATCTATCATCTCTAAACATGTCCTCATTAAGAGTAAACATGCATACCAGTCCTCTGCCAATCTATCATCTCTAAACATGTCCTTATCAAGAGTAAACACGCTTATTAGTCTTCTGCCAAGCTATTATCTCTAAACATGTCCTTATCAAGAATAAAAACGAGTAACTGCCCTCTCCCTATCTATGGTCTATAAACATGTCCTCAACGAGAGTAAAAACGAATACCTGCCCTCTCCCTATCTATGGTCTATTAACATGTCCTTATCGAGAGTAAAAACGAGTACCTGCCCTCTGCCTATCTATGATTTCTGAACATGTCCTTATCGACAGTAAAAACGAGTACCTTTCCTCTGCCTATCTATGATTTCTGAACATGTCCTTATCGAGAGTAAAAACGAGTACCTTTCCTCTGCCTATCTATGATTTCTGAACATGTCCTTTTCGACAGTAAAAACGAGTACCTGCCCTCTGCATATCTATGATTTCTGGACATGTCCTTATCGAGAGTAAAAACGAGTACCTGCCCTCTGCCTATCTATGATTTCTGAACATGTCCTTTTCGACAGTAAAAACGAGTACCTGCCCTCTGCCTATCTATGATTTCTGAACATGTCCTTATCGACAGTAAAAACGAGTACCTGCCCTCTGCCTATCTATGATTTCTGAACATGTCCTCATCAAGAGCAAAAACGAGTACCTGTCCTCTGCCCATCTATGATTTCTGGACATGTCCTTATCGAGAGTAAAAACGAGTACCTGCCCACTGCCTATCTATGATTCCTGAACATGTCCTTATCAAGAGCAAAAACGAGTTCCTGTCCTCTGCCCATCTATGATGTCTGGACATGTCCTTATCGAGAGTAAAAACGAGTACCAGCCCTCTGCCTATCTATGATTTCTGAACATGTCCTTATCAAGAGCAAAAACGAGTACCTGTCCTCTGCCCATCTATGATTTCTGGACATGTCCTTATCGAGAGTAAAAACGAGTACCTGCCCACTGCCTATCTATGATTTCTGAACATGTCCTTATCGACAGTAAAAACGAGTACCTGCCCTCTGCCTATCTATGATTTCTGGACATGTCCTTATCTAGAGTAAAAACGAGTACCTGCCCTCTCCCTATCTATGTTCTATGAACATGTCCTTATCAAGAGCAAAAACGAGTACCTGCCCTCTGCCTATCTATGATTTCTGAACATGTCCTCATCAAGAGCAAAAACGAGTACCTGTCCTCTGCCCATCTATGATTTCTGGACATGTCCTTATCGAGAGTAAAAACGAGTACCTGCCCACTGTCTATCTATGATTTCTGAACATGTCCTTATCAAGAGCAAAAACGAGTACCTGTCCTCTGCCCATCTATGATTTCTGGACATGTCCTTATCGAGAGTAAAAACGAGTACCTGCATGCCCACTGCCTATCTATGATTTCTGAACATGTCCTTATCAAGAGCAAAAACGAGTACCTGTCCTCTGCCCATCTATGATTTCTGGACATGTCCTTATCGAGAGTAAAAACGAGTACCTGCCCACTGCCTATCTATGATTTCTGAACATGTCCTTATCGAGAGTAAAAACGAGTACCTGCCCTCTGCCTATCTATGATTTCTGAACATGTCCTTATCGACAGTAAAAACGAGTACCTTTCCTCTGCCTATCTATGATTTCTGAACATGTCCTTATCGAGAGTAAAAACGAGTACCTTTCCTCTGCCTATTTATGATTTCTGAACATGTCCTTATCAAGAGCAAAAACGAGTACCTGTCCTCTGCCCCACCGGGGATCTCTGAAGACGTCCACGTTGGGACTGAAGCAGCTGATTCCTCTGTGTATGTTGATACGTTCATGGTGCGCCACGAAGTAGTTATAGTAGGCCCGCACTTCAATACTGGTGGCCTCCGCGATCCGGTACACTAAGTCCGAACTGAAAAGGTCACGTGAAGAACATGGAGGTTATCACGCGATTATGGTTTGGGATGATAACTATCCTGTATTAGGAATAAACATTGTATTTAGCGAGCCTTGATGAAATTTGTCTAAATTGTCTAAACTGGTTCATGGAATACCAGTGTGATTATCCAGCTCAAAAATGGCAGGTCAACCATGAATTATGAAATACTCGATTATGATTTGTCAATCAGGGGTTTTGAATCAGAATAAATAGAATTGTCCAGGCTCGGTTATTTACAGACCGCAGGAATATAACTGGAATATTGCCAGGAGTGCGGCGTTAAATAACAAACAAACAAACAAACAAACAAACAGACCAGTCAACCAAGTCACCGAGCCCTACCTCCCGATCCAAGATCCCCTACAGACAAGCAAGTGTTGCTGGGGACCTATCCTGACCCACAATCTCCACGGATTCAAAGGTTATACAGTAAGGGGATAAACATTGTGTGTTTTAGGATTTGCGGGTGTTATTGCGTATTTAATGCCCTAAGAATGCACTTAGAACCTAAGGGGTGTAGGCGTTATCATGTCGTTCTAATTCACAAAGTGACTCACTCAAAGGACGCTCCAAGTCCTATAAACTGGGGATACCCAGTGGCGTTTCTTGCGACATCCCCACGACCACAGTTCGTCCACCAGGAGAGGTTCTTGATACCCAGGTGCTTGATTGGCGGAGACTCACCTGGGGTGTACAGTATCAACATCATCAACAACACAGCCGACATCATCAACGGCGGACCCTAGTGGGTAAAGTGTTCGCCCGTCACGTGGTGGTTCTTGGTCCTCGAATATGCGTCCATCAGTCGTGATATAGCTGGATATTGCTGCTGCTAAAAGCGGCGTAAAACCTCACTCACTCACCCACCCACCCATCCACCCACCCAAGCAACCCACTCACTCACTCACTCAGATCGTAGATGTGTCTAAGTGTGGCGAACGAGACAAGTGAGACGGTGTTTACATAAAAATGATTATAATCATGGCATCCTGGCACGACTAAGGGACGCAACTCTCCCAAGGCAGCCAGCAGGGTTGTCCAAACATCTGAGGTGCCGCAATTCGTCCTGATTTCGAGGTACCTGTGTCCTTTTGGTGTGCCAGAAACCTATGATAGACTAATTCGAATTAAAGATTCGTTCTGATGTTTTTCCAGGTTTATCGGTGGCTCAGTCGTCTAAGTCGCCGCGATTCGCTGTGCAGAGTTGCGTCCCTTGGGCACGCCAGAAACCTATGATTGTGGGTTCGAATCCCGGTTCGCCCCAATTATGTTTCTAGGTTTGTCAGCACCATACCCGTGCTCGTGGGTTTCACCGAAGTGGTAAACGTCTGAGACCTGCATCACTTCGGGGTTTCCTCCCACATTAAGCTGACACGCCGTGATATAACTGGAATACTGTTAAAAGCGGCGTAAAACCCAACTCACTCACTCACTCACTCCAGGTTTGTCAGCACCATACTCGTGCTCGAGTTTCACGAAAAGTGAAAAACTTCTAAGACCTGCATCAAACTGACACGCCGTGATAAAACTTATAAACTGTTCAAGGCGACGCAAACCCAACTCACTCACTCACTCACTCAGCGGTCAAGTTCAGTGGAAGAGATTATATTCTCAGAATACTCACCGTGGCCGCTGGCGAGTTGGACTTGTATCTCCTGCAAGGTCATTCGACGCACGAGGTCATCCACCCTAGCATCCCACCCCAGGTTGGTGTTCTGGTACGGCAGCGCGCCATGAGCAACGTCAATTGCTACAACACACACTACGACGAGTAAGGCCGACATCATACATTTACTGACACCACTTCTTGGTGTTCCAGATAACAGAGGAATGGGAACGGCCAGAACTATGTCCATATTTGGGCGTCAGCAGTTAATTCATCCGATTTTTTCTGAATTTAACCTTGACCGATTTGAAACTCAACAGTGACAAAACTACAAAATATTTAGGGTATTTTAAAGGGAGTGTCCAGGTTCAATAAGCAGTTCTAGAAAGGTTTAATTCAAGTCATCAAACCTATTTTATTCGCCTTCTAATTCAATAGTAAAGTTCATTAAAATAGCAGATAATGAATCACGAGTGCCCTTTGCTTTTCCCAAGTGGGGATTCTGGGTCAAATTGGGTCAAATGTGCCTTTGCTTTTCCCAAGTGGGATTCTGGGTCAAAGCAGATCAACTGTGCCCTTTGCTTTTCGCAAGTGAGGATTCTGGGGCACAACAGGTCAACAGTGCCGTTGCTTTTCTCAAGTTTGGACTCGGATTCACCAATGTTGCAACGTCTGAGACCTGCATCACTTCGGGCTTTCCTCCTACATTAAACTGACACGCCGCGATTAAACTGGAACACTGTTAGAGCGGCGTTAAACCCAACTCACTCACTCACTCAATCCTGTTGATCCGTTTTATGCATATAAATCGGAATTTCTGCTCGGATTGACAAAGTCAAAGGAGGGTAATTTACCTATATATTGAAGTATAACCTAAGTTTCAGGTATATCGATAATTTGATATCGTTCATTAACCATTAAATAGTCAATTCCTTTCCTCTGATTTACCCACCTGAACTAGAAATAATGGAGACGTTTCCGTCATGTCGAGCAAGGAGGTCCAGGTCCAGCAGGTCCAGCAGGTCCAGCCTTTGGTGTTTACATTTAACAACTTTCGAGGTACAATCGAGCAGGCTCTTTCTACCAAGATTTTACAAAGCTCGCCATACGACTCTTGTTCCGAATTTGTTTGATCAAGGTGACAACATTCAGTGCCCCAGTAAAGCTTTCACAGCGTTTTATGGTGCTCATTCGGAGGACATTTCCAAATTCGATGCATCAGTGACAAAAATTATGTCCGATGCTTTTCCTTATTTTGACTTGTACCATATGTTCTGTGGTTTTATGAGCTGAACAATTGACCTGCCTTTGCATGTGTGGGTGCCACCGGTGGGACAGGATACGCTCACCTTTTCGCGAATACCTGGTAGCATCACTATTTGATAGCTATTCACATGCTCATGATGCTTCGTTTGCCCCCTGTGGAAATCAGGTGAGCAGTGCCATTGTCAACAGGGCGGTGGCGATTCTGAGTCATATCAGGTCATTGACCCTTGAAGATCCGGGGTAGAATAGGTTTTCAGCAACCAATGCTTGCCGTAAAAGGCGACTATGCTTGTCGTAAGAGGCGACTAATGGGATCGGGTGGTCAGGCTCGCTGACTTGTTTGATGAATGTCATCGAATCCCAATTGCGTGGATCGATGCTCATGATGTCAATCACTGGATTGTGTGGTCCAGACTCGATTATTTACAGACCGCTGTCGTATAGCTGGAATATTAATGAGTGCGGCGTTAAAAAAAAAAAAAAAAAAAAAAAAAGGTTCCAGATGGTCAAGTGGGTATTCTTGGGCAAATCCGGTCCAGAGATTCCGGTTTAGAAAAGTTCCTCAGCTGGTAGATCGTAATAACCGATGTGATGGATCGGTTGGTCAGGTTCGGTGACTCGGTAGAGGGCGGCGTTAAACAACAACAACAACAACAACAACAAAAAGCAATTATAATAACTTGTCTAGACTATATACGGTGAAAATCCATTCAGCAATATTCAAGTTGCATGAAGGCGGAGAACACACCAAGTCGCGGACCACATTAACTCAGACGCCTTGTACGACAAGCATCAAGGTTGCCGGGGGTCAAATATACCTAACCCGGAATACCCACGTGTGGCACCGACCATTTAATAGTGAGTGAGTGAGTGGGTGTGTGAGTGAGTGAGGGTTTAACGCCGCTTTTAACAGTATTCCAGTTATATCACGGCGTGTCAGCTTAATGTGGGAGGAAAGCCCGAAGTGGTGCAAGTCTCAGGCGTTTACCACTTCGGTGAAACCCACGAGCACGGGTATGGTGCTGACAAACCTAGAAACATAATTGGGGCGAACCGGGATTTGAACCCACAATCATAGATTTCTGGCGTGCCCAAGGGACGCAACTCTGCACAGCGAATCGCGGCGCCTTAGGTGACTGGGCCACCCGTTGCCCCGACCATTTAATACCCGTTGAGGTGCAGTGTTTGCTGTGTAAGGGTTAGCCAAACAGATATTTTTCAAAATATCCATCATATCCAGTGTACGATTTATTTTGTTTTGAAAACACATATACACCCTTCCTCTACATGATAAACACCGTGCATATTTCGTTTTAAAGTTTCAAAAAGACAAAGATTTGCTTAAGAATCACCGAGTTTCTATATTTTCCACATGTTATTTAGAATAATCCTTCATGTGTTTAACCTTGAATTAGATACGACATGGCATATGCGGCGTAAAATATTAACTCACTTACTTTTCCGTGAACTCGTGTGACGCCTATGTGGGAAATGTGAAGGGATTTTATGTCCGCTTCTTTGCCTACCGTATCTTTACTGTCCATTAAAAAATCCGTTAGAGTGAGTCCCCAATATTGTGATCTTCCCGAAGCTGTTTGCTTTTTTATACCCTTATTTTATCAATGGTAATTAAACATAATACTTTTTAAGGTGGAAAAAATATTATGAATAATTTAAAAGAACAATAATAGACTGAGTCGTATTTTGTGACCCTCCAACCGAATAAAATATTAATTATTTTTTACTTCCCTCTCCTGATCCGATGATGATCTTTATTATTTCATCTTTATTCTCAGCAAAGGGACTTTATAGGCATGCAAGTTCGATAACTCCAAATCTAGAACAACGCTGAACTAGTTTCGCGTCACTGCGACGGTTGAACTCTTGCGCTTGTCCTCGGTTATAAGCAAACCAACACGTACTGGAAAATCCAACTTTGTTATTGTCATATGCGACGGGCCAGGATTGGTAGATTACATGGATCAGTTAGTATACGATCAGCAGATGATGACGGCCATTCTCTGTGCAACCCGGAAGTGACACCCGTTTTCGATCTATCAGGTCCATGGTGGCGAGATTGAATGTGTATCTAACCCGGAAGTAGAGCGGTTTCACAACGAGGACGTATTATTTATGGGTCATGATCAATGCGTGACGGTGTATAATTAATGACAAAAGTATTTCAACTTCGCAGTAGGATTCAGTGAAAATAGTGCGTCGAACAGCGTGGATTGTATACCATGCTAATCACCGAACCCAGTGACCAACAGAAGTCTATAGATTCTGTATGCCATATATGGGACCAACATCCTTGCAGTCACGTGGAATTTTGAACAGTATCGAGGGAATATCTGTGTTGTGTGCTGGTTTCTCTTTCTTCAGGCCGAAATGTCCCAAACGGGTTCAGAAACAACCGTGAACAACAAATCCTTCTAACGAAATTAGAAATTGAATGAAACCCCATGGAATGTTTGAGAAAGCTGGCATCTGATTGGCCTCCAAAATCCGATATTCTCTCAGACAGGTGTCGAAACGGACTAAAGGATTTGATTCAGTGAGCAGGAACGTTTACATTACACCTTGATTGGTTAATTCGGATTGTGTTATTAATTTGGCATAGGAGACAGAACTAACAAGGTGCTCAAAAGGAGTCGCCACACAAGCTTGATCTAGTCAACTGTTACCTTATATAGAGGTAAAGACAATTCTTGTTTATTCTTATTTTGTATCGTGTATTGTTTGATAACGTGACGACGTAGTATAACTACAATACTGTTCAAAGTGACGTTGAACCCAATTAACGCACTCGCTGACAATGTGATATACAGTAAACTACGGTTATAACGAACTAAAAAAAACACTAATTTTAGTTCGTTATAACCGTAGTTCGTTCTAAGCATATATACAGCGTATACATCCATATATGCCTTTAATCACTTCGTTGATCAAATGGCCGGGACAAAAAGGGTCGTTATTTCCGTCTGTTCGTATTAAGCGAGTTCGTTACAAACGTAGTTTACTGTACAAGTGTTTCATAGTTGGCCACAAATAACTTTTTTACCAGTGAGTATTTTTTACCCACATTTTATCATTCATTTGGGATTGATAGTTTTCTTTGCCCATTCAATGATCACCTATTGAGTGAGTGGGTATTGTTTTACGCCGCCTTTAGCAATATTCCCGGCGGGGGACACCAGAAATGGGCGTCACACATTGTACCCATGTGGGGAATCGAACCCGGGTCTTCTGCGTGACGAGCGAACGCTTGAACCACTAGGCTACCCGACCGCCCCACCTACCTAGTGATGCAAGTACCTACACTATCATACAGCGCACGTGTAACCCAGAAGGTAAAACAAACTGTTATTTGCTTGTTGTACCTTCATAATCAAGAATGAGAATAGGGCACATTTCAGTTTAAATATTCATGTAATATGAAAGTAGTAAACAAACATATTATGAAAACAAAACTAGTAATATGTTTTCACAACAATGACTTCTTAAAGGGTTCCTATTGTTTTCAAAGAAAAGGGTAATATATGTTGACACAATCATAAAGATGTACATGCTACTGTTGACTATTATGTACTTATATATACAGTGGTTAAGTTTTTAAGGTTTTTTAATAATTAGTGTTTTCAAGTAATAGTTACAATGTTGTAATACTAGTAGTATTTCATGATGACCGAGATCAGTGGAGACATGCGGACAGTGTTATCGTTGAAACACACGAAGTTGTGAGTGGGTATTTCTTTAACCTTGAACCATATTTATCTCTGAAAATTACCTACCAAAAGGTAATATGTTTACGCCTGTGGCCTAACACGTCGATTATTCACGCTGTCCAAAAGTGCTAATACCTCGCTACACGGAAACTGGTTCAACGTTTCCCGCATAAGGATATGCTGTATGTCGAAAGATGTCGTAAGAGCTAGACTAGTTTCCTGCCCTTAGCACTGACATGCGTAGATATAAATATTCGTTTAAATTTCGGAAAGCAATAATTAGGGTCCAGTTTCTCAATCACAAAATGACTTTCAGTAACGAGTTTGTCCAAATTAAGATCTCGTCAAAATACACGGGCCAGATAAGGATTCTCAGAACTGGCGGATAACCGCTCGGACAAATTGGAAGTCTGCTGTCCGTCCATTCGTCACCACTCGCCCCATTCCGTAACCTGCAACAAGACTCGTTCAGAAAGACATCGAATCGGAGTAAAAGATTTGGTTTAATAAGACGGCTGGGAACTATGAATCCGGAAATGTGTTGTAAACTTAGTAGGAGGCAGGAATATGGCAGATTAACTGTAGTCTCGTGAAAGAATTGGGTGTACTTTAACTTGTTTGGACTATCATAGTATATACCATAGCCACACGGCTATCGTCAATACTTCACTGGTTTGTTTACACACTACCCGTGAATACAAGTATATATACACCCGCTGGTACATCTTCCCGAGGCAAGAGAGTTAACTGACATAAAAGTCCAGTTTCCACCCTTGCCGAACTTGGTTGTAATTTCTGGGCTCGATCGTAGCGCCACCAGTGGATATTACGAGTTATGTCCCTTCTATGTCCCTCCCATATATTGACCAATCAGATTCCACCTGTCATATCGATATTCAAGATCCATATTGTAATAAAACGGGACTTACTTTGCGAAGCATAAAATCATGTTAACACCTTGAAGAAAAACATGAAAAGATTTGGAAAAGCTCGATCTGTTGACGCTACATATTCTTTGCAAATCCTGCAACTAACCGAAATCTGCACGCTTTACGAACCGCATGTCGATTTCTTTACGCGCTTTTGATTGGACTCGAGTTCGGCAAGGGTGGAAACTGGACTTGATAATGTAGTCAGTTAACTCCGTTACCTCGGGAAGATGTACATCCTCACATTTCGTAATTCGTTGGTAAAAATAGCTTCTACACAGTAACTTCTCCATATGTTTTCATAGGTAATGGAGGGGAGTAAACACAAGCATCTGTTGTGCCATGACATAAAAGTTGTATTATTTGGAGACGAGATTTCATATCATTCCAATGCCACGATTTTATACAAAAGCTAAATTTAAACAAGACAGAATCCAAAAGTCAATCCTTTTGTCAACTGAGTTAAATTAAAACCTTCATTTCAACAATCGTCATTTCAGTCGAGATGGCCGACATTGGGCATCAGCCATTGACTGCCTACGTCGTTGCCTTGGACAAACTGTGCACAGAGTGGATCCACGGTAGTCATGACGACGCCACGCCCCCAGGCGAGGAGGAGGGGTCAATTTGTTTAGACTATCTGGACACCTACGGGAAGCAGTGTGATACATCCGAGATGGAAACAGCTTACACGGAACTAAGAGCCTGCAAGGCACAACGACATCTGGATCAAGCAGCGTCGCATCGTCGTTGGTTAAATCTGTGGTATAAACTTATCACCATCGCAGACATCGACGTTGAAGACGATCTGAAGGACGTTGTCAAAGTCCACGACCTTAGTAAATACGGTCCATATGAGGTTCTTGGTTACGGGATAATGTTCGGGGAGACGGGTAGGTTTAAGATGTTAGCGGGACGTGAGAAAGAGTTATGGGACTTGGCTTTGAAGTCTCATTATAGCAGTAACCCTCACCACCCCCAGTACCAGGTGGGCGTGGCCATGGACGGGGTGCATCTGGAAGAGAGCGTGCTGGACATGCTGGCTAGCCGGAGTGAGAGGACGCTGTTGGGGGAGTCGTGTGTCACGCCCTCGCAGCTAATGGACGTCCCTGAGATATATCTAACGCGGTATGTTCCCCAGGACAAAGATGGAGTGAAGGTGAAGCTGGCTGGGTGGTTGCAGAAGGTCGAGGGCGTGGTTAATGACAGGGACGGAGATGCAGCTGAGTTCATAGGTCAATGGGAGGAGCTAAGTGGCAAGACGCTACTGATACATGCTAGTGTGAATGTTTAGATGAACGTTGGGTAGTTTTCTTAATGGTGCCTAGCAGCTAGTGATATTGCTGGAATATTAATAAAAGTGGTATAAAACCAAACTCACTCTCTCACAGCTACTAACGAAGAAATATACGTCCACTATAACACGGCCACATAACATTTGTAGCAGCATGACATTGTCCCCGCCCTACACAAACATTGTCCCTACACAAACATTGTCCCCGCCCTACACAAACATTGTCCCCGCTTTACACAAACATTGTCCCCGCTTTACACAAACATTGTCCCCACCCTACACAAACATTGTTCCCGCCCTACACAAACATTGTCCCCACCCCACACAAACATTGTCCCCGCCCTACACAAACATTGTCCCCGCCCTACACAAACATTGTCCCCGCCCTACACAAACATTGTCCCCACCCTACACAAACATTGTCCCCACCCCACACAAACATTGTCCCCACCCTACACAAACATTGTCCCCACCCTACACAAACATTGTCCCCGCCCTACACAAACATTGTCCCCACCCCACACAAACATTGCCCCCGCCCTACACAAACATTGTCCCCACCCTACACAAACATTGTCCCCGCCCTACACAAACATTGTCCCCACCCTACACAAACATTATCCCCGCCCTACACAAACATTGCCCCCGCCCTACACAAACATTGTCCCCGCCCTACACAAACATTGTCCCCGCCCTACACAAACATTGTCCCCGCCCTACACAAACATTGTCCCCACCCCACACAAACATTGTCCCCACCCTACACAAACATTGTCCCCACCCTACACAAACATTGTCCCCGCCCTACACAAACATTGCCCCCGCCCTACACAAACATTGTCCCCGCCCTACACAAACATTGTCCCCGCCCTACACAAACATTGTCCCCGCCCTACACAAACATTGTCCCCGCCCTACACAAACATTGTCCCCACCCTACACAAACATTGTCCCCGCCCTACACAAACATTGTCCCCGCCCTACACAAACATTGTCCCCGCCCTACACAAACATTGTCCCCACCCTACACAAACATTGTCCCCACCCCACACAAACATTGTCCCCGCCCTACACAAACATTGTCCCCGCCCTACACAAACATTGTCCCCGCCCTACACAAACATTGTCCCCACCCTACACAAACATTGTCCCCACCCCACACAAACATTGTCCCCGCCCTACACAAACATTGTCCCCGCCCTACACAAACATTGTCCCCGCCCTACACAAACATTGTCCCCACCAGTCCCACAGGTAATACATACAGGCTGCATACAAATATTTGTGTTAAGCCACATCTACAGTATTTATTACCCATGTGCTTTATTGTCTTTGTGCTATTTGCTATTCTTACTTTACATTTGGCGTCATCCAATTATCTGTATGCTACTTGTTATCAATTACCTGTTGTTGCCAGTGTTAATCTGCTGCTTATCTCAACATATAATGCATATGTACCTCTCGTCACTTGGTCGTTGTCACTCCAGCTTGATAACGGTGTAAGAATCTACATCAAAACGTCGCTATATGCAATAAACCAGAATTTGTTATCCATAATTTAAAGTTGTACGTTTCCTGACAAACTCGCCAACTTCCAGAATGCCAATGAAACAGTTACACACATTAAACGGAAGGTCGCTGGTTCGATCACCTGGGTGCGTGATTCCCACAAGACGTTAAAATAGGCACTTCACTAAAAAAACTAACGGAAGCACTCCAGAATCGACGCCTCAAGCCATCAAACAGCGATCAAGGCTATTTCACCCCATCCGCTTACTATGAACTCGTTAGGCAATAATAATCCCACCTCAATCCTGTTTAATAAGCTTCCCCATCACGTGTCCCGTCCATCATGTTGTTACAGTTGTATCCTCCTGTTGTTTTTATTTAACCAGGGGCGGCGGGTAGCCTAGTGGTTCAAGCGTTCGCTCGTCACGCCGGGTTCGATTCCCGACATGTGTGAAGCCCATTTCTGGTGTCCCCCGCCCTGATATAGCTGGAATATTGCTAAAAGCGACGTAAAACCATACTCATTCACTAACTATTATTTAACCTGGGGCGGTCGCGTGGCCTAGTGGTTAAAGCGTTCGCTCGTCACGCCGAAGACCCGGGTTCGATTCCCGACATGGGTACAATGAGTGAAGCCCATTTCTGGTGTCCCCCGCTGTCATATTGCTGGAATATTGCTAAAAGCGGCCTAAAACCATACTCACTCACTAACTATTATTTAACCTACTCTCTCATGTATCCAATTGTTGTTACAGTTAATCCTCCACCTGCCATATATATTCTGTAACATGTTCATCATTTGGTCTTACTTGACAACCGAAACCGAATCGTCTCTATTACAGTAAAAAAAAGGGGTTGTTATCCATAAATTGTGTCTACTTTGTGTATGGTATACTTATCGTTACCCTGCCTGGCGCTCGGCATAAATTTGATAACACAAAGACACGGCCATGTTGGTTGGTTGGTTGGTTTGTTGTTTAACACCGCACTCCGCAACATTACAGCTATATGACGGCGGTCTGTAAATAATCGATTCTGGACCAGACAATCCAGTCATTGACAGCATGAGCATCGATCCACGTAATTGGTATCGATGACATGCATCAACCAAGCCAGCGAGCCTGACCACCCGATCCCGTTAGTCGCCTTTTTACGACAAGCATAGTGGCCTTTTACGGCAAGAATGGGTTGCTGAAGACCTATTCTACCCCGGAATCTTCACGGGTCCACGGACCATGTGAAACTGCAGCGTTGTATCTCGGTAGGCTAGCACAATAAGAAAAACAGGCATAAGTCCAGACGAGTACAAACAGACACACAAACATGCATGTACGTCACAGTATACCGTATTTTCTCTATTGGACGCTCGTGTATCTTCTAGTATTAATTTCGCGCAAGCCCTTGACCCGGGGGGCGGTCGGGTAGCCTAGTGGTTAAAGCGTTCGCTCGTCACGCTGAAGACCATGGTTCGATTCCCGACATGGGTACAATGTGTGAAGCCCATTTCTGGTGTCCCCCGCCGTGATATTGCTGGAATATTGCTAAAAGTGGCGTAAAACCATATTCACTCACTCACTTGACCCGGCGTCTATGATACTGTCAGAGGCCAAGCATCTATTCTGTTTAATGCTGGCATAGTAGCAACTCACTACATTACCGAATCACAAATTCTACAGCCATACAAATGGTATTTTGCAGGAAATGGTCCTTTTTTATCAGCAACATATCACAGCATTATATATAGACCCAGCGTCAAATAGGCCAGGCTTCTACGTTCTGGACCCGGGAACTGACCTGGCGCGTTTATGGAGTTTTAACAACACAAAATGTGTATGTTTGTCTAAAATGTGTCGAAAAATATAATTTCAGAGGCTTTAAGACAGCATTTTGTATTCGACGTAATAAGTGCGCTCTCAAAATTAGAAATAGGGGGCTCTTATTAGAATATAATTTTGATGAAAGAAAACAGTGTTGAAAAATAAATTTCGTGGTTTTTGCTGACAGCCTGAATGTTTATATTCGACAGATATATTTTTCCAGAATTTAATTGCCCATAATTAAGGGTGCTTATAACACACGAGTGCGTATTATACACGAATAAATAAGTCTTGTGTACATTTATCAATCGGAAGGGGTGCTAATTGGGATTGTTCACTAGCCAATATATTAGCAAATATCGCCGTGGGCTTATTACAGCGGGGCGCTTATTACGTCGAATACGGTAATAACATTTGATTTTCTAATTGAAAATATCTTAAGTTAGCGACATTTCTATCCAAAAAATGAATTGGACTGGCGCTTTGTGGCTCTGAAAAGAAAACTTTTACAAGTCTTTTTTTAAAGATAATTTGATTAAAAACTTTAAAAAATTAACTTTGAAATTCAATAAACTTGCTTTTTGTCGGCTCAAATTTACAACAATTTTAACATGTAAGGGTTCTTGTGGTTACAAATTCATTTCTTACCCCAGTCTAAATTTAATTTACACAAAATTACCCTGCCACAGCTAGCTTACTTTTTACAAACTGTTTCAGGAATGATCGAGTGATGCATTGTCAATACCCCCGTCTCATTCATTCTCAACTCCATGGGGAGTATACAACCCAAACTGCTTGTGTGGCTCTTGAAGATTAACTGTCCCATTACCATCACGTCCAACTTCTACCAATATACTTTGAGACCTTTACTGTCATTTGAGGTTACTAATTAGCAATATATTATGTGTGCAACTAACACAAGCTCAATTATAACAAGCTAAAAATCCAATACTTAAATTTGGGAGACCTGGGTTTTGGTGATACTGTGTTGTTGTTATTTTTGCCATGATCACTTTCCTTCCAAGATCACATACATGAAAAGAAATCTTGAAATGTATGCGCCAATTTTCAAATATTGTTCATTATCTAAAATTGCTGATTCAGTCCTTTTGCAACAAATCGATTACTGACTATGAAATGTTATATTTTGTAGTCTTGATTGCACATCGACATTCGCCATTTCTTGTTGCATTTGCTCTTAGGTTTAATCTTTTTGATTTTATGCAAATCACTTTTCAACTGAACAGACTGGCGAAGACCAGGTAAGACAAGGTGATCTAAAAGGACCATCGCTCATTCACCAGAAGACAACTGGTACTCTGTCTACGCATTTTGTTGTTGGAATATGCGGTGCGCAACAGACAAAAGATGACAGTTAAACTTGGCAATGCGCATTAATATATCAAATATATCTCGCAATAATACACACATTTCCCCCGAATAGCATGCTACAAAACAGGCTATATTGTTCGAATACCCTCTCTAGTGCTCTGTCGTTATCAAATCAATTTGAATCCTGTTTACAGAGAGCAGATTGAACTATTTTGTTACTACGCCGTCACTTCCGGTTTATCGAGACGTGACAAGGCACGATTGTTTACAGTGGTTTCAGGTGCGTGTGGCGTTCGTTTTCTAAGAATATTGCTACAAATATGTACTTCTATATTATTTTTGTATTGGACAGTAACAGTCACTGTACCCGCGGGTGTTGTCACGTAGCAAATAAGCGAAATACAAGTGAATTTTACTAAATCGCATTACATGTCTAGGCAGTGAGTACATTAATCTCAATTGGCTAATTACCTGTCTTAGGTCATAGTTAAATTTAACGTCTTTTAATCGCCCTCCGATTGCTGTTACGCTTGGCGCGTTATTGTTCTGGTCCTGTAATTTCCTTTCTCGACCAAGAACAAGTCGTATATCACGAGTGTTGACATATTCACAATAATTTTGAATAAACTACCTATTCTCATGAATCTGATTGTCATTCAGGGATTTATCTAGACTTGCTCTATAACCATATTCGACCCCTAGTCTGCAACAAATGGCACTAAAAAGTCCAAAATTGGAATAAGATATTTCCCAATTCATGATGTTAAAGTTATAATTAATGTTATGTCTGTAAAAAATTCTTTAGTTTCACTGCAATAACAAGGCCAATAGAATAGACTTATAAGTAAATGGTTAGTTTAACATTCAATGTTAAAATACCTATGAATTAAGGATAATACAAACTTTGATAAATATCCGAACTTGTTACAAAATAACAATTTCCCCCGCCTTCTATTTGCCTGACAAGGGCACTAATGTGACTAAGTTTGGAACCCAAATTAAATCCATGTCATTACCATGATTAGGCCTACTGGCTAAGTTATATTGGGTTAAGGATGTATTCTGGTTTACTTTTGTGTAACCCTGCTAACTGTCATGTTTGTTTGTTGTTTAACGCTGCACTCAGCAATTTTCCAGCTACATGACGACTGTCTGTAAATAATCGAGTCTGGACCAGACAGTCCAGTGATCGATATCATGAGCATCGGTCCTTGCAATTGGGATACAATGACATGCATCAACCAAGTCAGCGAGCATGACCACCCAATTCTGTTAGTTGCCTCTTACGACAAGCATTGTGACCTCTTATGGGCAAGCATGGGTTGCTGAAGACCTATTCTGAACATGGATCTTCACGGGTGAAATTTCTTGAACTAATGTACCGTAACCTGCAGTCATGAACTTACTTTTACAACGAGGATTGGCGTATTGGCACATAGATTGTGTTGCAATCTATCACAGTTCGGAGAGAGCTGTATTGCGATGCATATTGGAATATGTATAGGGGCCCAAAAATATACAGTTGTGCTTTTCAAGCTGTTGTACATTCATTGTTTCTGTCTAAAAAGATAAAAAATTAGAATTATCATTGATGTGAAGAAATATTATCAATATCGATATGAAAATTGTCTCATCGATAATATCTTACAAAACTTATTGTGATAAAATAATGTTTTAATTTTTTGAAGCAGACTTATTTTTGTCCATTACCAAAAACAGAAAGCAACTGATCTTGTTATATCTTAAATGTCCACAAAGTAATCCATGCATAAATGTGTCAGTGACCAGTGACGTGACATATGTTGTTTTTCCTCTGAGGTTTTAGCATATTTGTTCATAGTTACTTCTCTGATGTTTATCGATAACTGATCGATATTTAGTCAATGATAATGAATCACTAAAATCTATAGACCGCCTCCATGGTCTAGTGGTAGAGCGTCTGCTCGGATAGCGGACGGTCCGGGGTTCGATCCCCAGCCGCTGCATGCCAAAAGACGTTGAAATATGGTACTTCTTGTTACCCTGTCTGGCTCTCTGCATTAAGCATGTTAAGGGGCTAAAACAAGGACTGGTCGGCTCGGAGTCAGGAAACTGTCTGAGTAGGGTATTCATGTTAAACTGCGGCATGGTATCTCAGTGGGCTTGCACTATAAATCGACATCAGTCCGGACTAGTACAAGCAGCCACGCACATGTGCTGCACATCGCTATATAAGTACAATAATCTTGGACGCAATGTTAAGCCCCAGTTCACCTCACCTCACCTCTTAGATCTAACATTCTCACCAACTTTTTCTGTCTTTTTAACAGTTGAGACACTGTGCCAAGATAAGGAGTAGGATGGGCTGATTGGCTGGCCCTGGCCCTGGCATGAACCAATCAAGTGACAACACCCAACCTCTTCCTGCAGACGGCACATCACCAGAGAACGGCAATGATCGACAGATAAGTAGATCTTTACAGAACCTGACGTCAAACACGAGCCATGATGGGAACGACACTGGAACACGAGCTCAGAAGCACAGGCGGACTCAGTCGCAATCGGTTGTTTCTCCAACAAATGGGAATTTCCTGACTGTGCCGGAACTACATTCCGGCGCAAATGGTGGGCGTCAGGCGGACAGTGGAGATGATGATACGTACATTGTCGTCCGTGACAATGCCGTAGACATCGATGACATCTATGGTGGAAAGGAAAAGCTACCTCCTCGTCTTTTGGTTGTGTCCAGCAAGATAAGGAACAGTGCCATCATCCGCAATGCCATCCACAGCAACATCACCTACGTCCAGTACAACTACGACACCATCACCCTCGACGAGCTGCGCAGTGAGTCCAGATTAAGAAATAGTTGTAGTAAAGTGAAGTGATGGGAATGGGGCTGCCTCGAGCTCATCGTGCAATTTATTGCAATAATGATTCATGTACATACTACTGCAATACATACTACATGGCTTTAATGATCCACCGATGCCTACGAGACCCATGAAGATCCGGGGTAGAATAGGTCTTCAGCAACCCATGCTTGCCGTAAAAGGCGACTATGTTTGTCGTAAAAGGCGACTATGTTTGTCGTAAAAGGCGACTATGTTTGTCGTAAAAGGTGACTATGTTTGTCGTAAAAGGCAACTATGTTTGTCGTAAAAGGCGACTAACGGGATCGGGGGGTCAGGATTACTGCCCTGCTTGATGCATGTCATCGTATCCCAATTGCGTGGATCGATGTTCATGATGTCAATAACTGGATTGTCTGGTTCAGACTTGATTATTTACAGACCGCCGTCATATAGCTTGAATATTGCTGAGTGCGGCATTAAACAACAAACCAAACCAAAAACCGATGCCTGTGATATCATTGATCGTATTATTATGGCCTTATTAAAGTTATCAATGGAGATCCGTTTGTTATGACAAATTTAACAGAAACACCCTTCACACCCTTACATGTGTTTTTTCCAGATCTGATCGGGCAGACGCTCGGCGGGAAGAAGGTCCACAGTGTCGCCCTGATCCTCAGCTGCTCCAACCATGCCAACTCCGCCATATACCTCTGCTCCAAGGACGATCGGGTAGGAACTCACACCTGTACTTCATGGGGGTTAACCACATCAGCCCTTGAAGTTTGGTTTTTCATTGTACGGAGCCGAGTGGCTCCTACCATAGATAGGGGCGGTCGGGTAGCCTAGTGGTTAAAGTGTTCGATCGTCACGCCGAAGACCCGGGTTCGAATCCCGACATGGGTACAATGTGTGAAGCCCATTTCTGGTGTCCCCCGCCGTGATATTGCTGGAATATTGCTAAAAGCGGCGTAAAACCAAACTCACTCACTCACTCCTACCATAGATATGTTATGAGCCAAACCTGTGTTTTCAGGAGCCAACAGATATCTTTAACAGATATTGTCGCCAGTTATTTTTACCTTTAGGTAGCCAACAGGCGAACAATAGATAAATTTAGGTTGCCAATCATAGATTTAGGTCACGTTTTTCCACCATGGGCTGCATAGAAATAATCCCTGGCATCTTATGCTTCCATCTGTACCAAAAACATATGAGTCTACTAGCCCAGACCTGTCACTGGACATTATTTTCTGTAGATCATGGTAGATGTCTGTGTTAGTGGACTTTAGCAACCCATGCTTGCTGTAAACATGGTAAAAGGCGACTATGCTTGTCATGAAAGTCGACTAACAGTATCGGTTGTTCAGGCTCGCTGACTTGGTTGATGCATGTCATCGATCTCAATTGCGTGGATCGATGTTCATGATGTAAATCACTGGATTGTCTGTTCAAGACTCGATTATTTACAGACCGCCGTCATATTGCTGAGTGGGGCATAAAACAACAAATAAACAAAACAAAACAAAGTTGTTGCTAAAGTCAGAGACTGTGCTAGTTGTAAGAGAGTTATCAGAGGCGACTTCATGGATCAGGGGGGGCACGGGTGGTCCAGTCGTCTAAGCTCGCCGCGATTCACTGTGCAGAGTTGCGTCCTTTGGCATGCCAGAAACCTATGATTGTGGGTTCGAATCCCGGTAGGTTTGTCAGCACCATACCCGTGCTCGTGGGTTTCACCGAAGTGGATCAGTTGGTCAGAATCAGGTACTTGGTTGATGGCGTTTCGTCATACCCCAGTGGTGTGGTTTGTTGCTCGTATAATATCAATCACTGGATTGTCTTGTCCAGTCTTGGTTAATTACAGACCATTGTCAAATGGCTGGAATATTGACATGCTGTGCTGTGACTGGAATACTGTTCAAAATGGCTTTGAACCCAACTCACTCACTATCATTTGAACTTTTCCCTGACAATATTGGTATCTGAGCAATCTCAGTAAAATCAGATTTATGTTCTTGCTGTCGCTCAACAAAGATCTGAGGACATCCCAGTAAAGGTCTAGTCAGAATGACCTTCCACCCGACCAATCAGAGCGTCGCTTACCAGATCATGAAAGTGACAGTCGGAATGTGATTTCTAATCATGCAACCCTGAAAACGTTCACACTGGGTATTCCGAACGACAGTTATGGCCCATACGACTGATTACGTCAAAATCATGTCTATCTCTCGCTTCCATGGGATAAACGTTTGAACGGAGGAGTCATTGCACAGTACGTGGGAGGCACTGCCATACAATCTCAACCATTTATTAGACATTCCGGAATGTTCGTTTATTTCATTTTTCAAAATATTAATTGAGAACTGTGTTAAAATATTTTTCAAACGTAGTCTAAAATGGAAGAAGCCAGGTTGAAACAAGTGCCGTAAACATGGTAAAGCTCGAGAAAGCTGCTTTCTAATTGGCTGATGTAGTCATTTCGGTGGTTGGACAAAGTTTGCGAAAGGTCGTTCTGACGTGACCCGTAATGGGACGTCCTCAGATCTTGGTTTAGCAAAAGCGAGAATTTAGATCTGATTTTAATTAGATTGGGTATCTGAGAGACCTTTGACAGATTATACATGTTAACATGGGTGGGTAATGTGTCTTGCTGCACTACCACCATGCCCACATAATCCTGGGCCCACTTGCACAAAGCGATCTGAGCACTACGACTATTGTAAGCCTATGTTAAAGTATGGGAGTTACGATCATCTTAGCGCTAAGATCGCTTTGTTTAAGTGTTAATATTTCAGCCTGAATGCTGACAACGTTTTAGACCATGTTAACAACAATCTACTCCCTTTGTTTGAAGGGTGGTCGGGTGGTCTAGTGGTTAAAGTGTTTGCTAGTCGCGCCGAGTACCTGGGTTCGATTCCCGACATGGGTACAATGTGTGAAGCCCATTTCTGGTGTCCCCCGCCGTGATATTGCTAGAATATTACTAAAAGCATCGTAAAACCATACTCACTCACTCACTCACTCTGTTTGAAGGTGTTGAGCAAGGAAAGCTACAGTGACCAGTCAGCCATTCAGGACTTCTTCACCATGATAGTGAAACAGCACATGGACTGTACACAGACAGGCACCAGACTGGACTTCCTGGCTTGTACAGTGTATCAGCATGGAGACATCAGGCAGCTACTGGAGGACATGACCGGGGTCCTGGGGGTGAGTGTTGGGAGGGTGGAGACATTAGGCAGCTACTGGAGGACATGACTGGGGTCCTGGGGGTGAGTGTTGGGAGGGTGGAGACATCAGACAGCTACTGGAGGACATGACCGGGGGTGAGTGTTGGGAGGGTGGGGAGATCAGGCAGCTACTGGAGGACATGACTGGTCATGTCAAACAGTAGGTACGTCAAGATTGTTTGCACAGGTTCCCCATGTTTCACAGCAATGCGTCATTAATTTATGTGACACTGGCAGCAGACCGGGCTATGTTTATGGCTATGATAGCCTGATTTTGTTTGGTGCCACTTGTTTTTCATATCGACATGCACCTGGTGCAAGTTAAATCAAGTTCCTTATATCGAGCCCTGCATTAGTGTGTTAGAAACGTGTGACCACCACACACCAGTCCCTTAGCTACATGTGTATAGAAAATAGTCAGTCTTCATCTTTATTATAGACACCGTCTCCGTCCGTCCGTCACGTTTCGTTTCCGGAGCATAACTCAGAAACCGTTCAATAATTTTTCATGAAACTTTGCAGGTCCGTCAGGTACATGCTGAACTGGTACCTTTTGCTATTTAGAAATTTTAGAAATTTTTATTTTTTACGTTTCCATGGCAACAAGATGGACTAAGGTTGCAAACTCTTCTTTTTTTTACAATTTCCATGACAAGTTCCTCCTCGGTTAAAAAAGGGTAAGGTTTGTTTAGATTTAATTATGTGATAAATTCTGCAACAGGGGCGGGGGATATAGCCACGTTAATGGCAAACTCTTGTTTAAAAGTGATCTGGGGTTGTATAAGGTTTAGTTTGTATCTTTGATTTACAATAAGTGAGAAATTTCTCACCTGATTTAGGAATAATCTCTGTCATTCAGTCATTGTGATCGTAATCTTAAAGCCATTCATTATGTATATGTACACAAATGTTGTGTTATTTGGACAGGTGCCTGTGTCGGCCTACAAGGACTTTGCTGCTGTAGACTCAGGCATGAAGAGAAGCGAGGAAAACCTCCGAGTCAGCAGGTATGGTTGGTGATTCCTGTCCGGGGAGATCTCTCCTACTTGTAAGCCATCTTCCCGAGTCGAGAGAGTTAACTGACTATAAAAGTCCAGTTTCCCCGCTTGCCGAACTAGGCTGGTATTTTGGAGTTACATTTTAGCTGGACTAATGAGTCTATGCATAGTCCAATCAAAATCGCGCACCGAAATCGAAATTCGGCTCGTAAACTGTCGTGCAGATTTCGGTCGATTGCAGGATTTCCAAAGCATGTGCACCGCCAACTCGTTGTCATCAGATATTGTCCAAATGTTTTCATGTTTTTAATCAAGGTGCTCACGTGAGTTGATGCATTTCGCGATGTAAGACCCATTTTATCACAATATAGATCTTGATTATCAATCAGATCGTCCTGCCTGGGTGCCGCCATTTTGTTTGAAGCAAATGAAAGTGATACGAGAGGTGGAATCTGACTGGTCCATAGGAGAGGCATAGAAGGGACATAACTGGTAATAGCCACTGGTGGCGCTACGATCGAGCCCAGTAATTCATGCCTAGTTCGGCAAGGATGGAAACTGGACTTTTAAAGTCAGTTAACTCTCTTGCCTCGGGAAGATGAGTAAAGCATGATAAATGTAGGTGTGTTGACGGTACACGTTTGTGAAAAATGAGCACATGGCCTGCTGGGGGGAATGGGGGTGCACTTAAAATGGAAGATTAATGCTAATATTAATGCAATTTTTGTTTGTTAGCTTATAATTAGTCATTTAGTTGTCTTTTTTTTATGTCAACATGACCAAGTATGCGTCAAAAGGAGGGTGTGGGGTACCCAAGAGTCCCCCTCGTGTGTTCAGTATACTGTCCCGGGTAAGAATAGGTCTTCATCAACCCATGCTTGATGTAAGAGGTGTTTAACGGGATCAGGTGGTCAGGCACGCTGACTTGGCTGATGCATGTCATCATATCCCAATTGTGTGGATCGATGCTCATGATATCAATCACTGGATTGTCTGGTGCAGACTCGATTATTTACAAACCGCTATCCTATAGCTGGAATATTGCTGAGTGTGGCGTTAAACAACAATTAAACAACCAAAAAAGTTAGCCACGATACTGATACAGGTGACAGGTGACACATTGTCTTTACCTGAAACGGAAGACCATAGTCTGTTGTTTGTACATGTTAATAGGGGGCGGTCAGGTAGCCTAGTGGTTAAAGTGTTCGCTCATCACGCTGAAGCCCCGGGTTCGATTCCGGACATGGGTACAATGTGTGAAGCCCATTTCTGGTGTCTTTCGCCGTGATATTGCTGGAATATTGCTAAAGCGGCGTTAAACCATACTCACTCACTCACTCACATGTTAATAGCAAATGTTATCTGAACTAGCCATGGATAGTTGACAGTGAAGAGGACTTCTGTTGAAAATCGGAAAAGTTTTTTTGTATGCTGACAGCCGAAATAGATTATTTCTGGCACTGATGTAATAGAGATGGTTTAATTGTTTATTAACCTGATTCACTTAGTCTCCTCACACAACAAGCATAGGTTGCAGGGGACAAATTCTAACCCAGAATCCCCTCGAGGTTGGATTGAACTGAAAACTGGGCACAGCAATCAACTCACTCACTCACTTGTTCACTACCCCTGTGTACAGTACATACACCCTGTGCACTCAAAAGAACCCACTCGTCCGATGGTGGATGGGCAGATGGTGGAGACACCAACACGTACATACACCCAAAACACAAGTGTCAAAACGTGTGGTGTCACCCTTGGCAGGTGGCTTAGTTCAAATGTGCCCCTGTTCACCCAGCAGGGAATGGGTACCCGATATGCGATGTGGATGTAAAAACCTCTAGCGCCCACAGGCAGCTCTGGTTGTATGCTCCCCAGGGAGTCCAGAATGATAACTGGAATGCAAACAAATCCACTGTTTAGGGAACAGATGAAACCGCATTTGAGCAGATACTAGCACCCGGGTACCTGCGTATAATAATAATAATAATAATAATAATAATAATTCTGTGTTTCCCAGTGTCGGAGAGATGTATTTCCGCCTGGAAAAGCTAAGGAACTGGAGTGGTCGACATCAACAGACTCTTGCTGGATTCGAGAAGATCAGGACTGTCGGCAAAGGTAAACTGGAAGAAAAATATGAAAAGCTCTATTTTGAATCGTCAGTTTGCCCTCGTGATCTATCCATAACAATTCAGGGCCTCACCATCATCTAGACAACACATGATGCTTTGACATTATACAATCGAGTCTTTATATGAGGACAATACCTGTTTTTATGGATCCGAAAATAAGCAAATTTTTAAACTGATCGCATAGTGAGCTTCTGTGGTCTGGCTAGCAAAGGCTGTCACAGTGGCATTAGAGATCATGGGGATCGGCTGAGGCATTGGTACATCTACAGTGTCTACAGGCCAGGTATTACTCATGATTTGTACTCATTATCTTCTACAAATAATGCCATAGATGTTGATACAACTGCAGAGGAAGCTCTCGCACAAAAAAATATCTACCGTATTTTCTTGAGTATAGTGCGCACCCATGTATAATGCGCACCCCCCTCTAGCGGGTTCAATATTTTGGAAAAAAAGAAATTTGAATATTATGCGCAGAAATTTTTTACACCGTACCCTTTCAGCGAAGTCCGGCAAACGAACGGGTGCTGAGAAACTTCGTCAGTACAAATTCGAAATTTGAGATAAAAAATCACCAGACATGTTTATTTACCGTTTAAAAAGTATTTATTGTTCTGCTAGGCATTGTTTTATATTTAGGGATTAAGATTACCCTGCGTATTTTCTCATAAACTAAGCTGGAAACAGCAATCAGCTGTACACACATTTTCTTGGAATCGACCGGTGATTCGGTCAAGACACACCCAATGATATAACTTTATAAGATTTTTAATGCAAGGATCGGCAACAATTGTATCTGAAACTATTTTATTTATCAGGAATAATATATTCCATTATTTTCTTAATTATATGCAACCTTTACTAAACATATTTAAAATAATAATAACCCTAAGCGAAGCAGCTGATCGCTATTCCCGGGTATTATTTTTACATGGAACATGTCTGACCAGTCACCGTCAAGGCTCACGCGCACGTGATCACGTGATCGCGAGAATTTCATGTTGACATAGAATCGTCAAACAAAAACAAATATGACTTTTAACGAGGCAAAGTATGTCATTTATGATATATGTATCCATTCTCTGTCAACTAAAGTTTGTTTCAAGGCGTCAATAGCGGTATTCTGACCGTGGTTGCTGCTAATAACGGTGAGTTGTGCGATCTTCCGATCGTTTCACACACGATTTCGCCGAAATATTAATAAAAACAATATTATAAGGAATTTTGAATAAAATCGATGAAATAAGTTACAAACATAAGTCCAGATATAAAAAGAACACTTTTTATAGCCAGACAGTGTAATTACATAAGTATTTTGCGTACTTCAGTATGGATTTGTTGACATGGTATTTACGGTGTTTCGTGCTCACGGTAATGTCTTTCCATGGGGGGAAAAAACATCCAAACTCATAATTTGTGTATAATGCGCACCCCCTTCTACACAGCTGTGTTTTTTCGAAAAAAAGTGCGCACTATACTCAAGAAAATACGGTATTCTCTAGAACTCAACACACGCCCCCACACAGTGGTGATGACAAAGAGAATTATGTGACAGGGGTAGTCAGGTGATCAAGTCGTGTTAGATTTGTTTGGGTGGTGACTATGGTGATGCTGGGATGTGTTCGGGCTATTTATTTTTAGAAGTTGAAAACTTTGTTTGAGCACGTTTAGATCTGGCTATTGTGACTAAGTTATAAGGCAATGGAGAATGTCCATTGTGGTTAATGATTGATTATTGCACAGTGGAGTACACACTGGGTAGGGAGATACCGTGGTCTTGGTATTTGGTCTTGTTATATGTATGTGTATGTGTATATGTATGAACTCTATGCACATACTCATCATTCACCTGATGAAGAGACCAGTGAAGATCCGGGGTAGAATAGATCTTCAGCAACCCATGCTTACCGTAAAAGGTGACTATGCTTGTTGTAAGAGGCAACTAACAGGATCAGGTGGTCAGGCTCACTGACTTGGTTGATGCATGTCATCGATCCCAATTGCGTAGATCGATGCTCATGATGTGAATCACTGGATTGTCTGGTCAAGACTCGATTGTTCACAGACCGCCGTCATATAGCTGGAATATTGCTGAGTGCGGCGTTAAACAACAAACAAACAAACAAACAAACAAACAAACCTGATGAAGGAGCAAAAAGTACCTCATGGCCAAGAATAGAGAAGTTGCTATCCATAAAAAGTGTCATGTACTCATTTTCAGGTATTCCCATTCTATTTTTACTAACTCAACTCAATACCGTCAATTTTCAGTCCTGACCTGGAGTAAATATTCGTTCTGTCGAATGACACAATACTGCTTCAAGGCCAGTGAACGTATAAACTTCGCATGACACGCTAAATTCATTTCTTCAACGTTCCATGTTGTCAACTAACTGTCTTATGTCGTGGGCGCAGGAGCGTACGGGGCGGCAGTGCTGTATAAGAAGAAGGATGACGACTACCTGGTGATCCTCAAGGAGATAAACATGCACGACCTGAATGCTGCCGAGCGCCAGCTCGCACTCAACGAGGTCAACGTCCTTGCGATGCTGGACCACCCCAACATCATCAGCTACTACGACAGCTTCGAGGAGGATGGAGTGCTCATGATCGAGATTGAATATGCCGACGGAGGGTAGGTCGGATTGTTCTCCATTTTATCGTTGATCTTGTACTTGTTGATTTCACTTTCCAACCAAGTATTTAATCGAGAAATCCATGAATGATTTTTCTATGTAAAATATTTTAATAAAATTGAGGGGAATAATAAAATTTTGTATAAACATGTGAAGATCATCCCTAATCTTTGATAATGGACATGGTTTTGAGATCTGGAGCCATTGCAAAGTCATAAGTTAATGTGTTTGCGGTGAAGAACTTTTACAATCATCCATGATCATGATGATGACTTTTAAAAAAAATATATTTTAAGGTTTAAGATTAAAAAAGGTTGGATTTGTCGTCCCGTTAGTGACCTTGGTTTGATTCCCATCACTTCTCACAGTTTTCCTTCAAAGGAAAACATTCAGAGAACAAACAGTGATTTCACGTTTCGAACCAATCTGATTTGTTCGGACAGGACACTGGCCCAGTTTCTGTCATCCCAGGAGAAAGCCCTGGATGAGAAAGATGTTCTGACGATGTTCCAGCAGATTGTGGCAGCCATCAGACATATCCATGAACACAATATCCTACACAGGTACTCTTATTGTGGCTTTGTACTGTATTAAAGCTGTGTGCATCGCAGAATTGCTGTGGTACAAAAATATGCTATTCGACATTAAAGGGGAAGTGTACAGGCAAAAATCACTTTGTTTCTTATTTTAAACAAAACGCAATTTTAGAATTAGTTAGTATCAGTGTATGAAAATATACACTTATTTTTCTCACAGTGAAAGTAGGAAGCTCACAGTAAGTGTGAAAATGTCATGCCGTTATGAGGCCTTCGGTTTCTGAGCTAAACAAGCCTGAGTTATCCCCCTTAGATTATGACGTAATTGGTGCCAATTTAACTTGGTACCTGTCTTGTCATAACGCAAAAGATATCAAGTACCAGTTTATGGTGAGACAACATAGCAACGATGCATTGCCTGGTCCGAAGAAGTTCTCTTGACACCTTCAAAAAATCGCAAAACCATACGCTTTTGAACCAAAACGAGCAAGCTTCGCGGTATGGAAACGATGAAAATCGAGTGGAAACAAGAGAAGACCCACATCACCTTTTGTATCTTGAACAGCGCGGCACCGTATAAAACAATAGGCTGCGCATCTGGGAAGATTGAACCACACACCTCTACATACACCACGTCAAACGAGTCTAATAAAGTCTCATGACGTCATTCCTTTATCAATTGGCACCAGTGACGTCATATTGCAAGGGGCATAAGCCATGGTGTGTTTATTATGGAAATAGAACTCTCAGGAAATGTGAAAAATATGAACCCATTTTATGAATAAAATAAATTAGATACTTCTGATATTTTTATTGCTTGGCCTCTGAAACTACTAGGTAAATACTTTTCATGATGAAAAAGTACAAGAAAATAGGTTTATATGCGTGTGAACTTGCCCTTTAAGTCTGACTGGCCCGTCTCTGTGTCACTGCATTTCTGTGTGTATCATGATACAGATCTTACCATGACCTCAGTCTGGGGATACGTATTGTACCCACACATGGTTTTACTGTATATTTCTTTTGTTCCAGGGGGTGGTCGGGTAGCCTAGTGGTTAAAGCGTTTGCTCATCTCGCTGAAGACATGGGTACAATGTGTGAAGCCCATTTCTGGTGTCCCCCGCCGTGATATTGCTTGAATATTGCTAAAAGCGGCGTAAAACCAAACTCACTCACGCACTCACTCTTTTGTTCCAGAGACTTGAAGACAGATAACATCTTCCTGACGAAGGAGGGGATCGTGAAGGTCGGGGACTTTGGCATATCGAAGATGATGAGCTCCGCCCAGAAGGGGGCCCTCACAGTGCTGGGGACACCATACTACATCAGCCCCGAGATGGTGAGAAGGAGAGAGCATACACACCTCACCGTCATAGGCCTTGACTGGAGCAGATACACATCACCATCACAGGCCTTGCCTAGAGCAGATACACCTCAGAGCCTTGCCTATAGCAGATACACCTCGCCTTGCCTAGAGCATACACACATCACTGTCACAGGCCTTGCCTAGACTAGTCACACATCACTGTCACAGGCCTTGCCTAGAGTAGTCACACATCGCTGTCACTGGCCTTGTCTAGGGCATACACACATTGCTGTCACAGGCCTTGCCTAGAGTAGTCACACATCACTGTCACAGGCCTTGCCTAGAGTAGTAACACATCACTGTCATAGTTCTTGCCTAGGGCATAGACACATCGCTGTCACAGGCCTTGCCTAGACTAGTCACACATCACTGTCACAGGCCTTGCCTAGACTAGTCACACATCACTGTCATAGTTCTTGCCTAGGGCATACACACATCACTGTCACAGGCCTTGCCTAGACTAGTCACACATCACTGTCACAGGCCTTGCCTAGACTAGTCACACATCACTGTCATAGTTCTTGCCTAGGGCATAGACACATCGCTGTCACAGGCCTTGCCTAGGGCATAGACACATCGCTGTCACAGGCCTCGCCTAGACTAGTCACACATCACTGTCACAGGCCTTGCCTAGACTAGTCACACATCACTGTCACAGGCCTTGCCTAGACTAGTCACACATCACTGTCACAGGCCTTGCCTAGACTAGTCACACATCACTGTCACAGGCCTTGCCTAGAGTAGTCACACATAACTGTCACAGGCCTTGCCTAGACTAGTCACACATCACTGTCACAGGCCTTGCCTAGAGTAGTCACACATCACTGTCACAGGCCTTGCCTAGACTAGTCACACATCACTGTCACAGGCGTTGCCTGGAGTAGTCACACATCACTGTCACAGGCCTTGCCTAGAGTAGTAACACATCACTGTCATAGTTCTTGCCTAGGGCATAGACACATCACTGTCACAGGCCTTGCCTAGACTAGTCACACATCACTGTCACAGGCCTTGCCTAGACTAGTCACACATCACTGTCATAGTTCTTGCCTAGGGCATAGACACATCGCTGTCACAGGCCTTGCCTAGGGCATAGACACATCGCTGTCACAGGCCTTGCCTAGACTAGTCACACATCACTGTCACAGGCCTTGCCTAGACTAGTCACACATCACTGTCACAGGCCTTGCCTAGACTAGTCACACATCACTGTCACAGGCCTTGCCTAGACTAGTCACACATCACTGTCACAGGCCTTGCCTAGACTAGTCACACATCACTGTCACAGGCCTTGCCTAGACTAGTCACACATCACTGTCACAGGCCTTGCCTAGACTAGTCACACATCACTGTCATAGTTCTTGCCTAGAGTAGTCACACATCACTGTCATAGTTCTTGCCTAGAGTAGTCACACATCACTGTCACAGGCCTTGCATAGAGTAGTCACACATCACTGTCATAGTTCTTGCCTAGAGTAGTCACACATCACTATCACAGGCCTTGCCTAGAGTAGTCACACATCACTGTCACAGTCCTTGCCTAGAGCGTACACACATCACTGTCACTGGCCTTGCCGAGAGCAGACACACATCTCTGTCACAGGCCTTGCCTAGAGTATACACACATCACTGTCACAGATCTTGCCTAGAGCAGACACACATCTCTGTCACAGGCCTTGCCTGGAGTATACACACATCACTGTCACAGATCTTGCCTAGAGTATACACACATCACTGTCACAGATCTTGCCTAGAGTAGTCACACATCACTGTCACAGGCCTTGCCTAGAGCATACACACATCTGTCACAGGCCTTGCCTAGAGCAGACACACATCACTGTCAAAGGCCTTGCCTAGAGCAGACACACATCACTGTCACAGGCCTTGCCTAGAGCATACACACATCACTGTCACAGGCCTTACCTAGAGTAGTCACACATCACTGTCACAGGCCTTGCCTAGAGCATACACACATCTCTGTCACAGGCCTTGCCTAGAGCAGACACACATCACTGTCACAGATCTTGCCTAGAGCAGACACACATCACTGTCACAGGCCTTGCCTGGAGTATACACACATCACTGTCACAGGCCTTGCCTAGAGTATACACACATCACTGTCACAGATCTTGCCTAGAGTAGTCACACATCACTGTCACAGGCCTTGCCTGGAGTATACACACATCACTGTCACAGGCCTTGCCTGGAGTATACACACATCACTGTCACAGGCCTTGCCTGGAGTATACACACATCACTGTCACAGGCCTTGCCTAGAGCATACTGACAATGGAGGGAGGTGGGATAGCCTAGTGGTAAAAATGTCGCTCATCACCCGGAAGGCCTGGTTTTCGGTTCCCCACATGGGTACAATCTGTGATGACCATTTCTAGTGTACCCCATTGTGAAATTGCTGGCTCATTCATTGATTGCAGTGTGAAGGCAAGCAGTACAGCTTCAAGTCGGACATCTGGGCTCTGGGCTGCATCCTGTACGAGATGGCCTGTCTGCAGAAGACATTTGAAGGCTCCAACCTGCCTGCACTAGTCAACAAGATCATGAAGGTACAGGCTCCTATGTAGGGGTAGTCTAGTGGCTGCTTGTCACACTGATCATGAAGGTACAGGCTCCTATGTAGGGGTAGTCTAGTGGCTGCTTGTCACACTGATGACCTGAGTTCAATTCCCCACAAATCCCTACTTATTCACTCATTCACCATGCTTGCCTTAAAAGGCGACTATGCTTGTTGTAAAAGGCGACGAACAGGATCAGGTGATCAGGCTTGCTGACTTGGTTGATGCATGTCATTGTATCCCAATTGCGAGGATCGATGCTCATGATATCAATCACTGGATTGTCTGGTCCAGACTCAATTATTTACAGACTGCTGTCATATAGCGGGAATATTGCTGAGTGCGGCATTAAACAACAAACAAACAAACAACCACTCATTCACCCACTTGAACACTATGGAATCTGAAGCAGAATAGGATGGAAGAACACATATTCTCTGAACAATATACGTATAAATTTATCGTGCTAGCTTTGTTTACACTCCTCACACGTTTTCGTTAATTCAGCGTCAGTAAACAAAGCTCCTCAACATGCACAACATCCATGGGATAATACATTTATCGTTCTCAATGCCTGAATTGTTCACTTAAATAGGTCTATCATGTTATAAACCAATTAATAAACTTGGTTTTATGATCCGATAAATATGCAAATGAGGTCACAAAACAGGAACTAATTTTAATCAATTCTGTGTCTCCTTGCTCAGTAGTGACTATTGTCCCAATGTTTTCCAACATGTGTCCGATTCTGTAGACAACATGGCGGCAAATCTTTTGGTCCTATTTGATAACTGTTTTAATACACGGTTTCTAAAGTTACTTCAATGAGTGAAATTATTTCAAAAACATCGATTAGATTAAGTATGAAATTATATTATTAAGAGATTTTTACTTTAAAAGTTAAGTCTTGACAAAGGAAATGATTTGGGCTCCTTCCTGTGAAAACAATTCACTCCTAACAGATGTTTGAAAGAAGCACCTGCTCGTAAGACTGTGGCAGGTAAATCTTGTGTCGGACCTGAAGTTTCAAATCTGTATGGGTCTTTAGAGCCTGCATTAATTTATGTGTTGATTTATTTGTCACAATAAGCTGCAGTTTCTTAAACTGAGGACCTGAAGAGTTTAGTCAGGGCCTGCCGCTTCTAAAATCTACAGGTCCTGATAGCAGTCTGGCAATTTATTAATTTTCATAAACTGTCTGGGGTAGAAAAGGTCTTCAGCAACCCATACATGCCGTAAAAGGCGACTATGCTTGTTGTAAAAGGCGACTAACAGGATCGGGTGGTCAGACTCGCTGACTTGGTTGATGCACGTCATCTATCCCAAAGGCGTGGATAGATGCTCCCGATATCAATCACTGGATTGTCTGGTCCAGACTCGATTATTTACAGATCGCCGTCATATAGCTGTAATATTGCTATGTGTGGCGTTAAACAACAAACAAAGAAACACTGTCCTAACATCCCTTAACAAAATACTTATTCCAGTGTAAGAAACTAACATTTTTGGTCCACTAGTCCTTATAATGATAACATATAGCAAACCCCTTAAATATGGCAAATATCCTCTAGTCCTTATGATACCTTAACTATTGGGCAGTTTAGCAAGGACTACAGGACTAGTGCCTATTTCTAACCCTGTTAATCATTTCTCTTAAAGTGAAGGTGTGTACCACTAGTCCTTATAATGATAACATATAGCAAAACCCTTAAAAATGGCAAATATCCTCTAGTCCTTATGATACCTTAACTATTGGGCAGTTTAGCAAGGACTACAGGACTAGTGCCTATTTCTAACCCTGTTAATCATTTCTCTTAAAGTGAAGGTGTGTACCACTAGTCCTTATAATGATAACATATAGCAAAACCCTTAAAAATGGCAAATATCCTCTAGTCCTTATGATACCTTAACTATTGGGCAGTTTGGCAAGGACTACAGGACTAGTGCTATTTCTAACCCTGTTAATCATTTCTCTTACTAAAAGTTTAAGTGAAGGTGTGTACCAAAGTTTGAAATCCATGTTGCAGGGCCAGTTTGCTCCTGTGAAGGGTAATTATAGTCAAGGCTTCAAGGACCTGATCATGGATATGTTAAGCAAGGAGCCGGAGGAGAGACCGTGTGCCAATGACATCATGTATCAACATGTACCAGAGGTAAATTTAGGATGTCCACCTCTGTATCGTCTATCTCTCCTCATGAAACTTAAATATCCCCTTTAGTATTCCATGGTTTTTTAAGAAAAATAGAATTGTTTGATAAATTTTGAAATATATGTTTTGTAATTAATAAATGATGTTTTTAGACATGGTGGAAAGAAATTTGATATCTGAGACTGTTAGTGGCTGTACACTCGGGGGTTGAAGTAGTATAAAATTATTGTTCCCCAGAGAGGATATGTAAGACCACGTCATTCGAGGTAGTTTTATTCTGACACATTTTTAGTCATAGAATATGGGTTCTTTTAAGTTTCGTCTAAATTTGTCAGTAATCGTCAACACCTGAAGGGAGGATGTAAATCCTAATGGGGTCCATGCAAGAAGCGAAACTACCCATGGTCCGTAGATTTGCCTTTAGTTCCTGCCGATCTATAGCCTGTTTTTTTTATTTTGTTGTTGACTAATAATGTATTGTTTAAAATGTTCTCAACTTGTTTTAAATCAAATCTGTGATATGCTAGTTATTTTACTGTCCATCCATGACAGGTTTTATTAAGTCTAAAATATATGTATTATTAATTTCTAACTTGTCGATATGGCTGAAATACTGCTGATGTGACGTCAATTTTTAACTAGCACACTCACCCCAAGTCAAAACATCAAAACATTAAAGGGCAAGTTCACACGGAAATGAACCAATTTTTCTTGTACTTTTTCCACATTAAAAGTGTTAACATAGAAGTGTCATAGACAAAAATATAAAAACATCATATTTAATTAACATATTTTTTGCATTAAAACGATTTATATTTTTCACATTTACTAAGTGTTCTATTTCCATAACAAAAACACCATGGCTTATGCCCCTTGCAATATGACGTCATTGGTGCCATTTGATAAACATTATGACGTCATCATGCTTTGTTAGAGCCGCTTCACGTGGTGTAGGTACAGTTTTGTGATTTTAGCGTCTCAGATGCCAGCCAGAATTGTGTTATACTGAGTCACCACTGCGCCGGAGTGTGTCGTAGACCATGTTGTTTTACATAAAAACTGGTCCTTGATATCTTTTGCGTTGAGAATAGACAGGGACCCAGTTGAATTAGCACCAATTACGTCATAATCTAAGGGGGATAACTCAGGCCTATTTTGCTCGTAAAACGAAGGCCTCATAACGGCATATCATTTTAACACTATTGTGAGCTTCCTACTTTCACTGTGAGAAAAAATGAGTGTATATTTTCAAACACAGATACTAACTAATTCTAAAATTGCGTTTTGTTTAGAAAAAGAAAGAAAGTGATTTTTGCGTGTACACTTCCCCTTTAAAGGATTTGGTGGATAGAATAACCACACTAACAGCTTTTTTGTTGTATTGTCTCTCTAAGATCATTGTTGTTTTGCTGACTGTTGATTAATGTTTTATTTCTCTTAGTTGATGAGCCAGTTTAAGGAAGAGACGTCTGACCCTGAAGAAGAGCTCATGATGTCAACAGAAAATATCAGCAAAAAAATCAAAATCAGGTCTGTCAAAATACCTTTTGCCTTCATCTGACAAAAGCTGAAATCATGTGGCTGTTCCCAAGGGAGACAACTACTGTTTTTACCTCCCCTTAGCTGTTTCAACATATTTATCTTTAAATGTTTTAATTAACGTTCGTTGCAAGTTTATTTATTTAGTGTGAAGCTTTAACACTTCTTAATATCGTGTTATTGTAGAAAGTAAATAAATCTATTGTTGACCAAAGAAAGTTTGTGTATCGAAAATATATGTACCACATGTCTTTTGATAACATTGTGCTGTGCAGAGTTGTGTCCCTTTGGTGTGCCAGAAGCATACAATCATGAGTTTTTATTTAAAATATGCTCTGATTTTGATTCTTGGTTTGTCAGTCATCCAAGACGTCGCAATTTGCGATGCAGAGTTGTCTCCCTTAGGCGTATCAGAATCTTATGATTGTGATATGTCAGCACTGTGCTTGTGCCCATGGGTTTTACCGACCTGCCGCACACGTCTAAGACCTGCATTAATTCAGGCTTAGTACTCACATAGAGCTGACATGCTCTCCTGTTGTATGAGACGACTTAATTAATTAGGGGGACAGGCTTGGAGACTTGGTTGATTGAGTGTTGTCCAATTCACTCTCTCCAGCATAATGAGAGTGCATGTTGTGGATACTAACAAATAGATTCCCATGTGTTGGGCTTATAGTGTGTGTAACAGGGATTTATGTAGGAGTCCAAACTCAGTTCCTTGGCAGGCAAACTGGAACAAAATTGTTATGTTATTCCGAATTGGGATTTGTTAATTTCTTATTTTCTTTAATTCAAATGTATATTTATATAAATCAGGTATGTTTAAATCCATTTGGGGAGTTGTTGCTAACTTTTGCTGCAGATTTGGTGCCAAAATATCGGCCTATGAGCAGGTACCGATAAGGCCTTGTTTCATGGTCATGATGATACTGAACAGGTCCATGAAACTCAGCAGGTCCATGATACTAAGCAGGTCCGTGATACTCAGCAGGTCAATGATACGGAACAGGTCCATGATACTCAGCAGGTCAATGATACTGAACAGGTCCATGATACTCAGCAGGTCAATGATACGGAACAGGTCCATGATACGCAGCAGGTCATTCATACGGAACAGGTCCATGATACTCAGCAGGTCCATGATACTCAGCAGGTCCTTGATACTCAGCAGGTCAATGATACGGAACAGGTCCATGATACGCAGCAGGTCCATGATACTCAGCAGGTCCATGATACAGAACAGGTCCATGATACTCAGCAGGTCCATGATACTCAGCAGGTCCATGATACGCAGCAGGTCAATGATACTCAGCAGGTCCATGATACTCAGCAGGTCCATGATACGCAGAAGGTCCATGATACTCAGCAGGTCCATGATACGCAGAAGGTCAATGATACGCAGCAGGTCCTTGATACTCAGCAGGTCCATGATACTCAGCAGGTCCATGATACAGAACAGGTCAATGATACGGAACAGGTCCTTGATACTCAGCAGGTCAATGATACTCAGCAGGTCCATGATACTCTGCAGGTCAATGATACGGAACAGGTCCATGATACGCAGCAGGTCATTCATACGGAACAGGTCCATGATACTCAGCAGGTCCATGATACTCAGCAGGTCCTTGATACTCAGCAGGTCAATGATACTCAGCAGGTCAATGATACTCAGAAGGTCAATGATACGCAGCAGGTCCTTGATACGCAGAAGGTCAATGATACGCAGCAGGTCCTTGATACTCAGCAGGTCCATGATACTCAGCAGGTCCATGATACAGAACAGGTCCATGATACTCAGCAGGTCATTCATACGGAACAGGTCCATGATACTCAGCAGGTCAATGATACGGAACAGGTCCATGATACTCAGCAGGTCCATGATACTCAGCAGGTCCATGATACTCAGCAGGTCCATGATACGCAGCAGGTCCTTGATACTCAGCAGGTCCATGATACTCAGCAGGTCCATGATACGCAGAAGGTCCTTGATACTCAACAGGTCCATGATACAATGTCACAAGATTGTATTGAGGACAGTGTTACAATGCAATGTTAAAATACCTCTGAAAATAAGAACTTTAAATAATACCTATTTTGGAACAAAATAACTTTTTTCCGAAATTTCCTGCCAAGGAAACTTAGGTTGGAATCCAAGATAAATTCCTGGAGTCTTCTCCAGATTGTCTCCTTGTCATTGCTAACCCTGTATTTAGCTTTGGGTGTTGTCAGATCCTTATTCAGCTTGTCTTATTCTTCATTATTTGCATCAGTCCAAAAAGAATGGAAAAAAGGTATACAATGTTTTCTGTGCTTCGTCTTCATCCTCGATTATCCAGGCTAGGATATATTCTCCATGATTTATAACCTGGGCCCATTCACTGCCTTCCATTTTGCAATCGATCAAATGTCGTCATTTCGGTCACTCATACTACTCTCTTTGTGTCTGGTCGAATGACACGACCTGATAATAGATGTCCAGTCATATGTCAATGTTCAATGTTCGATTAAAACAGGGGACGCAATTTGTTGTGCAGAGTTGCGTCCCTTGGGCACGCCAGAAACCTATGATCATGGGTTGGAATCCCGGTTCGCCCCGATTATGTTTCTAGGGTTGTCAGCACCATACCCGTGCTCGTGGGTTTCACCGAAGTGGTAAACGTCTGAGACCTGCATCACTTCAGGCTTTGCTCCCACATTAAGCTGACACGCCGCGATATAACTGGAATACTGTTAAAAGCGGCATTAAACCCAACTCACTCACTCACTCTATTGAAACAAGCGGTGAAACCGCCTGTACTGTCTTTATAATGCCCTCTCAAATACCCTTTCTACCCGTGAAACCCATGCTTACTGTAAAAGGCGACTATTCTTGCCATAAGAGGCGACTAACGGGATCGGGTGGTCAGGTTCGCTGACTTGGTTGAGGTATGTCATCGTATCTCAATTGCAGATCGATTCTCATGATGTCAATCACTGGATTGTCTGGTCCAGACTCAATTATTTAAATACTGTCATCATACAGCTGGAATATTGCTGTGGGCGTCAAACGAACAAATACCCTTTCCCTTTCTCTGTCATGGTATTCATGAAAGCATTCTTTACTAAAACTCATTCTTTAAACAAACAAAAAGCGCTCACTTGAACAATGCAGCGATTATGGATGTAAATCTATGTCCAATTTGTGTTCAGAAGTAGGATTTTGATTCATTGTTAAGGTCAAGCTCAGTGGCAGAAATTCTGTGCTGTGCTGGTGAGAAGTGAGATGGAACTGGCAATGATGTGAGCTATGGTGGTGAATTGGCCGAGGGTATTTCTAGAACGGAAATTTGATACCCTGGATCACCGAGGATGTGTCCTGTCTGTTGTCCACACTTCACCTGTCCTGACTGTCAGCATGTCAGCTGGTACCATTTGTACACCATTTGTTCCCTGCGTAACTCGAACTGTTGTGTATTGGAGTCCTTTAATCTTCAGGTCAATATTAGAGGTGTAACGATATGGTGGGGTCTTGAGACAATACGTATCCTGATACTGTGGGTGCGATACAAATCGTATCCCGATACAGTAGATTTATTTCATAAGATGTATCCTGATACTATGGGTGTGATACAATTCGTATCCTGATACAGTAGTTTTATTTCATAATACGTATCCTGATACTATGGGTGCGATACAATTCGTATCCCGATACAGTAGATTTATTTCATAAGATGTATCCTGATACTATGGGTGCGATACAATTCGTATCCCGATACAGTAGATTTATTTCATAAGATGATGTTCTTCCTTTTTGCAGGTGAATCACAACCCAGAATCATTTATTTTTAAATTTAAGAGATCAAAGATGGGATAGTAATACCGAAACGTTTAGCTAGAGGGCACTGTAAATATTTAAACCCACCAGAAGATACATGTAATCTGTGTGAGCTGGTTATTGAACAGTTTCTGTAAGGCTATAAAAAATAATAGTCTTGGTTCTCAGGCACCACCCGCATCATCATAAAATCTGCTGCACGTTTTGTTTTTATTTCCATTTTCAAAACAATAAAAAAATCCTAATACTTAAACCCAATGCACAAAAAAATTGAAAATGGAAACAATACGAAACGTGCAATGAACTTTATGATGATGTGGGCAGTGCCTAAGAACCAAGACTATTATTATTTTAGCCTAATATCCTCTTTTCTTTTTACCAATATAACTTGTAATGTAATGTATTGTATGTATCACAATACAGGGTTGTATATCGATGTATTGTATCGTGGGCCTCGTATCAGGATACAATACTGTATTGCTGCATCGTTACACCGCTTGTCAATATATCAACTATTTGAAGTTTCATATTAAAGACGAATGGTCCAATTATCATCTAAGACGTCACAGTTTGTGCATCTTCCCGAGGTAAGCGTGTCCACTAGCCTATATCAAAGCCTAGCTTCTACCCTTGCCACATCAAGGCCACTTTTTGGGGCTTGACCTGGCGCCACCTCGCATAGATTACGAGTTGTGCCCCTTGTAATGAAAACGCGATATCCAATCAGATCGCTGTTCTTATCTCGTATAGCTTCACAAAGATGGCGACTACCAAAGGCAATGACCAAGTACATCAGACAACGAAAACATTCGCAATTTCATCCCTGACTCAGAAACATAGGCAATTGTTGTGCGGTTTAATAGTTAAAAAAGACATATGACAGCGGTAAATCACTTTCATACGAAGGTGTACCAATCATGGATGTTGATTTTGTGAAACATTCTCTGATTTGACTATCAAAATGTGTGATAATCCAGTCATATTTAGCACAGGAAAGTAGGCTTTATGTTGCAAGGGTGGAAAACCTTGTGGTGGCTAGTGGACGCTCTTGCCTCGGGAAGAGGTGGAACAAGACTTTGATTAAAAGGCTAGTGGACGCTCTTGCCTCGGGAAGATGTGGAACAAGACTTTGACGAAAAGGCTAGTGAACGCCCTTGCCTCGGGAAGATGTGGAACAAGACTTTGATAAAAAGGCTAGTGAACGCCCTTGCCTCGGGAAGATGTGGAACAAGACTTTGATAAAAAGGCTAGTGGACGCCCTTGCCTCGGGAAGATGTTGAACAAGACTTTGATAAAAAGGCTAGTGGACGCTCTTGCCTCGGGAAGATGTGGAACAAGACTTTGATAAAAAGGCTAGTGGACGCCCTTGCCTCGGGAAGATGTGGAACAAGGCTTTGATAAAAAGGCTAGTGGATGCTCTTGCCTTGGGAAGATGCTGTTTGCTGTGCAGAGTGAATAACAGGATCACCAAGATGTTTTTTTAAACATTGTCATCACTAGATTGTCATGTTTGTGTGACATCATATCACAATCTCAGCACATTAGAATTTGCTAAAAAATTAGATTACAGAAATGTTGATGTTTTCTCATCATGTGCTTATAGATGAATGTTTTATACGCATGTGATCATGTTGATTTAAATATTGTAATAAGTCAAATACTATTACCCTATTCCACGTAAAAAGCGCCCACGGCGATATTTGCTAATATATTGGCTAGTGAACAATCCCAATTAGCACCCCTTCCGATTGATCAATGTACACAAGACTTATTTATTCGTGTATATTACACACTCGTGTGTTATATGCACCCTTAATTATGGGCAACCCAGCAACCTCTTCAGCAGCCCACGTTTGCCGTAAAAGGCAACTATGCTTGTCGTAAGAGGTGACTAACCGGATCGGGTGGTCAGGCTTGCTGACATGGTTGATGCATGTTATTGTATCCAAATTGCGTTGATAGATGCTCATTATGTCAATCACTGGACCGTCCTGTCCAGACTCAGTATCATTTACAGACCCCCAATATATTGCTGGAATATCCCTTAGTATGGCATTATACAACAAACAAACAGGCTACAGAAAATTAAATTTTCAGGATCTTGTCAGCTTATTATTTATCAGCTGCCATCATTAATAGTATTGGTAGTACATGTACTGATAGTTAACTGTCAGTCTTATCATTATGGTGGTGAGCTATTATTTGTATATGGCAATTCTTATTCCAACTGGGGACATGGGTTGTCTTTGGTGCTGAAGTTTGCTGACCGCCTCCGTGGTCTAATGGTAGAGCGTCCGCCCAGAGAGCAGAAGGTCCGGGGTTCGATCCCTGGCCGCGTCATACCAAAAGACGTTAAAAGATGGTACTTGTTGTTACCCTGTCTGGGGTCCGCCATTAAGGGACTAAAACAAGGACTGGTCGGCTCGGAGTCAGTATACTGTGTCTGAGTGTAGTATTCATGTTAAACTGCGGCATGGTATCTCAGAGAGCTAGCACTATAAATCGGCATCAGTCCGGACTAGTACAAGCAGCCACACACACACACGTACATGCACGTCACTATATAAGTGCAATAATCTTGGACGCAACGTTAAAAGCCCCATTTCACCTCACCTCTTATTCCAACTGGGGACATGGGTTGTCTTTGGTGCTGGAGTTTGCTGTGCAGGTAATTTAAGGTCATGAAAACTTTGTGGATGGGTCCAGGACGGGTGAAGGAAATGCGAGCCCTAGAGATACAGAGGGTGATGTTCATGGTTCTGACCCACAATGTTACTAAGAGATAGATCGAGGTTAATGTCTGTGTAAAGGGATTTGTTAGATAAAACACATTTGAAATTAATGCACACGTGTGATATTGTTGTCACTTTGTTTGAGCACAACCTGAAATGCACTCACCTCACATAAAAATTATTAATTACACATTCAAATGGTAGTCTAATGTGGTCATGTATATCGCGATATGGGGTATCATTAAATGTTTAATGTTGATACAAATGTAAGAATATCGATACTTAGTTCACTCCTCAGAAACGTTCAGAATTATTAAGATTACCATGGTTACGATGGACATTGAGAAGGTAGAAAATTCCATTTTAGGCATTTAATGGATCAGCCTTGACATTTTTAGCATTAAATTGCCGGTCTGCAAAGGCAATTTTTATGCATAGACAGAATAATCAATCATTATTAATCGATGTATCCATATGTCAATCATGGGAGTTAACTGGCTGTAAAAGTCCAGTTTCCATCCTTGCCGAACTAGGCTGAAATTTCTGGACTCAATTGAGTTATGGCATTACAATCGAGCCCAGAAATTTCAGCCTAGTTCGGCAAGGGTTGAAACTGGACTTTTACAGTCAGTTAACTCCCTTGCTTCAGGAAGATGTATATCAAGATATCGTTTTACTTGTGAGTCAATATCCATGCTCAGTTTTCTTATCGGTGACATATATTGTGACTAGTATATTGTAGTGTTTCTAGTGTAATAGTCACTATATGGCTGAAATATTGCCGATGTGACTTTAAATCTAAACTCTAGTGTGACATTTGTCAAATGGTGGTAGCCGCATCTATGATCTGCCTTCCTTCAGGCTTCTCTCTGAGCTACAGTTCATGATAGACCCGTGAAGATCCGGGGTAGATAGGTCTTCAGCAACCCGTGAAGATCCGGGGTAGATAGGTCTTCAGCAACCCGTGAAGATCCGGGGAAGATAGGTCTTCAGCAACCCGTGAAGATCCAGGGTAGATAGGTCTTCAGCAACCCGTGAAGATCCGGGGTAGATAGGTCTTCAGCAACCCGTAAAGATCCGGGGTAGATAGGTCTTCAGCAACCCGTGAAGATCCGGGGTAGATAGGTCTTCAGCAACCCGTGAAGATCCGGGGTAGATAGGTCTTCAGCAACCCGTGAAGATCCCGGGTAGATAGGTCTTCAGCAATCCGTGAAGATCCAGGGTAGATAGGTCTTCAGCAATCCATGAAGATCCAGGGTAGATAGGTCTTCAGCAACCCATGCTTGCCATAAAAGGCGACTATGCTAGTCGTAAGAGGCGACTAATGGCATCGGGTGATCAGGCTCGCTGACTTGGTTGATGCAGATCAATGCTCATGATGTCAATCACTGGATTGTGTGGTCCAGACTCGATTATTTACAGACCGCCGTCACATAGCTGGAATATTGCTGAGTGCGGCGTTAAACAACAAACGTAACGTCAACGTCACGTCAAACGTCAGTCCATGATATAACTGAAATGTTCAAATCAGTGTTAAACCCAACTCACTCACTCATTCTCTCATGCACATTATGATGTTCATAACAAACTCTGTACATACAATGTTGCGTCTAATTGTCTCCAACGTTCAGTGTATTGGCAATAGACAAGTATAACTTGGTCATGTGTTTAATCCGATTGCCATGTTGTGTGTAAAGCATGTGGCAACGGATCTTTTGCAGTTTGTCATAATATGTTGTTTTAAGCTTTTTAAAAAACATTTTCAACAGATTTTAATTATAGGATTTTAATAATTTATCTACATTGATAGGGACAGTAAAAGATGTTATATTTTTTTTAAATTTGACATATTTCTGGTCAGCAAAAAAACCCCACTGCTTTTAATAATTTGATTATTTTTAACATACATGTATTTCAATTTATGGCAGTTGGCGAATTCGTAAACAAAGTTTAAACAAATGTCAGGCCTTTCTATCCCTTGTATTTTAATGGCCACGTCCGTATATTCCAGGTCGGTGCTCTACTACATGGAATCAGCCACCGGTAACCTGACATGTTTCACAGACCTGCCGCCCAGAATGAAGATCAGACAGGTGACAGTGGCAAATTGCATATTGTAGGATTTTTTTAGCTCACCTGACTGATTGTCATGGCCTGTCTCTCTGTGTGTGTCATAAACATTTTCTTCTTGACACCAATGCACCAATTAAGCTAAAACTGTACATGCTTGTTCCCACTGATGATGTCACCCCAATTTGTTCAAGCGGTTCGAATTAGCAGCCATTTTGAAAAATCAATTTTATGGTAATATGTCAGCCAGTTTTCTTCAGAATGTAATGAAAGTTGGTATGTGGTTAATTAGAAGGTCTCAGTACATATACAGGGTTTGTACATGCTTGAAAATGCCTTGAATGTTGAGGTCCCTCTTGAAAAGCGTTGATTTTTTGTGTCAACCTTGAAAAGCCCTGAAAATCACCAAATTAGCTTCAAAAGCCTTGAATTGGTACACACTGACATATTCTTGTTCATCAAAGCATTAAAGCACTCAAAAATATGTAACAAAGATGTTTCAGTGAAATTTATCATAGTGATAGATTTGTGTGCCAAAGACCCTGGAGAATTCATGACAGACTTAATTTATTCTTTTTTTTCGGTGAAAAAAAGATCTTGTTGAAAAATGTGTGAAGCCAGACTGCTTTTCAGGTTGTTTTTTTTAATGGTTTTATTTCTTTTTAGAGAACACAAACATTAAGTTATATTATAGTACACATGCAATCTTAAATACATACAAGTTTCAAAGTATATCTATGGATAATAGCAAACAAAACTACTTCAGTGTCAGGATGCTAAGACATCTTTGTTGGGTTGTGCAATATCGTGGGTTTACACGAATAGGTGGTGACAGAGTGACCAAAATGTCAGGAACTGTGTGTATTTACATTGTGAATATGATATATTTCTGTTGATGTAATATGAATCGGTTATTTCTTGTTTGATATGTTGGAAATTTGGTATGGAGTTGGAAATGTTTGATTTGAGTATGTTTCGCTTTGGTGCAGTTATAATATGAGGTCTTATGACTGATATATAATATATGCAGGATTTAAAATATTGACAGACTAAGCCAAATAATTTCTGTCAATATTTTATTAAATCCTGCATATTATATATTAGTCATAAGACCTAAAAAGCCTAAATGGGTTTTACTGAATGGGCACATGTCTAAGACATACCGTATTCGACGTAATATGCGCCCACGGCGATATTTGCTAATTTATTGGCTCGTGAACAATCCAAATTAGCACCCTTTCCGATTGATCAATGTACACAATAATTATTTATTCGCGTATAATACACACTCGTGTGTTATATGCACCCTTAATTATGGGCAATTAAATTCTGGAAAAATATATCTCTCGTATATAAACATTTCAGGCTGTCAGCATAAACCACGAAATTTATCTTTCAACTCTGTTTTCTTCGACAAAATAATATTCTAATGAGAGCCCCCTATTTCTAATTTTGAGAGCGCCCTGGGCGCTTATTACGTTGAATACGGTACTTCCCTTCGTGCTTTCGTGATGTTACTGAAATATTGATGAAGATGTCAGTCAAACCAAGTCACCCCCTCACTTTGATTGCGTTGCAGATGGCAGTAGGCCCGGACCATGTCATCGTCGTGACAACAGAACGGCAAGTGTTCACATGGGGTGAAGGGTCGAAAGGTCAACTTGGACATGGCGACACAACAAGTCGATCTCGGCCAGAACTAGTAGATGCCTTGAAGGGGAAGTCCATATCAATGTAAGACGAACTGCGATCATTGATTTAGTTGAAGAGCATGGTTAACAATAAAGTGGGATCCTGGGTCCTAAAAGTAAGGGAGAAGTCTAAATTTAATGATTAAAAACTTCTTTCCTAAAGCTTTCAGACATTACCCTGTACATACCCTAAATGTAATTATGAATTTTATTATGTAATTATTCTATTGAAATGTCACAACTTAAAAGGTTTATATTTGATCGATCAAAAACTTGTTAACATCCCCAGCCCCAATGGAATTAATATATTTTTCCGACATCGATTGCTCAAGCTATTATTACACAGCTCACTCGCACTCACTCACTCATTCACTCCTCACTCTCACTCACCTCACTCATCTCTCTAACCTCACTCACTCACCTCTTTAACCTCACTCACTCACTCACTCACTCACCCATCCACTCACTCACCTCTCTAACCTCACTCACTCACTCACCTATCTAACCTCACTCACTCACTCAATCAATCAATCACTCACTCACTCACTCACTCACTCACTCACTCACTCACTCACTCACCCACTCACTCACCTCTCTAACCTCACTCACTCACTCACTCACTCACCCACCTCTCTAACCTCACTCACTCACTCACCGCTTTAACCTCACTCACTCACTCACCTCTCTAACCTCACCCACTCACTCACTCACCCACTCACTCACTCACTCACTCACTCACTCACTCACTCACTCACTCACTCACTCACCCACTCACCCACCCACCCACTCACTCACCTCTCTAACCTCTCTCTCTCTCTCTCTCTCTCTCTCTCACTCACTCACTCACTCACCAATCCACCCACCCACCCACTCACTCAATCACACACTCACTCACTGGTTTGCCTAGACTTAAAACCCATTTCACCTTTCATCTCCTCTCACTCACTCACTTGCAGAAAGGGGCGGTCGGGTAGCCTAGTGGTTAAAGCGTTAGCTCGTCACGCCGAAGACCCAGGTTTGATTCCCGACATTGGTACAATGTGTGAAGCCCATTTCTGGTGTCCCCCGCCGTGATATTGCTGGAATATTGATAAAAACGGCGTAAAACCATACTCAATCACTCACTCACTTGCAGAAATGGAAAAAGGTAAACTTTGTGATATGCAACTGAATCTTTTTCCCATGTTTAGAAGTACTGTGTGGCACTCTTCATAAACAATTTCCATTCTATCCCTGCCCTGTCTGTCTGTGTTTGCAGGGCCTGCTGTGGGGATGGCTTCAGTCTGTTCACCAGTGACAATGGACTCGTGCTCACCTGTGGTGATGGGTCGAAGGGTTGTCTTGGACATGATGATTGGTCGTCCACCTCCAAACCACGCCTCATTGAGAATCTGCTCAGGTATACAGACAGGATCTCTTACAGGATCGGAAATTGCTTGCTTGCTTGTTTGTTTGGCCTGAAAATAGTGGAATCTGGACCAGACTATCCAGTGACTGACGTCATGAGCATCAATCTATGCAATTGGGATACAATGACATGCATCAACTAAGTCAGCGAGCCTGACCACCTGATCCCGTTAGTCGCCTAGGTTGCTGAAGACCAATTATAATCAACATTTTCACAGGTCAGAATTCTGTGTATTAGAGTGTCAAAGGCATGGTCAGTCCCTGCTGTATTCCGCTATTCCAAGGTCACACAATATTTTGCAGAAATGCCAACTCGGTGCAGAATTATACCTATCTTGCAGAAAATCATATTTTGTGCAGAACTCCTGCAGGATTTTGCATTTATCTGCCACAGAAATCGTTAATATATTGCAGAATTTTAACGTGTGAGCCGAAAGCTGATTTCAAATGTGTGAAAGGATTTATTTCATTTTGAAGTGAAATTGACTTTTGTATTATTGCTTACCGAAAGTTGTTGTCTGTATGGTTAGGCTAGTGATGTCCAGGTTCACTTCAATAAGCTATTCTAGTTGTTGACGAAAAGGTCTGACACAAGTCAAACAGGTGCAAACCGATGAAATGCTTGAAAATTAAGCTTAAGAGATTGCAGAATTTTGTGTAGAATTATTAGAATTTGGTTGCAGAATTTACCAAAAATTATGCAGTATATCTTTATTTTTTTCACCACGGAAAACAGCAGGAACTGCATGGTTAATGTCAGTTCTTGGTGCCTAAACGGAAAACTTAAATGTTTTTTTCCTGAAAAAATACCTTTTGACAACATTTCTCATGTGAAGCCAGTGATCAATGTACTTTCACACAAGTTATCATGACAAGGTAGATGCCTACATGATAACGCTATTATCGGTCTCAGTGAAAGGGTAGGGGGCAAAGCTGCTAATTTACAACTGCTTGGTATCTCTCTCATGGTGAAATGGGATTCACTGATTTTGAGGATGGATCAATACTATTCTTCATCTTTAAGTCCAAAGGATCACCTCAACCTCTTTGCCATTGCCCTTTGGCAAACTTGAAAACCGAATTCTATCCCTGCCTTATTCTGATAAGTTGTCAATAGAGAATCTTACCCAAGCCTTGAATTTTAAACTTTTATTCACTCGTGTTGATATATTTATTTATGACACAAGGGTTAAATGCTATTTATCATCCAGCATCATTAGTATTAAGCAGTGTCCTGTGTGTAAGTAGTACAGCTAACAAGCTTCAGTGGCTGAGAGATCAGTGATGTCAGTTGACAGTGACATCACAGTAACTGATGATGTCACAATGGTCTGCCATAATCTAATCATACTTAGTGACTTTTACACAGTGTATGAATACTTTTCCAAACTAACAGATGTAATATTGACCTCCTCATTGCACATTCAAAGCTTGATTGTAACTGTGTTCATATTCCAGTGTTGACGTAGTTGCGCTGGCATGTGGACCAAGTCACGTAGTTGCTGTAGGCAGTGAGGGGGAAGTCTATGCATGGGGGGACAACAGCTCCGGACAGCTGGGCCTTGGCAACGAAATCAGTCAGTGAGTGATCTGTTACCAAAAATGCATGTTTGTAGGACTCCCCAGTTAGAGTCCATGACAGCTAGGCCTTGGCAACGAAATCAGTCAGTGAGTAATCTGTTACCAGAAATGCATGTTTGTAGGACTCCCCAGTTAGAGTCCATGACAGCTGGGCCTTGGCAACGAAATCAGTCAGTGAGTGATCTGTTACCAGAAATGCATGTTTGTAGGACTCCCCAGTTAGAGTCCATGACAGCTGGGCCTTGGCAACGAAATCAGTCAGTGAGTGATCTGTTACCAGAAATGCATGTTTGTAGGACTCCCTAGTTAGAGTCCATGACAGCTGGGCCTTGGCAACGAAATCAGTCAGTGAGTGATCGGTTACCAGAAGTGCATGTTTGTAGGACTCCCCAGTTAGAGTCCATGACAGCTGGGCCTTGGCAACGAAATCAGTCAGTGAGTGATCTGTTACCAGAAATGCATGTTTGTAGGACTCCCCAGTTAGAGTCCATGAAAGCTGGGCCTTGGCAACGAAATCAGTCAGTGAGTGATCTGTTACCAGAAATGCATGTTTGTAGGACTCCCCAGTTAGAGTCCATGAAAGCTGGGCCTTGGCAACGAAATCAGTCAGTGAGTGATCTGTTACCAGAAATGCATGTTTGTAGGACTCCCCAGAACCGTAGCGGATTGTCCTGTTTTCGATCAGCGCTTTCAGCATCATAGGTTTTCGGACATCATATGATCTATCACGAATACTTGCACTATAACGTACTGATTGAACTTCGAAATTTTACTGCATCCGCCATCTTTGTTTATTTGACTTATAGACTTTTGCCATTGACTTTTTACATTTCTTGGTGTGAATGTTGTCCAAACTGCACTGGCATGCCCCCAGACCCCCCTAGACTTTTCCTCTTTTTTCGGGAAAACCTGCTCACATCTCTGAAAAATAATATGTAAGACCCTTGGGTCAGAGCAGTGTAACTAACTCACTCCCTAACTCACTACTCAGATGTCAGCCAGAGGAGGTATCTATCTCGGAGCCGGTGGTGTTCCGCGACGTGCGCTGTGGCAACGATGGAACCATGCTTCTGTCTGACGTCGGCAGCGTGTTTGCCTGCGGAAGTAACGAGAACAATAAGCTTGGTCTCAACAACAGGCAGGGCTTTCTCATGGCCATGAAGAATATCTTCACTAAGGTAGGCACATCCTGCGTACTCAGCAGAGGAAGGCACATCATGCATACTCAGCAAATGTAGGCACATCATGCATACTCAGCAAATGTAGGCACATCCTACATACTCAGCAAATGTAGGCACATGCTGCATACTCAGAAGAGGTAGGCACATGCTGCATACTCAGCAAATGAAGGCACATCCTGCATACTCACCAAATGTAGGCACATGCTGCATACTCAGAAGAGGTAGGCACATGCTGCATACTCAGAAGAGGTAGGCACATCCTGCATACTCAGCAAATGTAGGCACATCCTACATACTCAGCAAATGTAGGCACATACTGCATACTCAGAAGAGGTAGGCACATACTGCATACTCAGAAGAGGTAGGCACACACTGCATACTCAGCAAATGTAGGCACATGCTGCATACTCCGAAGAGGTAGTCACATACTGCATACTCAGCAAATGTAGGCACATGCTGCATACTCAGAAGAGGTAAGCACATGCTGCATACTCAGAAGAGGTAGGCACATACTACATACTCAGCAAATGTAGGCACATGCTGCATACTCAGAAGAGGTAGGCACATCCTGCATACTCAGCAAATGTAGGCACATCCTACATACTCAGCAAATGTAGGCACATACTGCATACTCAGAAGAGGTAGGCACATACTGCATACTCAGAAGAGGTAGGCACATACTGCATACTCAGCAAATGTAGGCACATGCTGCATACTCAGCAAATGTAGGCACATCCTACATACTCAGCAAATGTAGGCACATCCTGCATACTCAGCAAATGTAGGCACATCCTGCATACTCAGCAAATGTATTAGGCGACTAACCGGATCGGGTGGTCAGACTTGCTGACTTGTTTAATGCATGTCATCGTATCCCAATTGCGTGGATTGATGTTCATGTTGTCAATCACTGGATTGTCTGGTCCAGACTCGAATATTTACAGAGCGCCATCATATAGGTGGAATATTGCTGAGTGCGGCGTTAAACAACAAACAAAAAACAAAATCACAAGGGTGAGCACTTACTTCACCTTCACAATTGTAAACAAATACACTACCTCCACAATTATTTAGAGTCAAGTCTTTGATTGTACTGTAGAAGTTGGATATTGATAACATCATCTTCATGAATCTGTCCCTTGTGTCAGTGAACTTTCGTCGCTCAAATCGCCATGACCGGTATTGGCATCCATCACATTATACAAACTAAATATTGATGCATCTGGCATTGCTACCTGGGGCTTTACGAAAGTCAGCCGGATGATCTGATTGGTTACAGGAACAAGTTTTTGTTTTATTTCAGACGGAGGTCGAAGGACGTAACGTGCTAACTCCGGTGAGGGCGTTGGCACGACACCGCGTCCTTGACATCTCTATCGGCCCGCATCACACGGCTGTACGGGTAGCATCGGGACACGTGTATACGTTCGGGCGTAACACCGAGGGTCAGTTAGGCATCGGGAACACCAAGGCGTCCAATACCCCTGTGGAGGTGAAGCCACTTCAGGACAAGTGTGTCAATGTAAGGAGGATAAAACTCATGTAGAACATATCACAAAAGAATCTGTTCAGGTTGAAACGTTACACTGATGTAAAAATATTATGTGTTTTCGGATCGGTTCCCATCCTATGTGTCTGCGTTCCCATCCCATTCCGATCCATAATTTGAAAATTATTCAGTGACTTTCACCAAACTTGGCATAACAAAGTAGACACAATTTATGGATAGCAACTTCTTTTTATACCCCTGTTTACGAAGTAAATCGGGGGTATATAGCGTTCCGTTCGTCCGTCCGAGCTTTTGTACGGCCCATAACTTGCTACACACATTTACCACAATGAGTACTTGTGCCTTTTGCTAGTTTGAAGATTCTGAACTTTTTAATGTTTGCCGTTTCCATGGAAACATTAAGAAACTTAAACTTTTAGGGTGGGTGTTTTGTACGGCCTTTATCATTTTAACTGTGCACCCTAGCTTCACCAAACTTTCTACACACATTTACCACAATGAGTACTTGTGCATTTTGCTAGTTTGAAGATTCTGAACTTTTTAATTTTTGCCGTTTCCATGGACACATTAAGAAACTTAAACTTTTAGGGTGAGTGTGCTGTACGGCCTATATCTTTTTAACTATGCACCCTAGCTTCACCAAACTTTTTACACACTTTAACAACAATGAGTACTTGTGCCTTTTGCTAGTTTGAAGATTCTGATTTTTTTAATTTTTGCCGTTTTCATGGAAACATTAGAAACTTAAACTTTTAGGGTGAGTGTTTTGTACAGCCCATATCTTTTTAACCATGCAACCTAGCTTCACCAAACTTTCTACACTCATTTACCACGATGAGTACTTGTGCCTTTTGCTAGTTTGAAGATTCTGAATTTTTTAATATTTGCCGTTTCCATGGACACGTTAAGAAACTTAAACTTTTAGGAGGGGTGTTTTGTACGGCCCATATCTTATGAACTATGCATCCTAAGCATCTGTGCTTTGTCTTAGTTTGAATTTATGAATTCTTTACCATATCTGTTAAGGCTAGATGGAAATTATTAATTTACTGATTTTCTTATATGATATTGTTCCATTTTTTATGTGTTTTTATATCAACAATTTTTGGTCCTTTTGATAATTGTTCTTATGTAACTCCTCAATCAAATTTTTATTCAAAGGTGTTCATGGTGATCACCTTCCTCGTAGTGAACACTGGTAACATGGGAGATTGGGGGGGGGTCAATTGTCACTGGAACTCAATCTTAGTTTTTAAAACAATGAAGTTAAAATTAGTTAGAAATATGTAATATTTCATTAAGTAACAAACTATTTACTATTTGTTGTTGACCAGCGGGGATAACTTGGGTATGTGAGCTTTGATCACTTCTTACTTGTTTTTTACTGTAAAGGCGATGTTTCTGTATGGACCCTTATATCGTTGTTCTTGCAAACATCTTGTTTCATCTCAAACAAGGGTAGGGTTTGTTTCCGGACCACAACTTGAAAACTGTTCAACATATTTCAGTGTAGCTCATCAGCTTAACTGGTGCCTTTAGTTATTTTCAAATCTTTATAAGTTTGATTTTGTTACATTTCCCTGGAAACAATATGGTCTCAAACAACTCAAGACTTCAATCCCGAGCCATAACTTTCAAACAAATGAGACCAGGGTTTGATCCCCGGCTGTGTCAAACCAAAAGACATTAAAAGATGGTACTTGTTGTGACCCTGTCTGGCGCTCGTCATTTAAGGGGCTAAATCAAGGACTGGTCGGCTCGGAGCCAGTATACTGTGTCTGAGTGGGGTATTCATGCTAAAACTGCGGAAGGGTATCTCAGTGGGCTAGCACTCTAAATTGTCATCAGTCCGGACTAGTACAAGCAGCCACCAAAACATGTGTATGCACGTCGCTATATAAGAGCAATAATCATGGATGCAATGTTAAACACCTTTTCTGTGCAGTGCTGTAAGTGTGGCCCTCTAAAACTGGTCGGCCTTGTGTGCAGTGCTGTAAGTGTGGCCCTCTTAGACTGGTGGGCTTTGTGTGCAGTGCCGTAAGTGTGGCGCTCTTAGACTGGTTGGCTTTGTGTGCAGTGCTGTAAGTGTGGCCCTCTTAGACTGGTGGGTTTTGTGTGCAGTGCTGTAAGTGGGGCCCTCTTAGACTGGTGGGTTTTGTGTGCAGTGCTGTAGGTGTGGCCTTCTTAGACTGGTGGGCTTTGTGTGCAGTGCTGTAAGTGTGGCCCTCTTAGACTGGTCGGCCTTGTGTGCTGTCAGCATGGTCAGTGTGGCCCTCTTAGACTGGTGGGCTTTGTGTGCAGTGCTGAAAGTGTGGCCTTCTTAGACTGGTGGGCTTTGTGTGCAGTGCTGAAAGTGTGGCCTTCTTAGACTGGTGGGCTTTGTGTGCAGTGCTGAAAGTGTGGCCTTCTTAGACTGGTGGGCTTTGTGTGCAGTGCTGAAAGTGTGGCCTTCTTAGACTGGTTGGCTTTGTGTGCAGTGCTGAAAGTGGGGCCCTCTTAGACTGGTGGGCCTTGTGTGCAGTGCTGTAAGTGTGGCCTTCTTAGACTGGTGGGTTTTGTGTGCAGTGCTGTAAGTGTGGCCCACTAAGACTGGTGGGCTTTGTATGCAGTGGTGTAAGTGTGGCCCTCTTAGACTGGTGGGCTTTGTGTGCTGTCAGCATGGTCAGTGTGGCCTTCTTAGACTGGTGGGCTTTGTGTGCAGTGCTGTAAGTGTGGCCCTCTTAGACTGGTCGGCCTTGTGTGCTGTCAGCATGGTCAGTGTGGCCTTCTTAGACTGGTGGGCTTTTTGTGCAGTGCTGAAAGTGGGGCCCTCTTAGACTGGTGGGCCTTGTGTGCAGTGCTGTAAGTGTGGCCTTCTTAGACTGGTGGGTTTTGTGTGCAGTGCTGTAGGTGTGGCCCACTAAGACTGGTGGGCTTTGTATGCAGTGGTGTAAGTGTGGCCCTCTTAGACTGGTGGGCTTTGTGTGCAGTGCTGTAAGTGGGGCCCTCTTAGACTGGTGGGCTTTGTGTGCAGTGCTGTAAGTGGGGCCCTCTTAGACTGGTGGGCTTTGTATGCAGTGCTGTAGGTGTGGCCCTCTTAGACTGGTGGGCTTTGTGTGCAGTGCTGAAAGTGGGGCCCTCTTAGACTGGTGGGCTTTGTGTGCAGTGCTGAAAGTGGGGCCCTCTTAGACTGGTGGGCTTTGTGTGCAGTGCTGTAAGTGTGGCCCACTAAGACTGGTGGGCCTTGTGTGCAGTGCTGTAAGTGTGGCCCACTAAGACTGGTGGGCTTTGGGTGCAGAGCTGTAAGTGTGGCCCTCTTAGACTGGTGGGCTTTGTGTGCAGTGCTGTGTGCAGTGCTGTAAGTGTGTCCCTCTTAGACTGGTGGGCTTTGTGTGCAGTGCTGTAAGTGTGGCCCTCTTAGACTGGTGGGCCTTGTGTGCTGTCAGCATGGTCAGTGTGGCCCTCTTAGACTGGTGGGCTTTGTGTGCAGTGCTGAAAGTGTGGCCTTCTTAGACTGGTGGGCTTTGTGTGCAGTGCTGAAAGTGTGGCCTTCTTAGACTGGTGGGCTTTGTGTGCAGTGCTGAAAGTGTGGCCTTCTTAGACTGGTGGGCTTTGTGTGCAGTGCTGAAAGTGTGGCCTTCTTAGACTGGTTGGCTTTGTGTGCAGTGCTGAAAGTGGGGCCCTCTTAGACTGGTGGGCCTTGTGTGCAGTGCTGTAAGTGTGGCCTTCTTAGACTGGTGGGTTTTGTGTGCAGTGCTGTAAGTGTGGCCCACTAAGACTGGTGGGCTTTGTATGCAGTGGTGTAAGTGTGGCCCTCTTAGACTGGTGGGCTTTGTGTGCTGTCAGCATGGTCAGTGTGGCCTTCTTAGACTGGTGGGCTTTGTGTGCAGTGCTGTAAGTGTGGCCCTCTTAGACTGGTCGGCCTTGTGTGCTGTCAGCATGGTCAGTGTGGCCTTCTTAGACTGGTGGGCTTTTTGTGCAGTGCTGAAAGTGGGGCCCTCTTAGACTGGTGGGCCTTGTGTGCAGTGCTGTAAGTGTGGCCTTCTTAGACTGGTGGGTTTTGTGTGCAGTGCTGTAGGTGTGGCCCACTAAGACTGGTGGGCTTTGTATGCAGTGGTGTAAGTGTGGCCCTCTTAGACTGGTGGGCTTTGTGTGCAGTGCTGTAAGTGGGGCCCTCTTAGACTGGTGGGCTTTGTGTGCAGTGCTGTAAGTGGGGCCCTCTTAGACTGGTGGGCTTTGTATGCAGTGCTGTAGGTGTGGCCCTCTTAGACTGGTGGGCTTTGTGTGCAGTGCTGAAAGTGGGGCCCTCTTAGACTGGTGGGCTTTGTGTGCAGTGCTGAAAGTGGGGCCCTCTTAGACTGGTGGGCTTTGTGTGCAGTGCTGTAAGTGTGGCCCACTAAGACTGGTGGGCCTTGTGTGCAGTGCTGTAAGTGTGGCCCACTAAGACTGGTGGGCTTTGGGTGCAGAGCTGTAAGTGTGGCCCTCTTAGACTGGTGGGCTTTGTGTGCAGTGCTGTGTGCAGTGCTGTAAGTGTGTCCCTCTTAGACTGGTGGGCTTTGTGTGCAGTGCTGTAAGTGTGGCCCACTAAGACTGGTGGGCCTTGTGTGCAGTGCTGTAAGTGTGGCCCACTAAGACTGGTGGGCTTTGGGTGCAGAGCTGTAAGTGTGGCCCTCTTAGACTGGTGGGCTTTGTGTGCAGTGCTGTGTGCAGTGCTGTAAGTGTGGCCCTCTAAGACTGGTGGGCTTTGTGTGCAGTGCTGTAAGTGTGGCCCTCTAAGATTGGTGGGCTTTGTGTGCAGTGCTGTAAGTGTGACCCTCTTAGACTGGTGGGCCTTGTGTGCAGTGCTGTAAGTGGGGCCCTCTTAGACTGCTGTGCTTTGTGTGCAGTGCTGTAAGTGTGTCCCTCTAAGACTGGTGGGCTTTGTGTGCAGTGCTGTAAGTGGGCCCTCTTAGACTGTTGGGCTTTGTGAGCAGTGCAGTGTGCAGTGCTGTAAGTGTGGAGTTTCCCTGATGCGTTACAGCGGATCCAGTGCGGGGAACACTTCACGGTGGCCAGTACACGCGACCATGAGTTGTACTACTGGGGGCTGAGATTCAAGATGCCATCCCAGCAGGCAGTAGAGGACAACACGAGTCGGTCCAGCACCAACGGAAGTATCACCAACGTGTCCTCCAGTGTCATCTCGAAAGACGACATTCGGCTAGAGAGTATCACACCTAGAAAAGCCTCTGCCTCCAACTCGCGGACACACAGCTCGGCCAGTGTCAACAGCCTCAACAGCGGGAAGGAACAACAGACTGTGTCCGGTCAAGATGGTGAGTTATTTAGGCGAGTTACACTTGTCATTGTTATTTTAAATTCAGCTCTCCTATGTTCAGAGATGAACATTATGCATTCTCAGATTTGAGTGTTTTTCAGCATTCTACTATGATTTTGGAAAACACTTGATTCTGATTGCTCAATCAGCCATTTCAAATCACAAGCACCTGTGATTGAAACAGCTGATTTGAAAACTGATCCCAGGTGAAGCTGAGGGACTGGTAATTTATTATAGGGGGTGAGATGAAAACATGACACAGCAAAAGAGAGAGGGGTCGCCAGAATTTATCACAACTATATTAGGGGACCATGGACACATGTTCTATATTTTCAAGTAAAACTTCATTAATTTTAACATTATGTAGAGATTAGTCATTTATTATAGGGAGAATGGGTGGGTCCTGAAAAGCTGTTGGTCACATATTTGTAGGGGGGCATGAAAAAATGTCACTTAAAATGGGTGGGGGTGAGCGAAATTTGATACAGAGTTAAGACCAATACCACCTCTTTTTTGAAGCAATCCTCCTAACCCAATTCCTAGATCCATCCTTTACATGTGCATCCTTGGTATATCTGCATCCTTTTACATGTCCATCCTTAACATGTCCATCCTTTACATGTGCATCCTTTACATGTCCATCCTTGGAATATGCATCCTTTACATGTCCATCATTTACATGTGCAACCTTGTTCTTGTCCATCCTTGGAATGTGCATCCTTTACATGTTCATCATTTACATGTGCATCCTTTCCATGTCCATCATTTACATGTGCATCCTTGTTCTTGTCCATCCTTGGAATATGCATCCTTTACATATCCATCCTTTACATGTCCATCCTTTACATGCTTTATATATGTAGCCTCTACATGTCCATCCTTTACATGCTTTACATGTGCATCCTTGTTCTTGTCCATCCTTGGAATATGCATCCTTTACATGTCCATCCTTTACATGCTTTACATATGTATCCTTTACATGTCCATCCTTTACATGCTTTACTTATGTATCCTTTACATGTCCATCCTTGGAATATGCATCCTTTACATGTCCATCCTCTACATGTCCATCCTTTACATGTTTTACATATGCATCCTTGTTCTTGTCCATCCTTGGAATATGCATCCATTACATGTCCATCATTTATATGCTTTACATGTCCATCATTTACATGTGCATCCTTGTTCTTATCCATCCTTGGAATATGCATCCTTTACATGTCCATCCTTTACATACTTTACATATGTATCCTCTACATGTCCATCCTTGGAATATGCATCCATCATTTACATGCTTTACATGTGCATCCTTTACATGCTTTACATATGTATCCTTTACATGTCCATCCTTTACATGCTTTACATATGTATCCTTTACATGTCCATCCTTTACATGCTTTACATATGTATCCTTGTTCTTGTCCATCCTTGGAATATGCATCCTTTACATGTCCATCTTCGTTCTTGTACAACCTTGGAATATTCATCCTTTACATGTCCATCCTTTACATGTCCATCCTTTACATGCTTTACATATGCATCCTTTTTCTTGGCCCCCTGGAATATGCATCTTTTACATGTCCATCCTTTACATGTGCATCCTTTACATATCCATCATTTACATGTCCATCCTTTACATGCTTTACATATGTATCCTTTACATGTCCATCCTTTACATGCTTTACATATGTATCCTTGTTCTTGTCCATCCTTGGAATATGCATCCTTTACATGTCCATCTTCGTTCTTGTACAACCTTGGAATATTCATCCTTTACATGTCCATCCTTTACATGTCCATCCTTTACATGCTTTACATATGCATCCTTTTTCTTGGCCCCCTGGAATATGCATCTTTTACATGTCCATCCTTTACATGTGCATCCTTTACATATCCATCATTTACATGTCCATCCTTTACATGCTTTACATATGTATCCTTTACATGTCCATCCTTTACGTGCTTTACATGGCCATCCTTGTTCTTGTCCATCCTTGGAATATGCTTCCTTTACATGTCCATCATTTACATGCTTTACATGTGCATCCTTTACATGTCCATCATTAACATGTCCATCCTTTACATGTGCATCCTTGTTCTTGTCCATCCTTGGAATACGCATCCTTTACATGTCCATCCTTGCAATATGCAACCTTTACATGTGCATCCTTTACATATCCATCCTTTACATGTCCATCCTTTACATAGTTTACATATGCATCCTTTACATGTCCATCCTCTACATGTCCATCCTTTACATGTTTTACATATGCATCCTTGTTCTTGTCCATCCTTGGAATATGCATCCTTTTCATGTGCATCCTTAACATATCCATCCTTTACATGTCCATCCTTTACATGCTTTATATATGTAGCCTCTACATGTCCATCCTTTACATGCTTTACATTTTGCATCCTTGTTCTTGTCCATCCTTGGAATATGCATCCTTTACATGTCCATCATTTACATCTTTTACATATCCATCCTTTACATATGCATCCTTTACATGTCCATCATTTACATGTGCAACCTTGTTCTTGTCCATCCTTGGAATGTGCATCCTTTACATGTTCATCCTTGAAGTTGCCGGGGCAGAATAGGTCTTCAGCAACCCATGCTTTCCGTAAAAGGCGACTATGCTTGTCGTAAAAGACGACTAACGGGATCGGGTGGTCAGGCTCGCTGACTTGGTTGATGCATGTCATCAATCCCAAATTGCATGGATCGATGCTCATGATATCAATCACTGGATTGTCTGGTCCCGACTCGATTATTGACAGACCGTCGTCATATAGCTGGAATATTGCTGAGAGTGGCGTTAAACAACAAACCAACCAATCATCCTTTACATATGCATCCTTTACATGTCCATCCTTTACATGTCCATCCTTATTCTTGTCCATCCTAGGAATATGCATCTTTGATCTTGATATGCATCCTTTACATGTGCAGCCATGGTATATGTATCCTTGACGTACATAGCTTGATATGCAGCCTTGAACTTGAAGTGCATCCTTGATATATGCAGCCTTGCTATGCACCCTCTCCCTCTATGCTGCAGGTAGTGCTGCTGGTCCTGACGCAGATGCTGTGAAAGCTGGTGAAGATGTCGCCCCAACGACGCCGAGTCGACAGACAAGTTGTGACAGTGTCTTGTCTGCAGCTAACGACAGCGGTGTGCCCACAACACCACAAGAAGAATTCAACCCAGGCTTCAGGCCTCTGAGTAAGTTGATGTTGGTGTAGGGTTGTTCACCACCCCCTTTTTAAGGTTTTTTGTTTGGTTTGTTGTTTAACGCCGCACTCAGCAATATTCCAGCTATATGACGGCAGTCTGTAAATAATCGAGTATGGACCAGACAATCCAGTGATTAATCTCATGAGCATCGATCCACGCAATTGGGATCGATGACCTGTATCAACCAAGTCAGCGAGCCTGACCACCCGATCCCGTTAGTCGCCTTTTACAACAAGCATAGTCACCTTTTACGGCAAGCATAGGTTGCTGTAGACCTATTCTACCCCGGAATTTTTTAGGGTCTCCCTTTTTAAGGATACTCTACATGTAAATGTATATAAAATAAACCCTTGGCCAATGGGAATTAAGAGACAGCCCTATAATAACATACTGTCATGTTCAGCTGATGGGGTTTTGTTTCGTATACATTTGTACGATACGTTATAGCAAAATTTATTACCTACGAGGGCAAACATGTAGGTGTTCATAAAAATCATATGTGCCCTAGGGTCATATCACGTCACGAGACAACAGTGTATTGTTTCCATCATCCCAACGGCATTGTTGACGTCATTTGAACCTTATTGTGACGTGAGGTCAGAATGACGTCGCACTGGAAACCACGTCATAGCTGAAGATTGTTGACGTCATTTGACAAATTGTGGTTCTGCTGCTGTTGCAACTTGCTGGCCTTATACGTAAACACTAAAACTCGTCTTTGTATAAAGACATCTTCTTCAGTAATAAATAGAACATTATATTTGTGTTCATGTCATACTATGTTTACAACACTCATGCTCTCAAAAGGGAAATACCAGAATTTAGACACTTGTGTCATAAACATAGTATGACATGAACACGAATATAATATCCTCCTGTTGAAAGATGGTACTTTTTGTTACCCTGCCTGGTGCTTGGCGTTAAGGGGATAAAACAAGGACTGGTCGGCATGAGCCAAGACTGGTACAAGCAGTCACTGGTGCGATATTTGAATGAAATAAACTTGAAAGCGACATGAGTGAAAATCTGCAAGAACCCTCTTATAAAGATGGGATTGAAAAGCAATCCTCTGCTGAGTGGTGAGCTGGGCTTCTGTATGTTCACTCTCATTGGTTCAGGCAGTGTACCCCGCCGGTCAACCAGCGCCAGTAGCCGGGAGAACTTAAAAGAGAAAGACAAGGAGAAGGAAAGAGAGAAAGGAGAGAGGGAGATCATGAGAGATGACTGCGTCGTTCTTCTGGAGCCGGTAGAGATCATCAGGTGGGTGGTTACACGGACCTGGGACGGTGATGTGGGTAGGTGTGGTTATTGTGATGTGGGTGTGGTTATTGTGATGTGGGTGGTAGCCTATGGGTGTGGTTACTGTGATGTGGGTGGTTACAGGGACCTGGGACGGTGATGTGGGTGGGTGTGGTAACTGTGATGTGGGCGGATGTGGTTATTGTGATGTTGGTGGGTGTGGTTACTGTGATGTGGGTGGGTGTGGTTAGAGTGATGTGGGTGGGTGTGGTTACAGGGATGTGGGTGGGTGTGGTTACAGGGATCTGGCTGGGTGTGGTTACAGTGATAAGGGTGGGTGTGGTTACAGTGATGTGGGTGGGTGTGGTTACTGTGATGTGACTGGGTGTTGTTATGGTGATGTGGTTGGGTGTAGTTATTGTAATGTTGGTGGGTGGGGTTACTGTGATGTGGCCGGGTGGAGTTGCGGTGATGTGGATTGGTGTGGTTACTGTGATGTGGGTGGGTGTGGTTACAGTGATGTGGGTGGGTGTGGTTACTGTGATGTGGGTGGGTGTGTTTACAGTGATGTGGGTGGGTGTGGTTACAGGGATCTGGGTGGGTGTGGTTACAGGGATCTGGGTGGGTGTGGTTACTGTGATATGGGTGGGTGTGGTTACTGTGATGTGGGTGGGTGTGGTTACAGGGATCTGGGTGGGTGTGGTTACTGTGATGTGGGTGGGTGTGGTTACAGGGATCTGGGTGGGGGTGGTTACTGTGATGTTTGTGGGTGTGGTAACTGATGTGTGTGAGTGTGGTTACTGTGATGTGGGTTGATGTGGTTACTGTGATGTGGATGGGTGTAGTTATTGTGATGTGGGTGGGTGTAGTTATTGTGATGTGGGTGGGTGTGATTACTGTGATGGGGGTAGGTGTGGTTACTGTACTGTGGATTGGTGTGGCTACTGTGAGGTGAGTGGGTGTGGTTACAATGATGTTGGTGGGTGTGGTTACGGTGATGTGGGTGGGTGTAGTTATTGTGATATGGGTGGGTGTGGTTTCTGTGATGTAGGTGGGTGTAGTTATTTTGATTCGGGTGGGTGTGGTTACTGTGATGTGGGTGGGTGTGGTTACTGTGATGCTGATGCAGGTGGGTGTGGTTCCAGTGATACAGAAGGATATTATTTTGTTGACAGGATAGAACAGGTGAATGAGAAGGTGTTGCTGGGAAACTTCTTCTGTCATGGGGAGAATCTGTTTGTCCAACTTGAGACAACCGCGCCGCCACCACGACGCAAGGCACTGAAGAAACGCAGCCTCAGGTATGTGGGTAGTAATCCTGGAATGTAGAGCCTTCTGACAAAACGCATATGCGGTACGAAATACCGGCTAGTTTAAGTGCAGCATGGATATCAAAGCACAAAGTTAAAGACTCCTTTACGAATGGTTATGGTTACGAATATTCTGCATGAATTTCCATGCAGCATATTTGTGTTGTATTAATTTTAGTTCATTAATTGATTTATTTTAACTTCCAGGGTTTATTTTAAAACTGATTATGCAGTATTTTTGTTACTTTTGAAATTGGTAAATGAAATAGTGTATCATTCCATTAACATCAGCAGTTTCAGTGCACAGATCAGTCAAAAAACAAATCTATTTCCTCTGATATGGGAGAATTAAGCGGTTCGCTCAATGATACAAATCTATACTTCAGGACTGAGAGATTGTTGATGCGGCATAAATTTTCCAATCTCTCCCTGTAAGTTCAGGACCAAGTTAACATGGTGCACTAATGTTAAACAGGAAGCGCTCCAGGAACAAGCCTCAGAGTGAGTCGAGCGACTCCCAGCAACACACGGCCTCCAGCAGGGAGGGTGGAGATGACTACTCCTCCGAGGCCTCCGACTCCAGGGGATCTGTGAGTTGGATTAACATGTCTACATCTACATGCATGTCTACAGCACCATCTGTGTCGACATCTACATCTACATCTGCACCTGCATCTGCACCAACATCTGCTCCCACATCTGCAACTACATCTACATCTGCACCCACATCTGCAACTACATCTACATCTACATCTGCACCTACATCTTCACCTACATCTGTGCCTACATCTGCACCAACATCTGCATCCACATCTGCACCTACATCTGCACCTACATCTGCACCATCTGCACCCACATCTGCACCTACATCTGCATCCACATCTGCACCTACATCTACATCTGCACCTACACCTACATCTGCAACTACATCTACATCTGCACCTTCATCTGCACCTACATCTGCACCTACACTACTGCCTAGAAGTTCATTCCCCTTACACGCATGGGCGAGGCGTTACGCAACCCGTGTGCACCCCGTTGGTCACTTGTGTGGAACCCGTCCGCCACGCGTGTGATACCCGTGTGCAACACGTGTCACACTCATTAGAGGGGGAACAAACTTTTGACCAAAGGAGGACCCATGTTAAGCTGAACCTGTAGGTGGTAACAAGGAGATAACCTTTTGATTTCCTGAGGAAAAATGTTAATACACATTTTATTATATGTACTTGCTGATGTCTCATTTTTAGATGTGATTTTGTTGGAAAATATGAGTACTTTGTGGCTTCTACATGATGTTTTGCGATGGTGTTAAGAGAATACATGATCCTGTTAAATGTTATTGCTATTTAAATGCTTTTTTGTGATTTGACATTCACGTCTGTAGTACAACTTTCAGTGATCATGTTTATGAGGTTTGGTGGAGCATTGTATTTATTGGACCCTAATTACTTTATGATGGTTGGGTCTCTTTGTCTCAGCTCCATAGTCGTGACGCTGGGAAAGGGCAGCATTTAATTAATGAGAGTAGGTTATATCATGGGGGATACACTTGAGGGAGGGGGTTCTACTAATTACCGTACCACAGGAAAAGACCTGTAGACGGGGTTGTGTGTAAAATGGCCGTTGCATAATGGCCGCCAGGAGTGGTAAACATTGAGTACTATAGGTAATGATGGTTCTGGCTCACTTCCACTGGAGCAGGATTCATATACCTATACTGCTACTACAGGAGGAATTTTTTATGCCAAAATGATGATGGGATTCAACGATAGTCATAAGATTAAGTTAAATTGACCACCACCTGGAGTCAATGATATAAATTTTTATAGGTAATAGGGGTTCTGGCTCACTTCCACTGGAGCCAGATTTATTACCTATACTGCTACTACAGGGGGGATTTTTTATGTCAAAATGATGATGTGATTCAACGATAGTCATGAGATTGGCTCTAGCTCACCAATACCTGGGGCCAATCATTGCTTTAGATGAGTCTAAATGGTAATAAAAATATTCTTTATTATTTTTATCGATAAAGCGATATTCAACATTTTTATTAAGTTCTTCGTTCATTTTACTAGGAGACCAGACTATATAACTACACTCTTTTTGTAAATTGATAAGAAACAATTGATAACCGTATTTGGTTGGTTTGACATCACTGATATAATAAAAACCTTGTGGTAATTCTCTCCATTGAATAGCTTTTTCCATTATTATATATTTATGTAAGCATTTGTCTAAATGTGATCAAACGATAGTAAGCAATCTATTTTTAATCTCCAACCAGTTCTTTGGTTTTGGCACGGAATAATTGACGCGCTTGTTGCCTCCCCTGTTCTATGAACTTTTTTTTCTCGTCTTCGCTAATACCACTGGTCTTACAATATTTTGATCGAATCTCCTGCTTCATTTCGTTGTATTTGGTGAGTTCCGACAGCACTAAACGAAACTCATCTTCGGATATCTTACAATCGGCCAATGCTGTCGAAATATGATCCTCAATGCTGTTCAACTTTGCTTCGGCGAGTATCCGAATACTATCGTGTTTTAATGCTTTCTTTTGTAACCTACGAGAAATGAATTTTATCGCTATTCCTGCCAGTCCCGAGACTCCAGCGGTTATTTCCATGCCGAGCACGATAGGCGCGGCGATTATAGTTGATAGTAAACCGATACCCGCTACACCGAGTCCCATGCCAGATACTAAAAGCACGGTGTCAACTCCGTCCAGAGCATTCACAGCTCTGCGATACTTTTATACAATTCAAGTCTCAACTCCCTATCCTTCCCTATTCGATGTTTTATGTCGCTTATTTGATGTAATCGAAATCCATCAACAGTTTCCATCTTTTCAAATGCTTCATTGAGCGCCGGATATAAACTCATAGTGTATATTACGTTCATATAATAGTCTTTAATTGGTCTTGCTTAAATGTTTTGAGACTATACATCAATCTTATCAAATGTATATTATACGGCAATAATATCTTAGAAAGAGAAATGCTGTCACTTTTAATAATTTGGACCCCCTCAAGGGTTGCAACGGGCGATGCTCCGATATGAATAATACTGCAACGTTGACGCTCGTGTTTCTTGAGCCATTTAATCGATAGACCTGGTAATATGTCGAAGGCATCTTCCGGTGCATCTCCGAACAAGACTTCAATAATAAGCGTGGAAAGATTAGGTATTGCACTCAAGTTAACTTTAATTTCATTGAATTCAGTAACCAGTCAGGGTGGCCTCTCTGGGATGTGGATTTTCAATTCCTACTGCAGGACCCGGTTTTTCGCGTGCGTGGGCAAAGTCACTGAAGCGCGTGTAAAAGGACTTTGAATGTCCTGTGTATTGGTGTCACTTCACCGTTAGCGCTTGGTTGATTCCCAGCCTTCATTACCACCAGGAGGCTCGTTTAGGTGTCTGCGGCCTGTGCGGTTAGCGGGTGGTAACCAAATTTAAAGTAACATTTTTTAAGGCCGGACGACTATATAACATATGACCTGGGTTTTCTGGCAGGGGGGTAACTAACACACTTTTTCGTTTTGATGGGATATAAGCCGCGAGTACGATGCCACTATTTATTATCTTAGTTAAATTATGTCCCTTACCCATCATCACATAAGGTGGGGTAATGACGATATTCAGTAGCCACTCGATGTTTGCTTCGACCATAGTCCATTTATTATCGTCGTTGCGAGTAATATTGTACGAAGTGTTTTTAAGGAGTCTACTAACATCGACATCGCTTAAATCTCCTAGATTACCCGCGAATGTAACTTCTTTCCGATTTTTACATTATCGTGTAAGTGTAAAGCGTATAACTTACCATCGGTACCGGGTTTACCGAATCCTTCTGTGTCTCCAAGATCGGAAAGCGCAATTGTATTACATTTTCTGAGAGTTCCAGGGCCTGATGAATCAACCATTATTTATAATATGGAGTGTTACACTTAAGTATCCTATATGTACAGGTTGGTGTTTTACATCTAATACAGAAATTTTGAGGTCTGAAATAATACCACGCTTTAATTTTTTATATTGTAATGTCGAGAATGATTCAGTTCTGCCACTATTATATTTTTCATTTTTCACTGGAACACTTCTGAGCAGAGTTGAAGGACTTTCTTGTTGAATATTATCTGTCATACTGATTTGATCAAGATGGATGCACAACTCTTTATAGGGAACTAACTCAGGTAAATAGAGTCCCTGATCTGATGTCTTGATTACTGTTATTTCTCCTCCCCATCCAAGTGTGTATGCTAAGTTCTTGTAAAGCTTTACATCCTTTGTTCCAGCGTTTAAAATCAGTAACCCATTTGACTCATTTTGTGTTAGACTAATTCCATTAGGCTTAAAAAATTCATCATTGAGTGAGCATACGCTGTAATACCCATCAGGTATAATGTATTTTTTACCATTTATTTCTGTCTCATTATTATAACCCCTCGTAGCACTTATATTGGTCCACCTCGGGTAATACGTTACATCGCATAGAGCGACTTCGAGTTGTCCATCCGAGTTATCGATAGTACGAAGCAGTTGAATAGACTGACCATTTGTTATTCCCAGGAGTGTAACATACATATCAAATATACAATGATACTATATCATAACTTAAATATGGCATCAACCATTATTTTTAATATGGAGTGTTACACTTAAGTATCCTATATGTACAGGTTGATGTTTTACATCTAATACAGAAATTTTGAGGTCTGAAATAATACCTCGCTTTAATTTTTTATATTGTAATAATGAGAAAGATTCCGTTCTACCGCTATTATATTTTTCATTTTTCACTGGAACACTTCTGAGAAGAGTTGAAGGACTTTCTTGTTGAATATTATCCGTCGTGCTTATTTGATCAAGATGAATGAACAACTCTTTATAGGGAACTAAATCGGGTAATACACCATTTGTAATCACTGTTGAGCCAGGTGATAATGTTATTTCTCTTCCCAATCCAAGTGTGTATGCTAAGTTCTCACCAATAATTATTTTTGTGTTTCCATTGATGATTTTCACTGTCCCATTCGACTCATTTTGTGTGATACTAATTTTAATAGTATTAAAAAATTCCATATCAGACTTAAAATAATCATCATTGAGTGAGCTTACGCTGTAATACCCATCAGGTATAGTAATAATTCTATTAATTCTATTTTGGTCATCTATTATAAATATCTCATTATTTTTTCTCGCAGCACTTATATTGGTCCACCGTTGGTAATACGTTACATCGCATAGAGCTACTTCGAGTTGTCCATCCGAGTTATCAATTGTATGAAGCAGTTCAATAGACTGACCATTTGTTATTCCAGGGAGTGTAACATACATATTAAATATACAATGATACTATATCATAACTTAAATATGAAATCGACTCACATTACTAATCAATCGATTATAGTAACTGCCTCTGGTGCTGAATTTTTAGTTAAATTCCACGATATCTTTGAAAAATACAGTTTCACGGCAACTAACGATAAAATGATTGACGATTGGTTTAACCGTCCGATGCAATTTTGGCAGAATCAGTTAAACTTTGCCGTATGGTGTGCCACAACGGGATGTGGTGTATCTG